GGGTCAGTGATGAGAGTTAAGCCTGTTTCTTGAATATCCTGCCATAGCGTTTTTCCTTTGGCTCTTGTGTATCCGTATCCCCAAGCACTGTGTGGAGCGTTAAAGTTTCCACCTATGACGAGTGGATTGGGTCCCGCTATATCTACGGCCTTCTTAAAGGGAAGAAGGAAGTGTTGTCGTATGCGTGTGGGATTGCTGTACAAATTCAGAATAAATATGCTTGGAGATTTTTTTCTTTTAGGGACAAGTTGTACGAGTATATGTTCAATTTCTGTGATGCGGGTGTCGTGGCAGATTGCTACGAGTCCCTTCCTTACTAAAGTGGTTAGTGTTCTAATATCCCCTGTTGAGGGGCCGATCGCCTGATATCCTGGTAGCTTAGCTAAAGCATGGCTTTCCTGCAAAATTAGAACATCCGGTTTGGTTCTGTCTCTAAGGTGTTGTTGCAAGACTGCTCTCTTCCCCTCATAGCTCCTGCAATTCCACTGCCAAATAATTAAGTCCCTTTTTCTGGGCTTCGCTATTTTGAGTTGACTATCGAAGAGTGAGGAGGGTGAAAGGAGGCAGGCCTCATGAAATTAGTTGATATAGCCACTGATGTGGTGCCCTGAGATAAGTGTGAATTTCCTTCAGTGCTTATCGGAAGGTTGGTAGCTGGAAGTACCGGAGGTGTCCTAGGGTTGAGATTGGCTACGTTAGCTTCGAGTTTATCTAGTCTATTCATGATCATAGATATTGCAAGCGAGGGGTTGTTGGTTGCCTCTGCCTGTTCCTTAACTGCTTTCTGTATTTCGGACAATGTTTGATTAATGTTCGAAGTTTGCGCCGTAGTTTTGTCATTAGACACCTGAGCTTTCCTTTTAAGAGGTGGCGGGGTACTGTCCTCGTCCATTCGGTTATCTGGCATTTCTTCGAGGCGCTCTTGGGCCACGGAACGCATTTGACTAGAAGTTCTATTTGTGCAGTTTTTAAGACTTTGAATTTCCCGAGTAAGTTGTGATATCAATTCTCTAAGCTCAGCGTTTTCTTTTTTCAGCTCCGCTATATCACTGACATTATGCGCAGTCTCCCTCGAAGGCTCAGGGCGCGTCCCTTTAGCCACGTCTGACCAGCTCACCGTGAATGCCGGGTTCCCTTGATGGCCATTGCCACCCTTTGGTTTAGACCGGGATCTGGAACGGGATGTAGTGCGCCTTCTCGGTCCCGGAGACTGGGTGGTGTGGCCGCGGGGTGTTGCGCAGGACCAGGACCTTGATCTGGACCCAGGCGTTGCCCTCGTCCGGAATTTGGACCTCCGCGTTCGGTTGGCTTGGTGGTAGGGGGTAGTTCTCCTCGAGCGTCTCTTGAAGTTGTCGGAACCACTGGCGTTGTTTTACGATGTAGGGTGTCTTGAACTTGGCCTTGCAGAGTTTGTCAGCCGTGGGATGATCCTTGCCGCACAGCTGATATCGTGGCTGACAGTGGTGGTCCTCGCTCGGATCAGGCGTTTCACAACCCGCACATAGCTTGTCGTTTGGCCTCCAACACACGTCACTCCTGTGCTCAAGTCTGTTGCATTGTTTGCAAAAGTCAACTTGTTTCCTGTATAGTGAACAGTGTGTGAGCACTCCTCTGTACATAACGTGCGTCGAGACTCTGCTGCCGTCAAAAAGGACTATCACTGTCGTGGTGTTGCAAAGACGTTTGGCTGCGATCGCCGTGGGATTTCGGGCTGTAACAATAGCTGCGGTGATGTCCCGTGGGGTTTCGTTCAAAGGAACTCCTTTCATTACACCTTTGGCAGTGAATTCCGGGGCCGTCTCGTATGCTCCCACCTCATACAACTTGTCGTTGGCTTTGATGTGCTTGATGCCTTGGTACTTGTCTGCATGGTCTTGGTTTGGGGTGCTAACGACCAAGCTGTTCTGAAAATTATTCGGACAAATCGTGTCCGTCTCTCTTTCTTCATAAGGGATCTCGGCCGCTTCATACACAGCTTTGTCTAGCTCCGTTAAGCTGAGCTTGGATAGCTGCAGTCCTCCTCTTGGCCTTATAATTATCTTGAAATCGCCTGTCGGCAGTCCTGGCATTTTGCTGGCTCTGGTTATCCGGGATATCAGATTTGCGCCGCGCGTTCTAGGTGTTCGGGTAGGGCTAGGGCTACCACGGCGTTCCTGGCTACCTTTCTTCGCACGTTTTCTGTTTCGAACTTCTGTCCACCCGTTGCCTGTGTCATCTTCCTGTTGGGTGACGTTTTTGTCTTCCCGTTGGGTGGCGTCTTCATTCTGCTGCGATACCTCCATTATTGATGATTACGGCCTGTATGGCGCGAACGCCGAGGCCTGGCTATCGTGAGGCCGCCCCAGTCGACGCGGAGCGCCGGTCGTAGGAATAGTAGACGCTGCTTGGTGGGGGCTGGTTTTCGGTCGTAAAATCTCAAAAAAATGATCACCCACCTTAGAATATGATCTCTTCGGATTCTCGGTGACGAGAAGAATCAGATGGTATATAAATCCGAGCGATGCCTGGCTGTATTCGCTGCAAAATCATTCTCGGCCTTACGGACGCGCAGTTACTTACGGACGGTTTGAAGCTGCCAGTGCTGCGCGCAACGACGTATGTTTCTTTGCGGCACGGTTGAGACCTGCACCGAGAACCAAAGCAAGGCTAGCAATTGAAAAGACGATCGATGCACACGGGCGGGATTGCGCTGTCGCGTTCTGTTCTTGAAGGCGAAGCTCAAGCATCCTACAAGTTTCACATTAGGGCCAAGGCTTGTCCATGCACGTCCGCTGTGTCCGTTTCAACAGGGAGATGCGTGGATGTGAACGAAAAAAAAATTCACAGCATCTCCATGGAGTGAATGATGATGGGTGGGGCGAAGCGTCCGTCCGTTCGTTCTTGCTCCGTCCGTCTGTGCGACCGTCCATCCATCCGTGTGTCCGTCCGTGCGGGTGTCCGCCCGTCTGTCTGTCTTTCCATCCGTACAACCAGTGAACACGTGTTCGCATACGGAACTGAAACGTTCCGTTAGTGAGTCCAATAATTCCATATGTTTTCGTACGGAATCCATATGTTTTCCGTGTATTTTACATATATTTTCCATATGTTTCCGTAAGATTCTTACGGAAACATACGAAATTATTGGACATCGCATACGGAACGTCTCAGTAAGAAGTACCACCATCTCGCTTCTTTTCCTACATATTCACCATATACAAGTACCACCATCAAGCGAACATTTTAAGGACTAAACGTGAGGTGGCTACTTCTACATATTACAAACATGGGACGCTGCAGAAATTAGGTGCCTCTGTCCTCTTCTAACCACTACCACCACCACAGCCCACGGCGTAAGGTGCTTCGCCCCTAAAAATCTACAATAGATGTGGTGGCCATTTTTAAAGCAGTTAAGTTTACCTGCGAAGATTCTGGGACACGACAGTGGGTAGTAGGCACGGATAGCAAACCCGCCCTTTAGATAATCAAACATGCTAGATCACCTTACAAAAATGGCGAAATAGCACAATATTTTGCAGAAATTGCGGAGTATGCGTCAGCGCAAGGTCACCACATCGTATTCCGAATGGATAACCAGCCACATTAGAATAATGTGTAAGGAGGAGGCAGACAGACTCGTCAAAAAAGCCTTGAACGAAGGACGGGATCCGCGAATCCCTATGAACAGGCCCTTTATATTAGTCGGCGATTCCACAGTGTGCATTATGGACCTTATAGGACCAACCCCGAGTTTTGTCGTCGACTCTTTGTTACTCAACTTACATTATATGGGGCAGCTTATGGTTGCTCAGCTCAGAGCTTCGTCCACTTGTCACGATTTACTTCGTGGATGTGCGTGGACTTTTAAAGCGCACGGTTATGACTGCGCATGTTTTCTAACGAAAATGACGACTAGGAACTACTGGTGCTACATTAAAAGAACTGATAACCACCAGTTTTTACCCCGAAAAGTAGGGGACCAATGGCAAGCCAGTGTCCAAAAGTGCACCGTCGCTTTATTTTCATTTGCGCATCTGCTTTTATTTTTTCTTTCTTTTCTTTTTCTGGCTCGACCAACGAGGTATTGCGGTGAAACTTTCTCGTCCGTTTCCCATCCCCGCCCTCCTGAAACGTGAATGATTTTTACGGGATTGGATTCTCATAGCATTCCATTACGATATGAGGAGCTGTGTAGTTTCCGGGTTCCTGCGACATGCAGACGACCCCCATGCATATCATCTCTTTGCGAATATTGATACGGTATACGTGTACGCAGTCATGCAGCTAGTTGGGCCTCCAGCAACAGATCGGTACTCTTTCCGTTATCCTACAGATATTTTTTTTTCCTTTCGATTTCTTTTGACCGTTCTTGCTAATATCAATAGGGTAGGGGCGTAGGCAAAACTTTTTGGGGAGGAGGGAGTAAAGTGGGAGTCGGGCAGGCAGACGCGGCACAAGCGCCACTTTGGGCTCTGTATGCCGTAGCGAAAAAAAGAAAATCGAGCAGGGGACCTGGTCGAGGAGAAGTTGACGGACCTGGTCTGCCACCCCCTGGCTACGCCACTGATCCATGGCCTTCTTTCTATGTCGCGAGCTCCAGCTTGGCCTCCCCATATTTTGTGTCAGGTTTACCAGATCAGCCTTATTTTGTCACCATACACAGCCTCCAAAACCTTAGGTAACTGATCAAACGCGATTACGAGTGATGCAGTAAAGAATCACGCGACGACGTCATCATTGTCACATAATGGTATTATGACACGGCATCGTTGTTTGCTCAAAAGTAGATCGTGCAAAATCATGTGATGTTCGGAAACCTTACGCGGCAGGGGGGGAGGGACAATACATCGACTGAAAAGGCTTCCGTGTTCGCGAATGGTCTTAGGCGAATGCCTATACGCGACCCTGAGGTCTTTTTTTTTTATTGTTTTGTATCTTCAACTGTGTGCCAGCTGGCCAGACTTTTGAGATGTTGTTTCGAGTTGGGTGCGTCTAAAAGGCTGCATCTCTGTTGCGTGCAGCGTCGGCCATCAACTGCTACACGTGCAGCAGCGTGAACGGCACGAACCCGAACTGCCACGACCCGTTCCACCCGGCGCACGCGCGCTACGTGGTCGACTGCACCGTGCCCAAGGACGGTCACGTGGGACGCTTCCCCGCGCACTTCTGCGTCAAGGTCGTCGGCAGGACCTGTGAGTGTGCACTCTCATACCCACCGCTTCTTTGTCGAGCGCAAGTATTCACCTTTTCATAAACGCCTTCCTGGGCGCCGCCATAGCCCACCTTGGGCAGTGCAAATTGGCGCTTCCACTCGAAAGGCGCTTCCACTCGAATTGACATTTAATGTGTAACGCATGCTTAGAGAATGTTTATTGCTATTTCTTGAAATATGTTTCCTGTTATGGTGGGCTGCTTACTGTGTTTTTTGCTTATTGTGTTATTAGTAATGTTGCTTGGGCTATCGGTCTGTTTGATTACTAGTATTACTCCCTGACATGTTGTTTTACTGATGCTATAGTAACCTCTTGTATGTATCCCCCCTTATGTAATGCCCTCCGGGCTCTTAAGGTATTTAAATAAATAAATAAATAAATAAATAAAATGCACTGACAACGCCACGCCCTTAGCCTTTGTACTCCCGCGCACAGCCCATCATGGCGGTGTTTTTCTCCTTCCTGTGAAAAGGCGTATACGATAGTGACAATTCTTCTTGGCAGTACTATTGTGGCAGGAAACCTTTATACTTTTCTAGCCACTATAGCAGTGCTATAAAAGCTGGAAAACCTAAACGCTTGCTAGCGCGCGCGAACCAGAAAACAGTACCCATTTTTATTTTCAATTTTAATCTCTACCTAGCGTTAATAAATAAAGCTTTCTTCATTATAAAAATATAACAATTATGGCAAGTTGTTGGTGGAAAGAAATATTGTGCGTTTTAAATTTCTTTCTTCGTGTTTTTTTTTTTTTTTTTTGACAGCAGCACGTTTGCACGGTACACATGGCGTCCCCGATGCCGGCTGGATTACATGCGGTTCCAAGCTCGCTGCTCCGTTCTCGGAGAAAGATATACTCGAAACGCGACAGAAAACGCCTGTAAGAACAGACTAAGCAAGTTATCTACAACGCTTACGCTGGGGCAAAGTGCTGTTAGCCCGAATTGTCCACGAATGACGCATGCTGCGGAGAAGAAGCGTATAGCATTCGTCGACAGTCGGGAAACCACCCCATGTTTCGAAAGTGAGTGTAACTTTAAGGAAGTGTAAGCGCTATATCCTGTCTGCTTCTTCTTGTCCGCATTTTTAGGCGCGTTTAACCAAAATTTCAGACATGAACGTAAACTAACTAGCCCAACTTGCCATCTTGCAGTAAACTTAAGGGCTAGTTTTTTTTTTGCTAGACACAATACTGTTCTCTCTCTCTCTCTTTATATATATATATATATATATATATATATATATATATATATATATATATATATATATATATATATATATATATATATTACACCCATGGCAGCGCACCAATACATGAAGACGGGCCAACTAGCGCCTGTTGCAGCCTTAATAGTGAGCGAGCAAAACCGTAATTGGAATTGAAACAGGCTGCAAGCTGCCGGACTACTACTGTAGTAACACGACTGTGCGGATACCCTCTACCGTAGCCTTCGCGCCACTGCCGAGATAAGCTTTTGTGTCATCTGGGCCGGTAGGTACATGTAGCGGAAAACGAGAAAGAACGCGGACCACCGAAAAAAACTGTATTCCATGTTTGTAAACAGCGATATAGGCGTCGTTGATATACCGAGGCGCTTGTAGCGACGTCGAGGCGCGCAGGATCCGGTCAGCCGAAATCTCGCCAACGTCCTCTATGATCACGCGACAACACGCGCAACAGATGCGATGCCGAGCACAACGCGTAGGACAGTCTCCAGCGTCGCTACAAATGGCTCAGTAAGCCGCCGGCTGCGCCTTCCCCTGTTTACAAACATGGAATGGGTCTATATTCTGGCTCTATCCTGTGGTTCACTTTGTCGTTTTTCGTGGAGATAAGAGCAGATTCACCTGTACGCGTTTGATTTCGCTTCCGCGGTCGGCGGCCTTGATACTTCTTTCGCTCCATACTATGATTTTTTTTCGCGCCAAAATTACTATGCGTGACTTCGCCCCGATTAAAAAAAATAAACAAGCCTCACGGTCGCACTAGTCATATTCTTTATTCAAAAAAAAAAAAAACCTTACAGGCCCAAGAACAGGGCATTGGGTAAGGGGGGGGGAGGAATCGGAATGGTGCAGACACGTAACGAACAGTTTACAGGCAGGATCAGTGCAAGAACAACGAAAAACTATATATATATATATATATATATATAAATGAGATCACATTTTAGGCTACACAGGGCGAGGTAAATTTGAGGGAATATAGCACTTGTTGATATGAACATGGCAACAGAGGGATACATTTTAAAATAAAAGACAAGGGGAATATAAATCACCATTACGCAATGCACTCAGAATACAAAAACAGGGTCACATGGTGAACAGAGTGAGTAGCTGACGGCGAAATGTATCGGGATTAGATATGGAGGCTATTCAATCAGGGAGGTCATTCCAAAGACGAACGGCCCGAGGTAGTGGTGATGATTTGAATGCATTAGTTGACCCGTATATGCACATGAAGCTGAACTGATTATGCAATCTGCGTGAAAAAGAGTGAGGTGTTTGAAGCTGAAGCCGCGTTCGTTTATTAGAGGTAATATATTTCTGGAACAGACAGAGAAGAGCAATACTGCGACGGCTATCCAATGACGGCAGCTGAAGGTCTGATTTAATTTGCGTTATGTTTGACGTGATGTCGTAGTTTCGTGATATGAAGCGGGCACCTCTATTTTGAATCCTTTCTACCATAATAATCAAGTAGTTTTGATGAGGAGACCAAATTGCTGAGGCGAATTCTAATATTGGCAGAATAAAGGTAAGAAAGGCTAGTTTTCGAATATTAGTAGGGGAATTTCTCAAGTTGCGGCGTAGGTAGCCCAGTGAACGTGATGCTTTGGCACAGGTAGACTCGATATGTGAGGCCCATGAAAGATTCTCTGTGAGAAGAACACCTAGGTATTTGTAGGAAGTGTGGGATATAAACCACACTAATGCATTGTGTAACTAATTCGATGCGCATGTCATAAACAACATGCATCATTTAAGTTTATTGGCCTTTTATTAAATTACGATAACAATAATTTTACTTATGTGTAACAACATGGACTCCAATTTCATCGTCCGTTTAAGTTTCGTGAATCTAAGCAGATGGCTTTTCTGTATTTGTGTGCATAGTATGTGTCTTGCTATGTAAGTGCATATAAACAGGTATATATAAAATGTAAGTATTTTGGAAGAGGGGGTGTTGCATTGCTACATCTAACCCCTGACTACGTCGCTCCCCCCCGCCTTCCCAATTTTCCCGTGCACAAGCTCCGACATGAGGGCGATTGCTTGTAGCGAGTAAAATGGGCTTCTCCACATTAAGCTCCTTACTGCGGTGAAACCAGCTTTCACGACCTGCGGCGAGCTGTACATGCATGTTCGGATCGACGTAGCAGGTGGTGGTGGTGGTGGTGGTGAAAACATTTAATAACCATTAAATGGTTACAGAGAGGTGATTGGGTTGGGGCCTTACTGGCCTCCTACCCTCACAGAACTTGGTGGAACCCCTATTCCGGGGCTCCATTGGCAAGCAACGCCGCCCGCGCCCGTTGAACCAGAGCCTCTTGGGCCTTCAGGTCTTGACAGCTGAGCAGGGCCGCCTCCCAGTCCTCTCTCGTGGGATTGGGGCAGGTGCCATAACTGCTTTCACAAGGACTGATCGCTCCGAGCATTTGCGAGTGCCGGTAACCAAGGGCGCCCGCACAATAGAATTTTCGCAGTGCCAATTCACCGTGCGGTGAGCACAGAAATACTGCACAGTCGTGGTCGACATGTAGCTTTTTTTAAACGTTTCACGTCCGCTAGTTGCTTGCTTGTGGCGTGCGGTAACCTACCGAGATGACCGAAATCGTTAGCTGAGGTTAATGCACGCTGCTTATCGACCATTATGGTACTAGGTCCCAAAACCGCAATACGAAAGACTTTTGGACGGCTCCGGAGATTTCAGCCACATGGGTTTCTTTAAAGGGACAATAAAGAGGAACAATGACTTAGTTTTGATTAGCAGAGTGCACTGTGAGATTTTTAATGTTATGTTTCACAATCATAAGTTCATTATTAGCGAAGAAAATCAAGGGTGAAGTTTTGCATTTAAGGTTTGCGCCAAAATTTCAGCGCATGACGTCAAAGTTTTCACAATGTATTCTTCATATTTTCGCGACATTGGCTCGATGAAATTTTATCAAACTTCGTATAGTTCTATAGCACCCACAGATGACAATACGGTTAATTTTTATCGACTACGAGCAACGTAGGACCGAGTAGACACCTTGAAAACCTACCACTTCGTAACGGTGTTTGGTGCGGGAATCTCAAGGTGGTGTCTCCCCTCACACTTTTTTTTTTTGCGCGTCTTTTTCGCTTACCAAGCGTCCTGTCGTTATAACAGTATTGTTGTCGGGATTGCAAAATTGTACGTTACTAATACGCGAAAAATCGCTTTCCTCTTCAGTATCTCTATACCACACACCTAAATCAAAGCACACGAGCTTCAACAATCAATCAAGCATATGGGCCTCCAGCCGTAGCAGGAATTAGATTATGCGACCTTCAGGTAAACAGTCAAGTACCATAATCACTAGACCACCACGGGCAAAGTGTGTGTGTGTGCTGTACGCAGATGCTGCTAAAACGTGCGAATATTTTTTCTTAGGGGGGGGGGGGGGCAACCCCTTTAAAGTGGTCATTTTTCGCTCTGTATGCCATGGCAAAAAAAAAAATTCAGACGGGGCGGGGAGGGACGAACCATGTGTACCATTCAGTGGCTACGCCGCTGCACTGGTCCTTTTATTACGGCCACTTTATGCTTTCTCCAATGTTGTCCGATTCTCCAGTGGACACCAACATCGAGCTGGTGATCAGGATCTGCTCCCTGGAGACTATGGACAATTCGTGTGGCGTCTTCCGGTATGGGAACGACGTCCTGCGCGGTTGCATCTTGACGTGCAACAACGACGGCTGCAACGCGGCACCGCCCCGTCTACGAGGCCACGCCTACGCGGGTTTGCTGCTCCACTTCCTATTGGCCGCCCTTGCCTCTTCCAGTAAAGTGCCGCTGACGTATCCCCCGTGATGGCCGGACTGCATATAGTGAGCGAGAGATGCGCGAGTTCACTCCCCCCACAAGACTGTAGCCGATCCAGCGCCGCATGCTCCGAATGACGCCCTAGAGTCTTGCATCTGTTGTGTATCACTCACTTAGCCTTGGCGGCTGAATGGCCCAAATGGGGAGCGAATGGCCGACTGCCGGTTAAGCTTCTGAAAGTGAAGTAGATTAATAAAAAGGTAAAGGGCACAGACGAAATAAAATAGTAGAAGTTATTTTCCAGCAGTATTGTTGATTAGAAAGACTTGCACTTCAATAACTCATGCATGGATGAATGTCCAGTTGGATTTGGTAGATTTCCAGGCTGAAATTTGGCCACATACAAGCTTGATGTTAATTGACTTTCAGCTGACTTATAGCGTATATAGCTGAATTATCAAAAAAACGGAAACATTTTACGCTGGAAGTCAAATTTTTTTTTTAGTTGGAGTTCAACATTATTTGAATAGGCTATAGCTGGATATTTAAGAAGTCCTATAAGCCACCGAAGTCCTATGAGCCACCCAAAGATGCACGTGAACCTACCCACGCCCATTGGGTAGGTTCGCGTGCATCTGGACTTCTAAAGCTGTGTCCATTTGTGGACAGTTCATCAAGAACAGAACTAAACGTCTAGGGTGGTGTGGAGACTGGGGACATTTGAGGACTCTAACCATCCTTAAATATTCACAATTTTTTCGTATATATACCTGTACACAACAAAACACATGCACATACGAATAGGGTCAGACCCCATGTCCTCATGAAGAAAAATTCTGGCGGTGTTTCTATCAGCTGAATACTCTTCCTTCTTTCAATTTTGAGCAGAATGCACACTTCTGAACGGACAAATTCATGTATTATGAACAATATTCGGCGCACGAGCAGTGAACTTGTAACAGCTCAGATTTTTGTGCAAGAAACAGGCTGCTCCCGGATCACAGTAACTTGTTCAAGGACTTTGCTGTCGTTGATTTCAAAGGCTTTGGACATTTGTCTAAATGAACTTGCTTTATAGAAGTACCCCATTGCATCTTTTTGCTACCAGAACAATTCGAACGAAACATTTTTCGTGAACACAGCCCGTGTTTCACAGAACTTGGTGCAGTGTTTGTAGAACCACAATACGAGCCCAAACTTTTACACTTCATGAAAAATTCAGGGCTATAAGCAGGTACAAAAACGCAAGCCCATAAAGGCCAATTCGAAAGAGTGTATCTCACCATTCTCATGACTTGCCAATGAATGAAGCACGTAGCAGCTTCACTTGAAGTAGAAGTTTGTGAACCCACAGATGTTAACAATTAGATCACCATGGTGAAAGTCAGTGTCTGCAGCACCCGCACTAGAAACAAACAATGCTGCTTACACTTGTACCTGGTAGCAAGCAAAAATTTCAAATGCTAGTCGGCCATTCGCTCGTACTAAACGAACTGCCTTGCATAGCCACCTCCTCGTTCAACATGGATGCATAGGTTGCCTGTTGAGCTTCAGTGGAGCCTTCTGTGTTTCTCGATGATGCCTGCCTAGTGCATCTGCACAATGTTCTCAGGAAATGTAGCCCTGATATCGAGACCCTGTGCTGCTGGTGCCCATACGTTCATGCATAAAATATGCAGGAGTACAGCTCAGTACTCCCGACTTCAAAAAATTTGACTTTCGGAAAGTGGCACCATCTTTAGGTGGCTGCTAGCTTTCGGTATCACCTGTTGCTAATGTGTGCTAGGAGGCTATGGACTATTGTCGTCCAAGGTTTTTTCATTGTACTTCCAAGCCAAGTGATAAAGATGATTGCTCACTGTTGTGAATATGGATATTTATATAGGTGGATACCTTGTTGTTTAAAGGGACTCTTACTTCTTTGAATGTACTGCTCTGTCAAATAGCCTGTAGTGAGCAAAGTACAGAGCCCAGTTTCATATGCCTTCTTTGGCCATGCTTTTGATCCTCAAGAGTGTGCCATATGGTGCCGAGCACTCACTTTTACAAGTTGCATAATGAAAAAGTATACATAACCATGCGTGTCTGTAGGCATACATAATGAAAATTTACAGTGCGCTAAAAACAACAACAAAAAACTAAGGAAATAAGTGCTGGTTTGTACTGCTGCGCTATGTATTTGTATTTTATGTGTGTGTCCTTAAAGGGGCCAAATTAAGCATGTTGCGTTCATCGTTTCTTCTCGAACTGTGGAATGCACCAATATCATTGTGGGAGTGGCGATGCCAGACACAAAGCTGTTATAATAGCATTTATATGAAAAAAGCACACTGTTCTTGGACTAGAGCAACACTCACTGGCCATTTTTGTGATTGGAAGTGATGCACGGGGAGGTGCCAACACAGGCCGTACGTTTTCATTGGTGAGGCGTGACAAGCCACACGTAATACTCATATGGTCCCGGATAGGCCACACTATAGTTCACCGAAAATTCCAAAAGCGCTTTTTATACTTCCCGAAATACAAGGGGATTGCCTTCAAATATGAAAATGTGAACACAATTTCAAAACAATGCTAGGAGTGCTGCACAACGACCACCATGAGGCGAGTTGTCTGGTTCGTATCTGTAAGAGGCGTGCGGTTGTTTGAACCAGCTTTTGATGCCAGTGGGAGAGTGAAATTGTAAAGAGAACCTTTTTTCTCGTCGTCTGCTGCGCTTTTAAAGTTGGTCAATAACGTTCCTTATCAGGTGTAGCGATTTTGATCATTCTTTTTGCATTCACCGCAGTACTCGGTCCTACTTGAACTCTAGCGGTGCAGAATGCAGGTGAAAAAGCGTCGCAGGCCCCTTAATAGATTTCAATAACGAATTGCGTAATGAAGCTCCTGTATAAGTGGTACTGCTCACAGAACGGTCATCTTGAGCATTTTATGCCCTCAATTGCATTTTCACCGCACAGGACGGTAGACAGCTTGTGTCTGCATTAATCACGTTTCATGTTTCAGGTCAAATTAACTTTATGTTTGGCACACATATAGGAAAGTAAAAAAAAATTGGCAGGTGTAGGGAGGCCTTTTTTCACAATCACTGAATTACAGCATGTTTTTTTTCCTACATTTATGTAGTAGAAAAGCCAGCTGATGCATTCAATCATCCCTGGTTGTGGTGATGGTAGGATTACAGCTTTCTCAGCCACTGCAGCTAATAGCGAAAATGTGGGAATAGTAGCCCCACCTGCTGTGTTTGAAAGTATGTTCGCAACTTTGGTGCATGTTGCACCTTGATTTAAAGGACACTTCGACAGCCTTTTTTGTGTTTTGGAGGTTATGATTACAAAAAAAAAAGCCAGTACCATTACTTCTGCTTCTCACAAAGCCCATAAGGTGCACATCACTTATTAGCAATTTAATTTTTATGACCACTGCCTACAGTTTTTATGTATATGGCAAAAAAAATTATTTACATAAGTCAAGCTCTCCTCGTAGACAAACATCTTACAGAGGTGACCTAAAAGAATTCATTCCATACTGCTGTTGTCGTGGATGACTTGATCCATTGAAGTAAAATGGGCCATTCACAAACAATCCTTTTGCTTTGTTTTGAATACCAATAAATCTTTTACGAGAGCAGCTACAATAACTTGTAGTAGCTGAACCCTCTGTTTAAAGTAAACATTGTTGCACGAGCAAGAAATTCCTGTTTTGCATGGTACATCTTCTATACTGACGCATGCTACTTATTTTTTTACCATTGTAATGTGTTACAGCTTCTTCATGCAAAATGGAACCTTGTCTAGGTGAATTTTTTTTTATTCTGAAAACTGCAAGTGTTTTTATATTTCTTTACAAGTGATTCAATGTTATTGTTACGATATGTATTAGCAGTTCGTTTCTGACTTTCTCTGTTGCTACATTTCTTGTTTTAAAAGTTTCACAAAAGCGTAGGGAGACAACTCGTATAGTATATGAAGCTACATATATACAAGCGAAAATGAAATTGTTGGACAATGTCACACAAAGAGTTAATTGACACTGGTGTGCAGCATATCAAAATGAATACGGGCTCACGTGTACATCTGCACTTTATTACATCTGCAAAGAGCACACGCTAGCTATGCTTTGCATTACAAATGAAACTGATGTGCCTGCTAATGTTTATATAACACAGCTAGCAGTCAGAATATGATCTAAAAAAAAGATGACATACATATTCTTCTGAAAAGATTCACGCTTTATTCCAAGGACAACATGATGAAGAAATGGGGCTATCAACAGCACAGCTTTACAAGGACTAGAGCTTTAATTAACTTTCTGCGTAATGGTACATACAAAATTTCAATGCAGCAGTGCTGATATAGGTTGTCATCAAGTACAACAACATATATCAATACAGACATTTGGAGTACTCAACACATGTCAGTACTAAAAAACAAATGACCTGGGAGCCCCAACACAGACAGCCAAATAGAAAGTTGGAGGTTGCCATAAAAGAGGGTCGCACCTATGCACTTAATAAAGGTACTGTGCCCAACAGTTTGGCAGTAGCCAAACAATGGCGAGCAACAATAGATCAAAAAAGCACAAAATGTGTCGCAACAGATGCAGATCACGAAATTTCTCGACACGCTCACTGTGCGAATTATGAGCACCGATTGCATTGTTTATGACCATATAACAGTCCTCATTGATTCTCGAGATAAATGTTTTCAGCCTTGAATTGTTTACTCCCAAGTTGCAGCGTCTATGACACTTACCGATTTGGCATTAGCTGAGTATGAAATGACTGCAAGGAATTTTTCTGGTAACCTCCCAACTACCCACAACTTATCTTACAGCAAAATTGTTCAGTCATCTTGATTAGTTATAACTAGAGCTGTGCGAATACCAAAATTCTGGATGTGAAGCGAATTCGAATATTGAAGTATGAGAGCAAACAAACTACAATATTTTTCGAATGTTTGTGCATTATTTCTAGAATATTTTTAGAATACTTCAAAGTGAAATTGCAGAAAAAAAGTCGGAGAGGATTTCTGAGCATAATCTTAGAAGATGGCAACATGAAAGTGTTTCTTTTGGCCAGGCAGATGAAGTTCAGGTGGATCGGTATTTTGTAATTGTCTTATCAAGAATGAGGCAGTGCAGAAACTGAACTGCATTTATGTATGACTTGTTGCAACCACAAAGTGCTGGCGACAGCATCGTACATGTGAAAGGCAGGGATGCTATTTCCTCAGCCTCGCCTTCTTCATGTAGTTTATGAATACACAAAGTTTATCGCTAGGCTCTTTAAAAAAACACCAGAATAAATTAACAACCAAGTAATGTAATAAGAAAATAAGTAATAAGAAAAAAATGACTATGCATGCAACAGGCCCTGAAAAATCGCAATGTGAAAAAATCATCAATACTCCCTTGACCATATTAGTACTGCAGCAAACCAACCTGACATTTTGATACTGAAGGAACCTAATCACTCCCCTCGACGGCATTAAGAATAAGACCAATTGCTCAAGCACGTGAGAACTCTTCCAGCATAGTGGCCACTTCACAATGAATCTTCCAGTCGACTAATCTCAACAGTTTGCACTGTGTCAGTACCTGGAGTGGTAGTTCTTAGCAAAAAATAAATGCAACTATAGTGCATAGAATAAAAGCAATTTTTAAATTTCACAACTATCCAACCAAATTATTCGGATGAAAAGGCGGCAGAGATGAACATAAAATTATTGTAGACTGTAGAGCGAAGAAAATGCAACTCCAACGACAAACAGTACATGTTAGGGCATCCTCACAAAAGAAATCACATACAGAACTGTTCAGTAGTATCACTACAATGAGGAAACAGCATTGATATGTGACTGCTACCTGCAGTTGAAGTTTTGATGCAGTGAGTTATGGTGCATGTGTGCACACATATTTTTTTTTACGTTTTTCTTGTTCCTTTGGCGAGAACAATGTGCTTTGTTGGCACCTTTGTTTTGTGGTAAACGACTGGTCACACCATGTGTATAACAACTTGGTGGGCCTTGGAAAATATGCACGAGTTTAAGTATAACACTTCAACAATCGAAAATTTAAGAAACTATAAATCAGCTTCCTCAATGGTTTCTATGGGTGCACTATTCCCTTCAGCTGCAACTTACAGTGCATTTGCATAATCTATGTGTTTGAAAAAAAGTATTGCTTGAGGGTTCATAGAAAGTCGTCAAACCAATAAGGGCAATACATTTCTATAAAAGTAATCTAATAATAAATAAACTTGAACCTTCAAGGAATAGAGTGACGTAAGAGCAAACACAGAAAAGTGTTAATGCTCATCTTATTGTCTCGACTGTCCCATGCCAACATAATTATAAATAGGTTTCGAAATAACATGCTCTCTCCAGTCTTGAATAACTTAGCAATTTCGGTTTCCTCCACATAAGCCTATGCTGTTCTACTCGAGCCAAGGGGATGACTGTTGCAATGAACCAAAAGCCTTACATACTAGCAAAATATTCTATAGCAGGTTTGCTTGTAGCACCAAACAGTGGTTTACCTGTTTGCATATGACATGGCACAATTCAAGCAAGTACAGTTTGTGCAAGTGCCATTGTACATAAACATCATTTGTTACATTGAAAAGCACAACCCCACCCTGTTACTTTTTTTACCTTTAAATTTTATGCAGCAGTGTTAACAGTTACCGTTATAGCCAAGAACTGTTTTTTACGTCGTGGTTTGCTGTGAAGCCGTTTGTGACTGAGCATTTATGAAGTATCTGAGAATACTCAATGCAGCTGCGTGCAGTTTTCACGCGTGTATATTTGTTGAATGTAGTATGCCTCCGGCACCAGTTCTGGTTGTCCTGTTCTTTCTTCTCCGATGTTGTACTTTCCCATGAGCATGTGCCAATTATACGAATAAAGACATTTTCGGCTACTTCCCAAGCCTCAACTACGTTTTTAACTACAGAGACAACGAAACAAGATGGGACAAAGTGCTTTACAAGGCCGCAGAAGGGATTGCTCGAACACCTATAGAGGTGTTCCAAGTGTGAAGCAAATGCAAATATGTATTGAAGCTTGAGTTTGAATCAAATCAAGTGTATTTTTTAATATTTCTTCAGTATTTTTTCAATAGTTTAAAGAAAAATTTACACAGAAAAGTTCGGGAGGATCTGTTAGCATAATCTTATGAGATAGTAACATGAAAGTGTTTCTTTTGGCTAGGTCGATGAAGCGCTCGAGGCGTGGTGTTCTCTAGTTGTCTCATCAAGAATGAAGCAACGCAGAGGCTCATTTGTACTGATTTACGAGATTTCAGGCACCTGATGCGAGGCCGGCAACATTTTAGCCAGAGCAGCAAAAGACAGTATTTCCTCAGCCTTTCCACTTCTTTCAACGTTCCTAGAGGGCCAACTCATGTGACAGGCCAAGAAGCGCTCCCTTTGAGTTAAGTGTTCCTAATCTGCCCAATAAACATGAATGTATAAAAACAGGTGAAATTCTGGATGCTTGAATACGATTTTATTATTTTTTTTTCACACTTTCTGGTCCGAAACCACATCAATTGAAGCTGCCAGCTCTGCCACGTAGGTTTCAACCAGCTCTTTTCTGAGACGATCTGTTTGTGGCAATAGCAGGGCCCGCAAAGCAGCTTTATCGCAATGCCGAAGTGAAATGCAGCGATCCATGTAAAAAATGTGAAGCGGCCGTACCAACGACGTAGTGCGGCAATGTGATTACGGATAAGTAGCGCAAATGCACGGAGGCATGGTAGGGGCAGTCAGCAAGTGCACCAGTACAGCTCAATCGCCAACAACTCTTGGTTGTCGCATGAAGCTATAAGCATCTTCAATGAATAAGCATCACCAACTACAAACTGTGCAGTAGTGCATGTGCCCCAGTGCTGTTTGTGGTACGCGTACGTCACAAATGCGCCATGTTGCTATTCATGCCGCTTCTTGACCACTAAGTGCATCGCAAAGACTCGCGCTGCTTTCATTAATGTAATCAGCTCACAATCGCCGCACCCGTGTGCAGTTAGGAATGAAGTGGGCAACATGAACACTTTCATGACAAACGCAGTGCTTACGGTGCAGCAAGCACCCAGGCATGCAGTGACAGGGTCAGCTTAATTGGCGATGCACTGCACATTACTAGGAAGGATTCCCTTTACGCAGCAGCAAATGCTATGTATCGACGAAGTTTTAGCGATTGTTTACGCACACACACATATTGGTGAAAACTGGACGAGTCGTCTGCTTTTCTGCCCCAGTCGTCGTTTCCATACACGCTATGCGAGGTAGTCGTAATATATTCCGCACTTTGCTGGTATCAATGGCACTCATTACGAGATGCGAATTTGCGTAGCTAAGCAGGGTTCACGGCAGGTACCGAACGTATTTACGAGAGCTGGGGCACGCGCCAAAATGCCCGATAAGTGTGCGGGGAGGCATTGTAGCCATTTTGGATGTAACTGTGGCATATTGACCACTTGAACTGAATAGAAATGCAAGAATCTCTTTTTTCAAACTGCCTATATTGAATGATTTCATGGTCACCTAGGGAGTTCGATTGGCATAAATCTGGTACGAATCCAATCGAATAGTGACCACTATACGAAAAATATATGAAAATTCGAATATTTGCACAATCCCAGTTCTTTGTTCTTTATGCTTGAAGGTAAGTTCATCTGAGCCTGCTTGTCCTAAACTGATTACCACACACACAAAAAAGTTGGGAATGCAACAGTCCATAATTGACACTGTCAATAACAGCAAAAATAAAGTTAAATCTTTATTTGACACGGCAACTACTCATAGTACTTCTCAGATATTCAAACAAACTAACAGACGGGCAAACAAGTATATAAATAATTAAGTAACACTCTCAGAAACATGCTAAGCACATAAATATGTGTGATAGTTAGAGGTAAATTAAAAAAATTAGCAGTGGCTTAGCTCGGCTATGACAGGGTATACATAGGGTGAGCTGCGGATGGATGAAGGTACGGACCAGCGAGCAAGCACACGCGAGTCACGGGCCAGCCCGCAAGTGACGCGTCACTCCAGGAGCTTCCAGGCCTTCTCCGTAGCGCCAGCTGTGCACCGTGTGACGTCACAGCTCCTCGGGCATTCGCAACAAGGCTCTCGATAAGCCACACGAAACTACTCAAACTCTGCCAGCGTGGCTTATGCTACAAAAACAGTGAAAACTGTGCGATTTCTTAGTTAAAACGTAGTCTTCAAACTTAGGCTATGGCCATAGCTAGAACTCTGTTTTTTTTTTCTTTTTGTGTCTCAGTTCCATTTTTTGAATTTATGCTAGATTATTAAATGCTTTTTTCATATACTCCTTTCACATAACAAATTCAATTTAAAGATGAATAGGAGATGGTGGTGCACCCACTCGTGCCCGATGTTGGCAACTTAGTAGCGATGCTGAAAGAAACAGTAAGAGAGTCGAAGGCACACTGCAGAGTGCCAAAACATAATGTTACAAGTGCTTAACCTACATACTTCGACCAATGACGAGCAACAAACTGCTGTATCACTAGCAGGGGCTCGCCATCGGTCGCTTGGCTGCACTTTCTGGGTACCTTGCCAACCACGAAAACGTGAATACGTGACTGGGTATTCAACCCATGACCTCACATTCAGCAATGAACTGCCTTAGAAACAAGTCCATGATGACTCTATCGATACTTGCCTAAACAGCCCTACCAAAACTCTAGGCACCTGCATCCTCAAGCTTGGTCCTGCAGAATGGACAGGCATTGGTTTGAAGGGTGTGCATCTCAAAATCATCGCCGTGAAACACCTGCAAAGAGGACACAGTAAAACTAGTTAATTTGACAGTCGTTGATTCGGAAAACCGAGTCATTCTGACGTTTCCTTTAGTCCCAGCAAGCAAATGTACTACTTAGTGGCATCAAACTTTCATTAATTCAGTCATATTATTCCCCAACCTGGTTAATTCAGATGATGTTAGGAGCGCATTAAGCGTGAAGCACCGCTAATTTGCGATGCGAAGAAACGATGACTGTTCACAGACAGCCCATCTCTACCAGAGTGCATTTGCTGCATCTCTACCACAGTGCAATATACACTCAAACCTCGATATAACAAACCTGGTTATAATGAAATACTGGTTGTAACAAAGTAAATGAAAAATGGTCTTCTAATAGATACAGTATTAAGAATAGACCTTTATAATAAATTTTTGGGTATAAAGAACTTATTTTTGTATAATATGCAACTTTGTTATAATGAGGTTTGAGTGTTATTAGGCATGTCCCTAAACTTATTTGGCAAAGTATCAGTTGGGTGTGGTGGAATACAAGAACCTTTCACCTTGGCACAACTTGGACACGACACCACCACCACATCCGGCACAGACATTTCTGTAGAAGCGGCAGCGCAAGGGTTCAGGCTGCTGGCAGATGACGACATCGCGGGGTCCCAGCATGGCCAGCCCTTCACGATCCAGAATCACTGGTACACCACCGGCCTCTTCTCCTGCTTCCTAAAGGAAAAAAAAAAGAAACACGCCCAACATGCATGACTACAGGTAACAATAGGCGAGCATTCCTGGGCAATGACTTAACCTTTGAGGTGTTTTGTACATGTACACACCTTCTTTTGCTGTTTGTGTTGAATAGTGGCTAAGACAAACTAATATATACAAATGTTTGGATGAATAAACCTTGTGCGTAATAGATGCGTCTTCGTTCAACTTCATTTTGAAGTGCACAGCTTTATACAATGACTTTGCTGACGGCACTACGATTGTTCTACAAGTGGTATGGCACATTGCTTTCAATGGGCCACAACAAAAGCATAATTTTCCTTAATTGAAATTAATACAACCGAAAGTGAAATTGCACTAAACAGTGTACCAGTAAAATACAGGCGAATAGGAAAATGGATACGAGGTCCTCTCTTTATAAGAGGCTGCGCTTTTTCAATAGATCTTTCAGCTTTGTTCTATTGGAAATAATCTATTTGTCGAAAAGTTTCAGGCAAGATCTGTAATATCATGAGCGAGATGGAAATTTGTACATTTTACGAAAAATTCAGAAGAGTTGGCAGGTATACTATTATGTCAATTTCAGGGGCTTACTTTGCCACCTTCCTCCCCAGAGTCACAGAGCCCCCCTCCCTCTGCCTATCATGTTAATTTATGAGGCCATCTTAGCCCCCCCCCCCCCCCTCCCTCTGCTCCCATCCATGTGCATGCCTATGTCTACGATCTCCTTTTTTTCACCTTTACTAGATCTGTGTTTCTGTATACTTTTTCTTTTACAGCAGTACGTATATTGCTTTAGAAGCGATGTACTCTTCCATCATCTGCTGCTAATAGTAGCTTAATCGAGGGTCCCATCCTTGTCTATTACTTTGTACTATCATTTGTATACTTTATGCTTTGTAATTAGCATGTGGTGTAATCATAAAACTGATTGATTGACTGATCAATCATTTTATCGCTGAACAACCGTAAGTCTGGCTTCACTGCAGAGTTTTTTTGTTTTGTGGATGAGCTTACAGTAGATAAGCAAAGCTATGAAAGAAAAACAAACATTATAGGTATGTTTGTATCATGATGTCAAATTTAACTTGAAGTACTTTTAAAAAATTATTATCATTCTAGTATCAAGCCAATAACAACCTTCTCACACCTGTTGATAAAAGGTTTCTATGCTAGCACCTGGAATCTCGCACCTGCATACAAGCCTACACCACTAAATATGCTGAGCTTACCTCTAAGTTGGAGAGCTGGAAAGCAAAAGGGTCTTCATCTCCGGCATTACCATGATTTATTTGAAGTGTTTCAAACCCTGTTTGGGAATCAATCAATAATGTACATTACAACCTTAAATTTTTGTCAGACTAATACCATAGGCACTATTTAAACATCACAAAAGCACATCCTTACAGTGCCCATTCAACCAAACTAAGGCAGCACTTATTCATATAAGGCAGCACTGTTCAAGTGAAGACAAAATTCCAGCTGCACACACTGGGACTTGTGTTCAATGCTATAGAATGGAGATCGAATCTGCATTCTTAGTGTCATAGTCCTTATATGCACTGTTTCTGGAAATGTCTGAAGCAACAATTGTTTGGTTAACTGTGTCACAGGAAAGCTCACTTTACCACTATTAAAAGGGCCAATAGGACTCTTCTGAGCGCTTGAATTCAGCAGCGGCATTCTCACTAATAAACTATTTCAATTCACAAGTAGACACGATAAAATTTGAGCCCTTCAGTGCTTGTATACTACGTTTTGTGTGACACCAGCAGTATAAGTAGCAACACTTTTTTTTAAGTGTTTAGCAACACGTATACTCTGCATAAGCTGCACTGTGTTAACAAGAAGCATTGTCATAATATACTACATATCATAGTTGGTACATTACTATTACACCCAAACCAGTAAATATGGTAATGCGGTAAACAACACTTCTGGCTCAGGTGTCGTGTTTGAATACAGCAGAAAAATTCACTAAAGCTGCATTATGCAAGTATGCTGCATTTGCTTGCTGGTGCAAAGAAGTTGATTAACACACACATATGCCCAGCAGCATTATACGAGTGTGCCTGGTTTTTTCTCATATAGTCATGCAGTACAAGAATGTTTTGAACAAAATGTGCCAGAGTACCATGGCACAGTATATAACTAAGTGCTGTCATTTACAGGTATTAGGTGCTTTCATACACAGTACTAAGTGCATTCACAGTATTAATTAATACTTGATTATTCCACAGCATTCATCAAGATATAATTATCCACAGTAATAATTAAGTGCTGTAATTCCCAGCAGCATGTTACTGGAACTGGCATCACAGTAGCGTGCAGTTGCAGCTATATCTGCAAGGTCTTTTTTTCCCGAGTAAGCACGTTTGTCCCGAGTTCCTATCAAAGGGGCCCAGCAAGACTTCTTTTAACATGGTAAAAATACACAGCCAATCGGCAATCAAGCCTCCTGCAAAGAGGCGAGCCAAAAATTGTAGTGCAGCATGTGACAAAAAACTCACTATTGAGTTTCGAAGACAAAAAATCGCTCGCTCTTCTCTCGACAAATGGTGCCATAGGCTAAACATTCACTGCATCATGAGCATGATGTCTACGGCCAGTGGCTGATCTGAGCAAAACGAGTTGCGCAGTTTACTACTTTTGCCACTAGGTGCCCCAACATGCATGCACTGCGCTATGGTCTATTGTGCTAGGATTACACATGATATAGAATTACACCAGTGCGCTGATGGCCACACTGAAAGTGAGCAGCACATCTTAAAAAAGAAAGAAAGAAAAAAAAATGTTCTCAATGTAATGTCACGTGCTGATTTGAACATAGCTACTTCTCGCATCTTTGTAATCGTCCCCCCAAGGACTATTGGATAGATCATTTGTGCAAATTCCCTGTGGAAAGGACACTGATGGCCGTGGGCAGAACTGAATTATTTTCTGAGAAAATTACACGATACGAATGAAACTTGCGCAGTGTAAATCACTCGCACATACCACTGATGATCTGTTGGCTCGGTGACTTTGGCCTGTCTTTCTTCGGCTCCTTCATCACCCTTGCCTTGCCTTCGAGAATTTCGAAGGCTTCGGCGTCCGAGATTCCCTCAGCCAAAGTGAACTCCACTAGGGGTAGGACCTCTGGATAAGGGGTGGGTCAGAACAAATGTGCGCAAGACCAGATCATAAAGAGCTTCGGAGAATGAGTAAGCGTCACTGAAGCCACTTCTTTGAACTGGCCTGACGTCATATTCTGCAGCAGAGCCGCCAGCTCTGTTTTCAATAGGACAAATTTGTGCTTCTTTTATTCCAAGTTATCTGCCACATTTTTTTTATTATGCACATCTTTTTCAGCAAATTTTTTTAACTTGCCACTTACATTTGCTGGTAGCATGTTTGTCAATCACTTCATGTAGCTGAGCGGTGGAAGTAAAGCGTACATTATTCATGCCCTATAAAGTGCGCAATGAACAGAGTGAAGACTACAATGCATACCATGTTAAAAAGTAAATATGTGCTTTCGCTTATAATCACACATAATTTTTAAGTGAAAAAATCACAGCATATCCACGGAGTGAATGATCATGAAGCGTCGTCAGCCGTGCTTCCGTCCGTACGTTCTCGTTTCTGTCCGTCCATCAATACGTCCGTCCGTCTGTCCATGCGTCCATCCGCCCGCGCGCCTATCCATCCGTCCGTCTGCTAGTCTGTCTGTTCGTCCGTCCGTGCGTCTATCTAGTGAATACTCTAAATACCACCATCTCTCATCTCGCATCCCCTGTGGCACACACCCGCCCGCTCTAGAGTGGGTATGTGCCACCAGTGGCTACGTACTACTGCATACATACAAGGGATGGACAGATCCACGCCTTAAGGAGCTTCGCCCCTAAATATAACTAAAACTATTTTTTTACCTTCCCTTTTGATCTGAGTGACCTTTATGTTATAATTAATTACCATCGAATATTAATAATTCGAACTCAAAGGGGCCCGAAAATTTGTTCGATTAAAAGAAGTTTGAAATAATGAAAGCTAAATGAACGGAGGGCTCACCATGCATTGGCGTATGTGCATTGAGCAAACACACGAGGGGGAAGTTTCAGAAGATTTACATCTATTCACAAATCACAGGATATCCGTCATCAATTGAAGTAATCGGTGATGCACGTCTGCACACATTTGCCTTGCAGCGAGTCAATCAATTTCACATGCAGCTTGCAAATCATATCTATTCCGGCTTCAGCAATCTCCTAGTAAGAGAAGTTGGGCGCGGCAATGTCCAGTGCCGACACTCTTTAAAGATGACGACAACGACTGCGTCTCCACTACTACCCTCTGCGCCGTAGCCGCAACGTCGCCATCTTTCCTATCCCGTCCTTACTTCCGTCATTCTCTGTCGTTCGCTGTCCCTGCGCCTCGCTCTCTCCCTCCTCTCTTTCTATCTCTTTATCTTTTAATCCTATCCTTTTAATCCCTCCTTTACCCCCCATCTCTCTTGAGATACTGTTGAGGTGTCCTCCCCCTGGGAGACAGTTACGGGGCTCACTTTTCTCATCTTTTCATTTAAAATCACTCGCGCAGCATATGACGAGAAAAGAGGGGCAACTCCATGCAGAGAGAAGCAGATCGGCATTTGAGAGATAACTAACACTCCACAGCAGCTTTTTTTTTTTGCTCTTTTCGCACGCGTCGTTGAAAAGAGAAGGGTTTATGTGGCAGGAACAGGAAAGGGGCAAGCGTGGCACCAGTGCTTGAGAGAGAGCCAACACTCCACCACAGCTTTCTTTCTTTTTCCTCTCTCTCTTTGTGCACAACGTTGAAAGGAGAAGGGTCTCCACGTGGCAGGGACGGAAAAGGAAGAAGCGTGGCGCAGGCGCGTCACAGATCGGCACTTGAGAGAGAGCAAACATTCTGCCGCAGCCTTTTCTTTCCTTTTGTTTTTTTCTTGCGTGCAGTGTTGAGGTGTAGGAGGAGCTGCTGTGGGATTGGGCATGGTGCTGAGAGGATTTTCGGAGCGCGGAGCTGCTGTGGGATTGGGCGTGGTGCTGAGAGCATTTTCGGAGCGCGGTATGTTCAAATTAACTATTGCAAGTGCTTCCGCGTTCGAACTAAAAGGCGTTTTCGCCCGTTGGAATAAATATAGCTTTGACGGGACCTCAGCGCGAGTTCGAACTAACCGGAAGTTCGAATTAAGCGTGTTCGAATTAATGAGATTTGGATGTATTATATTGAAATATATCTTTAAGAATGAGAATTATTGAATAGCCACTAGTTTTTAGACGGTTTTCTATGTCTTACTTCGGTGGCATCTGGCAAGTCTACTCTGCAATCACAATGCGCACAAGAGAATGGCACAGTCCAACAAGTGACATACGATAAATGTAACAAATAATGACTTATGTCTTGCTATGATGTGTAATCACTCCTGAATAACAACTGCATGAGCAAAATGTTTTCAAACTATGTTTAACCCTAGTTACATGTTTTCGTTCTCTCAAATTTCATTTGAATACTTTTTTGAAGGTGAAAAACCTGGAGGCACTGCACCGACCAAAGTAAAAGTTAACAATAAAAACAGAAAAAAAACGTTTTGGCTTCCACACGGAAGCCTAGTTCACAGTGAAATGAAAACATGTGTAAAGCAATTCGCCTTATGCATGTTTCAATATATCCCGCAGGCAGCACGCATATACTGATGGCAGATTACCATCGCTCCTGTTAAAAGTGCGCAGAGTGGTTTGTATCACGAGTGACTCAAGATAAAGACGCCGTGACAGCCCTTTTGAACGGCACCTCAAACAGCACATTTACGACGTTAACAAATAAAATGTTACATCCAGTGCCTTGGCTGAGCATGTGTCAGGTGGTCACACAATCGATTGCGGAAAGGCCTGTGTTCTCGCTAGAAAAAAAGGACTGTCACGACATCTTTATTTTGAGTCAATCGTGATACAAACCATTCTGTGCACTTTTAACAGGAGTGATGGTAATCTGCCGTCAATATATGTGTGCTGCCTGCATGATATATTGAAACATTCATAAGGCGAATTGTTTTACACATGTTTTCATTTCACTGTGAACTAGGCTTCCGTGTGGAAGCCGAAACGTCTTTTTTTTCTGTGTTTTTTCTTTTTAAGTGTTTATTTTGGTTGGTGCAGTGCTTCCAGGTTTTTTACCTTCAACCATGTATCATCCCGACCAGACGGGCTTCTGTCCAACTTTAAACTTCTTAATATGTTTGTGCAAAATGCTCTTTTATTTTTGCAGGATGTTTGAGTGCCCCCCTCCATCTACGTAAAATGCCTCTGCGGCAATGTATTAGTATTCTGCAAATAATGCTCTTTGTGTATGTCACCCACACATAATGAGCCCCTTGCTTACTCCAAACTGGCTTTGTTTCACCCGAATCTGCACCGACTTCACAAGCATGATCCAGTGGGAGCTAAATTGCGTTGCATCCTGTAAGCAAATGCAAGGGATAACCCTTTTTTTTCCATAATAGCTGCAGCCGATAAGGAACTTGCACATGTGTTTTCAAAATGATGTTCAAAAAAATAAAAAATTCCAGCCAGTTCCATCATGCCACCGCAGAGTTAAGCTGTCACCCCTTTTGTCTGGCTCTCAAGTTCTGGTAAAGTTTATTTTAAAGTGACCCTGCGATGCTTTTTCTTTTGCATACACAGTAACAGAAGTTATTAGCCTTCAAACTACAAAACCCCAGAAGAGAACGAGAAAAAAAAACATTCCCTTTTGCATTTTACTCCCCCACTGACATCGAAGGCTGGTAACAATTATGGCGCGCCTCCTACAGAGACATACCAGACAACTCACCACATGGTGGCTGTCGTGCAGCGCTCCTACAGACATTTTGCAATTGCAAATTTTCATATTTAAAAAGAGAAATCCTTTTCCTTTTGTATATGAGGGATTATAAAGAGTGATTTTATAATTTTTAGTGTATAACAGTGTGACCTATTCGAGACCATATGAATATTACGTGCGACCTGTCCCGTCAAACCAATCAAAATGTGATGAAATGTTACTTCTGATCACAAAAATAGCCTTTGAATGTCACTCGTTAGAAAACGGTGTGGTTTCTCTCTTGAAGTAAAATTACAGCAGCTTTTTTTTTTTGGCATTGCTACTTGTGCAATGATATCAGTGCACTCCACAGTTCAAGCAGTGAAAACTATATGCTTAATATGTCGCAGGGCTTCTTTGAGGATTTATTCTTTGCTTCTTAGTTCTTCAGGTTCAGGCATGTGAATTTCACGCGATTCCATTCGCAGCTGTGTGTGGACTCTACAGCAGCACTTCAGAGTGTTTGTTGCATATTTCACCCGTCCATTCATCTAAAACTTCTATCTCGGCTGCGTTGGAACTCGAGCAGCATTTCAAGCACTGCTGCTGTGTATGACGTGCGGCCACGCCCGTAACATTCCACCATGGCCACGACTCTCATAGTACTGTGTGCGACAGCAGACGATGCAGCTTTGTGTGTGTGACTACTCTTAAATTGACCATATTTTCGCAAACACCATTTGTTGTCGTCCTCTCACATCCTCCCCTTTTCCGAGTAAGCATACAACAGTGCGTGTCACGGTCTCCCCCTCCAAGTTAGCTTTACCCTCCATTCCCAAGACTCATGACTTCTATGAGATTACTTTTACTACTACTACTACTACTACTACTACTACTACTACTACTACTACTACTACTACTACTACTACTACTACTATAATGACAATGGTGGCAGCAGCTGACTAGGTCAGCTTTGTCGTAAAAAATGCCATGAGTTACACATTAAAACAACGTTTGATTCCATTGTAATTAAAAGTACCCATTAAACTTTATGTAAGCATATAACTTTCATAATTTATTTTTTCTCCCATGTCTTGAAAAATAAGGAACAAAAGTGTCTTAATGAGTTTTTCAATATCAACAGCTTTAGAAACAGCAGTATGTGGAGTTTGTTTGCCTACCAAAAGCGATGAAAGAATGAACGAATGGTTGGCTGCAGTTCACACAGCAACGGCCACGTTCGTTTACGAGAGGATTGGTTGAGGAACAGCGGTAGCAGAGAGGCAATAGGTCCTGCATTGAAGGGCAAGGTCAGCCAGAGAGACAAGATAAGACTCTGTGAACCCTGAATTACTATTTCACTGTTGTGACTTTAACAGCGTAGGTTCCATCAACAGACAAAATGTTTCAGCGACCTTGAAATGATTACTTCAGCAACAAGGCAGAATTATAAAGGGTGTCTCATAAAAGCTGAGCCCAAGAGACTCAGTTGTAAACCTGATGCTACATTAGAAAAGTTAGCATTTGTCGCGGTGGTCTATAGTGGTCATGGTGCTTGATCGCTGACCCAGAGTTCCAGAAATCAAATCCCAGCTGGGGCGGTCACATTTTTGATGCAGGCGAAAATTTTCAAGGCCGGTGTGCTTAGTAGGTGCTTAGTGCCCTCCTCTATAGTGTATCTCATAATCATATCATGGTTTTACAATTATTATTATTAAAAAGTTTTGCACAAGGCTGGGTAACGTAAGAGCAGGTGGGCACATACGCTTGTCCCGACTAGGCTACGCTTTTACCTTTTCGCCCATCCCTCGATGTTTCTCAGCCTTTTTCTTTCTGCCACTTCTCTACACCTGTAGGCAAACCTCGATTATAACAGCTCTGCCATAAAAAACTCCTACAGTGCGTACATGCCACAGAAATTGTGCAAATCTTGCTACTTGGTACACTGGTCCACTAAATGTCAGCAAGAAAACACAAGGGCGATAAACACTGATTAGAGTCTGTACACTGCAGCATGCATGGTGATTTAGGGCATGTCGTTTCATGATAATGATCATTTTTCATTTACGACATATGGCGAACATAAACCGTGACAGCTCTGCACTAAAATGAGTTTGTACAGTTGAATTGGCAAAGAAATATCACACGATCCCCAGGCTCAGGCAATGATGAAGCAGTGAAAGCTTTGTGTCTCGTGATTTACCTCCGGTGCAGCCAAAACTGATAAATAGCACGATAGTATTGCAAGTACATCTTTTCGATAACTAAAACTTGTAGAATTTAAGCAACATTTCTATTTAAAAGCAGTTATTGGACATCTTGCATTGCTTTTCAGTGAATACGCACGCATCTATAGTTGGTAAATAGCCATTTGATGGATGCGTTGGATGATCCTCCTATTATCAGTGCCCGGCGGGCTGACAGCAGTCTGTTGCTGCAACAAAAGAATAGCTATGGAAATGCGATGTATACGATCTTTGTGTAAAACTCCTATGAAAGTTTAATAAAAAGTAACAAGTGATGTGACACCTCAAGTTACCGAAACATGTCAACATAAATCACCCATAAAAGTACCAAAATGGTAATAAGCATGTTTCTAAATTACCGAAAAAGTAACGCATTACCAGGAATGGCATTACCGGCAAAACTGCACAGAGTGGACTAAAAAAGCTCCACGGTAAAACATGTCCATTGCTCAGTTATTGCAAGTTACATTTTCCCACATCTTTACTACGTACATGAAAAGCAAGCCCGCCTTTCAGTGCAGACTTACTTGGGCATCGCTGAAGGGCTTTGATCGGACTGTCAGCGCAGCAAGGTCCAACGTGTCCCTGAATCGGAGTGGCACGTGGAGGTTCTGTAGCCGCTCGTAGCAGTGTCGGGCAAGCCGATGGGCGCCAAGGTTACGGCTCTGCTTGGACAGAGCATATAGCACGCCACTGTGTTGCAAGTGCATTAAGGATACAAGTCGTGTTGCGATCCCTGCGCTTTACAGAATACACTGCTCCCGACACTAGTGCACGACAGACATGAAAACTTGCAGACAATTCTATCATGGAAAAACAAGGGAGAAATGCCAGCACATGTTGGAATTATAAAAATATTGAAAGAAGGAACACTAGTAAACTTTGTTGCAGAAAATTTGCAGGTGCTCAACACCCAAAACAAATGTCCATTAGAAATTTAGAGATCAATTTGGTATGCTACTTATATAAAAAATCTGAAGGGGTGCTTTTTTTCTATTGCTGAATTAAAAATTTGATCTCCTAAGCATAAATGGTTATAAATTTTATTAATTCAGCAGCATTAGCATAATGACACCTACAATACTGACTGTCACTATACATTGCATCAATGAGTGAGTGCTCTTGGCTGCAAGCATTAGTCAATGACTAAGCAGGTCTTAAACATTAGGCTTCGAAGAAGTTACCAGAGCTCAATTTGTAATTTTTTTAAAGATCGGTTAGACTCAGACTATACTCAAATATGCAATCTTACAATGCAATTGATATTAACATGACGATTACAATCTGCGCATAGCAAAGCTGCAGAAGCTCACAAGTTGCATGTAGTAGTGATGGGCTCTACATGTAAGACCACGCAGATACGCATAGAATACAAAGATGGCATGAAAGAGGCTTGAAAAATGTCATGCTTCTCATGTAGCAATAGCATTAATGCTCAGCCATGCTAGCAGCTTGGCGCCTCACTGTGCACTATTTGCCGTACCGAGGCTACGAAGTGTGCAGGTGCTTTTCCTTTTAGTGCGTGTAAAGTTTCTCTTGCCATTGGATGTCATGCAGAAAACGAGTCTGAGACCAATATTCTCAAGAAGCTTCCCATTTTAGTTTGGATACGTCATTTCTTGGTTATTTTGAATTACTTGTAAGGTTCAGTTCAAATTGAACCACCGTACCAGTTGCAGGACAGTTAGTACCATTCGAAAATGGCAATATCGGTTCGTAATATGGTTAAAAGAAATGCTAAAGTGAAGCGTTAACCATGGTCGAAGGGTCACAGCTTTGGGCTTCCATGTTGCACTAAATGTTTTCAGGGCAAACCATCAAAAATGTAACAGTCTGAGCACTCACTTTTCTGCACATGTCGATGTTGCTCTCAATGCCGCAAAAACAGCCAGAAGCGAACACACAACATTTGAGCAATGCAATGAGCTTTAGAAAGTTCATGCCTTTCGAAGGATACACGAGTGAAACACCCCGTATTGACTGATGAATGAGCTGGTGGAACAGATAGCGAGACATGTTGAACAGGGCTTCGGGCAGGTATGCCGTGAACGGCTCCTCCTAATGGAGAGACGATGAAAAGCAGTCAATTCAAGTCCTGGCTAGTCCTAGTAGGACCGAATGTTGACGTGACGTTGCCGCAATATGACAAAGAACGTTGTGGCAACATTGCACACTACTCGCGAGTTTTTGCATCACAACACACTTCCTCAATCAATTCAAATTTGAAGATATCAAATTTGAATTGTTTACTTCTGTTTATTTTTAATTAGAACTATTACAGTTTCAGTTATGTATACTTTCAATGGGACCTGCACTAGCCTTTGGCTGTGGGACCATACAGTTTGTGCTTATTTTGTATAGGATATGAGTACAATAAAAATCATTCATTCATTCATTCATTCATTCATTCCTCATCTTTAATGTAAAAACCTTTCTTGGGTGGAAAATATTTTAGCAAATGCAGAAGAAGATAAGTGAGGGTTGTAGACACCACAGCCTTATTTGCTTCTTCGCAATAATGCCTTGCACATAATTTCATCAACATGCCCAGAACACATTTAAAGTGCTTTTCGGCAAAGAACAGAGTCTGCAAAGTTAACCACAGTTGGGATGCATCTGAATGAACCTCTGGTACCTGTTAATCTTTTGCAAGAATTGCCATAAAAGAAGCACAATTTCAATTTGTTTTCATTTTTCTGGCTTCCGCCAAAAAAAATTCCACAAACAACATCCATTATTCACAGGGAAGCCGCACCAAATTAAATCATCAGAGTTATGTTAGGACACTGCCAAAAATGCCACATGTACATTATAAGGCAGCTGTCAAAAAGAAAAGACACCGTGCGAGATTGAAGTTTTAATTTTATCAGGTGTGAACCAGTACAGCATGCAATTTTCCAGAAAATAGCAAAACAAACAAGAATTGCTCACAATATAACGGTGAATGTTGTGGTAAATGTAGTAGACATCGGCCAGATCCTGAAGTTTCGCTGAGCGGCTTATTAGTGCTTCCTGGCTAGCAGCATCACCTGGAAATGCAAAAAGAAAAGTCCATCGGCTTGAATGTAAAATTGACTCCAACACCTTCTAGCACATGTGCTTTTGTAGTGAGGCCCCAAGGCTCTAAATTATCAGCCCTGTGTTAACTTGTAAGACTTCAGATTCATTTAAAGAATGTATAGGCATATTTTCTTGAAAATATAAAAAATCAACATCACCGAGTACAACTTGCAGCACCTTTACAGGATAACAATAGTTAAAATGACATTTTCTGAAACTATAGACAGTACTTTTCAAAAATAGGATCAATATAAAGAAAAGCAGATAATTGTGCAATTTCATTTTATCAGCCTTAAATAGTTTTACAACGTATGGATGTGCAGTAAAAATTACACGCAACATAATCCTCTCGTTAAAAAGTGAGATAATTATGGCATCTAAGCTAGTGGCATTGTTATATTTTTACTCTTGTTTATTACCACCTTTATATCTAATAAACAATATAAGGTAGCGATAAAAGCTACTGAAAATAATGTGATATCAGTACACAACCTTTTTTTTATGTAGTGAATTCAGTTGGTTTTATTGTCTACATAAAAATACTATGCAATTGCGGCATTAAACTTCAAAAAAAATTTTCTCAACTAAGACAAAACGTACTTGGATTATAAAATTGCTCTCCGAAAAGTTGATACGACTTCCAATCGTACGCGCGTTCCTGCAAATTTTTTTTTTGAACACCTTATGCTGTCACAGACGTCTCAACATAAGGCAAAAGTAACGTTGTGTCCACCTTCAGACTTTTATTTTGGAGCCTATTCACAAAACAGATGCAAAACAACCAATTTAGCAAATAGTACGTTTTATGGTGAGTTTTATAAAAATAATTCCTGCATTTGATCAACAATTGTCTTTTGTACTAAAATTCTCGAAAACACTACTATTTACTTAACATTACGAAGGTGCTATGGAGTAGTAAATATAAAGGTATTATAAGAGAATGACCTATAATGAAACCACGATGCTCAAAAAACACAAAAAAGAAAGTATTGAAAGAATGCCTGGAAAGACTGATTAATAGTCAATTTTTTTGTACCTGGTTTGTTAAACATTTTGTGAATTCAAATAGAGCTCACATATTCTAAAAACTTTTGTTGCTCAAATTACTTAGGGGAAATAATGTACAACTAAGATGTATATGTGTGTGACTTTCTTAAAGTTCTTTAGAGAAATTGATTTTTGTCGAGCACCACGATTGGTACTATTGGCGTGACCCATACACACTCGAACCCTTTATAAGAGAGACTGATCTAATAAACTGGGTATTAGACACACCACATGCCTACACTGCAATAAGGGTTGATAAGAAAATGCATACATGGCATCCAGCTTTAAGGGACACCTCATGTAAATTGCTAGAATTGCTTTCCGACTTATCTAAAGGGGCTCAAGTGTACTATGTTTGAACTATTCTGTTCAAAACTATGCAAACAAACCTTTATTCACTTTGAATTCACTTCAAAGCAATAATTTATTATCCACCGATCTGTAGACAATGTCTCTTGCTAAGAGAGAGGCTGGGGTGGGGGGTATGCAGAAAGTAAAAGAGAAACAGAAAGGTCGTCGAGGATTACGTTTGGATCGGCAGTTATCTTAGAGGCATATAACACTCTGCAAGCCCGACTGTCACCTGCTTTGAATCATCCTCTTTTAATATGCTGCCTCATAGTTGCACCTTTAGTAGCTGGTTTGAATGTCATAACATCAAGGCACAGATTCGCATTTTACTGCCTTTTGATCTAGCGTTATGAGTGGTTTATGCTGCCAAGGATGAACAACCAGTTGCAATACGGCGCTCACACTAATTTCCCTGTGTCAACTGTGTAGTTTTTACAATGCCACAACATGTGCAGTAATATGTTTGGAACAGTGGTGAACCATGTTGGCAATGTGAATTTGCCTAGTTGAACATTCTTTGTCGCAGTTTTCATGAATTATCATTCATTTGCGCCTTAGAAGAAGACTGAGTATCATGACTACTCCACAAACATTCTATCAGTGCATTTATAAAATATATTTTAGTTATCTATTATATGCATAATTAACCCTGTAGTATTAATGTAACCCAAGTATCAAATTGCCAACTGCCAACAAGTACTAACTAGCTTGATATGCCTTAGTTCTAAGTTTACATTTCTGTATCACTTTTAAGTAAAACCTCATTATTTCGAAGTCACTGGGGCTGTGGGAAATCTGCGAATTAAGTGGATTTCGAATTAACAGAAAATACAAAAAGTGGGGTGCAAAGAACTTGAAATTATTCAAAGTGTAATCAGAGCTGGTTGTTAGCAGCGCTGGCTAGTTTGCTGCTGTGAGGGATGTGTCTTCCAGCATTAAAGGGTCACAGTTTTGCCGCAAACTAGAGGGAACGCCAAGACTCGCTACTTCAATTGCAAAAAGGAACAATAAAAACAAAACAAAAAAGGCGTAATCAACTAAAATGCGTGCCTGCGAAAAATAAAATGTCTTCACTGCAATACAGTAGTGACAAGCGGGTAGCGTGTTGCCTGCTCCTCGCTGCGTCAGCACGTCATGATGCAACTTTTCGCCCATACTTTCTAGTAAAATAAAAAAAATTGAGTAATAGACAGTGTGAAGAAATTCACAATTTTTTGGCAGAAAACATGATCATTGAAGATTTCAAACAGAGTTTTCGAAGCAAGCATAGCAGGCAAGAACTCCTCCAGCAGTGCAAGTGCGCAAATTGCTGGTAAACAAGAGTCTGCATCCACTGTCCAGAAAGTCACTGTTTTGGAGTCTGAAGTGTCCGCTCTTGGAGACGCTCGGAACAGCCGTTGGTGAGTAGCCTCGGCCCCAGCTTGGCGTCGTGGTCTCGGTTCTGGCCTCTGGGCTCGCCCTCTGCAGATGCGCCATCGCAGCGAATCCCGCGAGCGCCAGACAATTCACCCTAAAACCTGCCAGGCTCACTTTACTATAATCCATAAAGCTGGCAGACGAGAGGGGGAAGAATTCACTACCTGCTCAAGTGATCGCGTCCCAAACCAGGCGGGGCAACCCTTTTACCTCCTGACCCAACCCGATACACACTCTTTGAAACAAGTCCTTTGGGACGCGTGTCTAAAAGACCATGTGAAACCACCTGGAACCTTTACGTAATCTCTGTCCTCAGGATAGCAAAGAGGTAGTCACATCTTATGTATTTGTCCCCATTCATATGGAGACAGGTACGTCGAAACGACCCTTACCCGCATGCAAACGTCCTCTGGCCCAAAAAACCCATCAGACTAAGTTTCCCTGAGGCAGTGCCTTCTGCAATCACAGCCATCTCAGGAAACGAGTCAGCATCCTTGCTGCCGAAGAGGGTGTGCACTGACAATGTGTTACCGCATCTTTTGTCACTTTCTGCAGCTTTATCGCTATACTCCATACAACTGACAGTTTGTTTCCAGACAGCTTGCCCATCCAAATCAGTACACCCTGATGGAAGTACCTCCGACTGTATACTCGATGCTTTGATGAGTGCGACTGTTCCTGCTGAGCTGAAGATGCTGCATCTGCCATGTGCCGAGAAATCAAATCATTTCGATTTTCAGCTAGGCTTGTGAACAACCAGCTGTAATCTCGAACTGGCCAACGACGCAGTTATCACTATCCAGTTCAGCCGTGCATTCAATGTTTCTCATGCCAGGTATATTCTTTTTACAATAACTGTTTCCTGACCGCCGACACGTTTTGCCAGCAGAGTCTGAAGCTCACGCCTCTTTAATTGAACCTAAAGCAAAAGTATTTATATTTTATCGATACGCCTGTTTTCTTCCTTTGCCTCATGCTCTTTCGCTTCAGTCGGCCGCTTTTCCTCTTTTCCTGGCGCTCTTTAATAATTTCCACGATTCCTGAAGCTCGCTTTCATTTACTGCTGAGGCAAGTAATGCCTGAATGATCTGCAGTTTTTTTATAGCGTTCCCCATGTCCACTCCCAATTCCACGCATAGCAATAATAACTCAGGCTTGTGTAGTGAATTGAGGTCCATGACCACAAGCTCAGGCGTCAAACTCTTCTCCTGATCTATTCTCCATCGATATCACCAAGTGCAATTACGTAAATAGGCTGAAAATTGATGAAGAAAACCTGCCAGCTTCAAGCTTCAAATCTATCTTTAAAAGCCTGGCAAATCTTAAAGGGGAAAAGTCCGACACTCACGTTGCTGCAGTCATGGGTTCCGATGCATTGTCCCCGCTTCAGCTGGCTGAAGTTGCAAAGTACAATACCGTCCCACTGCTGCCAACCAGTTGTTACGAAGAGAGAGGCCTCCAACAGTCTCTTGGGTAGTGTGTCGCGAGGGCCAACGCCAGGCAGGGAGCATCCAGGCAGTGGCAAGGCAGCCAGAAGGAAACAAAACATTTATGTTTACAACATATGTACAGAATGTAGATGAGGAAGCCGCTAGATCGGATGCCCTGGCCTATAAGAGGCCGGCGCATTTGATCTAGCGATGCCTTGGCCTCTCATAGGTGCCAAGACGCTCGAGGAGGAGTAGCGATGCCTCGGCCTCTTATAGGCACCGAGACGCTCGAGGAGAAGGGTGTAGCTACGTGCTTCCTACATATCCAGAGTCTCTGAGAGATGTTCCCAGTGTCTCAGGCGGACGCCGGTGTCCCTTGGAGGAAGGCTAGCAAGAGGGCGAGAGCACTGCACAACGCGAAACGCGTTCCACATGCTACTGCAGGCCAGTCGTGCGGTGGCTTCTAAGTAGTCTGGCTCCAGGTACTGCCTCTGGGAGCCTTTCAGCCAGTGGGCCACAGCACGTTTGTAACAATACGTATATTAAAATAGAGGTGTTGCACGTCGAGAAAGGTTCAGACGCAGCTTGGCAAAATGTGCTTTATCAGGCAGGTCTGGCTAATGGCGAGCAGCGTGCGCGAGCTACTACTACAGCCACCGATCATCATCGTCTTCTTCATTACCAGCAGAGCGTCCGTTATTCAGATTCATTACAATTACTCCCCGCGAAATAAGGAGCCATTCTGGCGACCTATGGACAAGTAAACACGGGAGGGTCGTAGCAGGGCTTAAGTCTCGAGACGTGGACAATTTCCTGGCCACGACGACGTTGGTCAGAAGATGGTTCCAGTGGCTCAATGAGGTAATTCACTGGTGACGTTTTTTGTAGCACACGATATGGGCCGTGATACTTGGGGACCAACTTGGTAGAAAGGCCAGGTGTAGCAGAAGGGACATGCAGCCAGACGAGTGAACCTGGATCGTAGGAAGTAGTGTTATTTGATGCGTCATGGTGGTGCTTTAAGCGTCCTTGGTCTTGGGTTGTGAACTATCTTGCCAGTTGGCGACATTCTTCAGCGTATGTAGCGGCTTGAGACAAAGTCGTGGACTCTGAGGAGTCAGGTTTGTACGAAAGAATGGTGTCCATAGTGCAAGAACGTTCGCGTCCATAAAGGAGGAAAAAAGGAGAGAACGCAGTAGTGTTTTGAATGGCGGTATTATAGGCGAACGTGATAAACGGGAGCACTCGGTCCCAATTAGAGTGGTCTGACGAGATACACATAGAGAGCATGTCACCAAGGGTGCGGTTGAAGCGCTCTGTCATTCCATTGGTCTGGGGATGATAGGCGCTTGTAGCGCGGTGAACGACGTGGCACTCATGCAGCAATGCTGTGATGACGTCTGACAAGAATACGCGACCACGATCGCTTAGTAACTCCCGAGGTGCTCCATAACATAATACGATGTTGTGAAGAACGAAAGTCGCAACGTCTTTTGCTGTAAACGAAGGAAGGGATGAAGTTTCGGCATACCGCTTGAGATAGTTGACGGCAACTATGATCCAGCGGTTACCGTCAGCAGTGTTGGGAAGGGGACCATAGATATCGATGCCGACGCGGTCGAATGGTCGGGATGGGCATGGTAAGGGTAACAAGGTACCCCTGGCGTGATAAGGGGGAGTTTTTCGTCTCTGGCACGTCGAGCAGGCCTGAACGTATTGTCGTATAAAACGGTACATGCCACGCCAGTAATATTGGAGACGTATGCGAGAATAAGTCTTCAGGAAACCTGCGTGGCCACATTGGGGGTCGTCATGAAACGTGGAACAAATTTCGGATCGCAGATGACGTGGAATCACGAGTAGCCACTGACGTCCACCGGGTGCGTAGTTGCGTCGGTACAGCACCTCGTCGCGAGTGGCGAAGTGCTCTACTTGCCGACGCAACGTACGAGAATGGGGGGAAGTCGTCCGCCCAGCCAGGATGTCTAGAATCGAAGCAACCCAAGGGTCCTTGCGTTGCTCAGATGGCATGGTGATGGTGACCGCAGTGGCATCACAGGTTAGACTTTCGCAGCAGTCCGGGTCAGGGTGTAGGGGCGAACGGGATAGGGCGTCTGCGTCCGAATGTTTCCGGCCGGAGCGATAGATCACGCGAATATTATATTCTTGGAGGCGTAATGCCCATCGGGCGAGGCGACCGCTTAGATCCTTCAGTGACGACAACCAGCAGAGGGTGTGGTGGTCAGTCACGACGTCAAAAGGGCGCCCGTACACGTAAGGTCGAAATTTCTCTATCGCCCAAATAATGGCGAGGCATTCCTTTTCAGTGACGGAATAGTTGATTTCGGCTTTGCTAAGAGTTCGGCTTGCGTAGGCAACCACGTACTCTTGGAAGCTGTCTTTCTGCTGTGCAAGAATAGCGCCTAGCCCGACACCACTAGCATCGGTGTGGATCTCTGTGGGTGCCGATGGGTCGTAGTGTCGCAGAATAGGCGGCGACGTGAGGAGGCGGCGCAGTTCATTGAAAGAATCGTCACAGGTGGCAGACCAGGCTTAAAGGTCTCTATAGCCGGCGAGGAGTTTGGTCAAAGGAGGGATGATCATCGCGAAATTGCGGACGAAGCGCCGGAAGTAAGAGCAAAGGCCTATGAAGCTTCGGAGCTCTTTCATGGTGGTCGGTTTTGAAACGCTGAAACGGCTGTAAGTTTGGCAGGGTCAGGAAGAATGCCGTCTTTTGAAACCACGTGGCCAAGTATCGTAAGCTTCGAGCGGCGAAATGGCACTTCTTTACATTCAGTTGCAGCCCCGCGGCAGAAATACACGCGAGGACTTTCTCAAGGCGGATTAAATGGGTTGCGAAATCAGTTGAAAAGACGACAATATCATCTAAATAACAAAGGCAAACGTTCGATTTGAGGCCACGAAGGATAGAGTCCATCATTCGCTCGAAAGTAGCTGGCGCGTTGCAGAAGCCGAAGGGCATGACTGTGAATTCGTAAGGCCCGTCGGGCGTGATGAAAGCTGTTTTTTCGCGATCGGCCTCTGCCATGGGTACCCGCCAGTATCCAGAGCGCAGATCTAAAGAAGAGAAAAATTCGGCTCCCTGTAGGCAGTCCAAGGCATCATCAATGCGTGGCAGCGGATAGACATCCTTGTACGTGATTCGGTTGAGACGTCGGCAGTCCACGCAAAACCTGATGGATCCGTCCTTCTTCTTCACCAATACAACTAGAGAGGCCCAGGGACTGCTTGACGGTTCGATTATGCCACGTGTCAGCATGTCGTCAACCTGTTCATTGATGGCACGGCGTTCGGTAGTTGACACACGATATGGACGCTGCCGTAATGGCGTCTCTTGACCGGTATCTATACGGTGAACAACATATGACGCTCGACCTAAGGAAGGCTGATTGTGGTCAAATGAGGCTCGAAAACGCTGTAGGAGCTTGATCAGCTGTTCCTGCTGCCCAGGCGTGAGGTTGCAATCAATGGACTTGCGGAATACATTCATAGGTTCATTAGCGTCAGTTGCGGGTGTAATGGCAGAAGTCGGTAAAAATGGCTTGTCTGGATAGATCGGGTCTTCGAAAATACAATTTAAGGTCTCGAGGCTTCCCAGACACTCGCCGCGTAGCAGGATGTACAAACAAGCAGAAACGTTGCACGCATAAAGTACCGTCGAACCATTGGAAAAGTTGATGACGGCAAACGGGAGGATGATGGTTCGGTGTTGCACACTAGCTATAGTTGGTTGGAACAGGAGCGTCGAGTTAGTGGCAGCAGGGGAAAACACAGGCACTAGGACGGCGGACAACGGCGCGATGCGGACGTCAGCTGCGGCAGACACTTTCGAGGGACTGTGGTGGTCAATATCAAGGCACGGATTCGTCAACAGGAGTTCAGCACGAGCGCAGTCGATGAGGGCCTGATGGGTAGAAAGGAAATCCCATCCTAGTATGACATCGTGAGATGAACGTGGGAGAACAACAAAGTTAACGGCGTACCAAACATCTTGAATAAGAACGCGTGCTGTGCACTGAGCTGTCGGCGCGTTGAAATGAGAGGTGGCTGTACGCAGAGCAAGATTCGTAAGCCGCGTTGTAACTTTTCTCAAACCACAACACAGTTTTTTATTACAATATCTTCTCTTCTACCTTGTGATGTCTTGTTAAATAACTACTGTGTGCTGTTTACATTTACATCATGTAATAAATCTGGTTACTGCTATTGTACTGATTCACAGTGCCACATTTCAGTATGCCATGCTTTTAATTTCTTATTTCACTGCATCCGATCCCTCATGTAAGAAGAGGGGGCTAGTCAAGCTGTTTTAGAGCAACTTTTACTCCTATCAATCTTCACATACTTAACATGACAGCAAAGATTCGATTCCATGCAATTGAAATGACTACTTACTCTCTCTGCTTGCAGACTCGAGAATCTGCCGAGAGAGTAGCCAGTAGTAGTAGCCAGCATCACGAAATCGACATTCATCGACGGCATACTGGGTGAGGCGTTCAAGCACCTTCAGTGCTTCATCCGGACGCCCAGCTTCGTAGAAAGCTGCAAAGAAATTAAGGGTTAGGGCACAACAAGGCACAGTGTCAATGCCGGGAAAAGAATGGCACCAACCTTTTTGGGCATCAACGAAACGATCGTGCTCTGCGAGCCAGTTTGCGTAGTCGCCAGAAATCTTCGCACGAAGCTCGGCATTCTGCCCGACAGCTGCAAATGCCTGTGGAGAGAATGCAGCCACTAGAACAAACTGGGCTTAACGTCATGATAGGTTAGCGATATCGACAAGAGCAGGCAATTTTCACGGCAAAGCCCAGGGCTAGGGGTGGCCAAAGTAGCTGGGTATTTATTACTGGCATTGCATAAAATAACCATTCTGCCCAAAACTTAAAGCCCTTTTAAAAGAGTACTGACACAAAACTGTGAAGGTAAAATAACTTGGGAGATAGATTTGTATGGACATATACACATCACCTACAAAATATCAACAGCTAACATAGCCGAAGTGTGCAAATACATATTCGAACTTCCGCATGGATTTTGAACAGTATTTGCTATTTATTCAGTTATATTTACACCCAAATTTTGCTATTTGAAGTATTGAGACTTCTTGGAAAAAATATAAATATATTATAACAAAAAATAAACAAAACAGTGATATATCAGCACGCAGTGTGCTTTGTCACGTATTTTGGGGTGTTGACGGGCGAAACTACTAGCTACTTCTATCGGTGTTCCAAGCAGTCGCTGAAGTGACATGACGTGCACTGGGCTTGGCCCCGGGTTTCCTGCCGATGCGTGAAATGCCCGTGCACTGTTCTGAGCAATCAGTGAGGGGCGCCATTCGGTGTTTGAAATTAACATACTGTGGCTTCCTTGCTTTCACATGTATGCTAGCGTGAAGTTTACGAAGTTCGAATTTGTCTTCTACAATGCGACACCATAAGCAGAGTTCAGCGCACTACGACTTCCGAGAGGCGAGTTCGAGCGCAGTGCATAACCGCGGTATCCGTTGTTTCATACTACATATGTCATGCTCTATTGCAAGTGCAGAGAGTCGTTCCACGGTGCTTCAGAGTAAGGCACCGACCTTAAATGCGCCAGCCTTTTATAGGCGCCGAGACCCTCGAAAAGGAGGGCACCGCCCGCTGTTGGACACGCGCAAAGTCTCTGACTGACGCCTCCAGTGTCTGTGAAGGACGCATCAGTGTCTCTTAGAGGAAGGCCAGCAAACCGTGGTACCCGGTGTTTCACACTACATATGTCATGCTCTATCGCAAGTGCAGAGAGTCGTTCCACGGTGCTTCAGAATTGGCACGAAATGGGCTCTTTAATGCTATCTAATTAAAAGTGGTGGTTTTCTGCCACCAACAGCTCTGCTGCACCCACCTCGTCCCACTGGTCAGCCTCGACGTAGAGCTTGACGAGGCTTTCAGTGTCACCAATCCTTTGGAAAACATCGGCGGCGACCATGTGTTGCTTCTGGTTCACAAGCAGCCGAGCACAAAGGGTAAGAGCCTCCTTTTCACGTTTATCTAACCTCTGGGACAGATCGATGAGTCTGCGTAGAAAAACGAATGGGCTTCAGATAACTACTCTTGTACAAACATTCGAATGAGTATTATGGTATTAGAGTTCAATTAGAATTGAAATTAAATCATTGAAAATTTCAAAGCAATAGAAATGAACATGTTGCATGTTACTCTGCATGTAAATGCCCCCTGTGAAGATGGTTTCACTGCAGTAAGTAAGTGCTACGCGGCAAAAACATCTATAAAAAAATGAGCATTGCGGCGCAGTTTTATTTACAAGCTAAAATGAACATATCGCCCTCACATCGATTTACAGTTTTGTAAGTTAAAAAGCTTCTTATACCGGCTTATATGCTCTAAGTATTGCAAATTTTAAAGTGTAACATCCCTTGCATTCTACTAAAAGTCAAGTCCTGCTACTATTCAGTTATTGTTTCTTTCTTTGAACCAAAAAACATGTCATTTGTGCAGTCTTTGTTCCAATGTTTAAAAATACTGTGCAAGTTAGATGGGCGATCACAAGTATGCCCAGTTTTTTTTTATAATCACTGATATATACTGCTTTAATTAAATTCAAAATTATTCGCTTGAAATTCTATTGGAACCTAAAATTTACTATATGCACAAGCCTACAGATGTACATAATACCATTGAACTAATTAGTAGGAATATGAAGAAATCAAGTGAAGTAAATAGATTAACGACCAACAGGCCTCAGCAGACACAAGATGTTGAAGCCAATCACGGTGTTGGAGAAACAAGTATGAACGTGTCATATGCTCAAACACTTTTTAACATCTCGGATGTGAGATAATGGTAAAAAAAAATACCATTCAGAAAGAACGGGAATGCCACCTCCTCCTCTATTTCAATTAGATCTTGATTTCTGCACTAAGATGAACACACGAAAGAACACAGAAAAGGCGCTGCTAACAGTTGACTTATTGCAATGGTTGCAACAAAATACATAGTGCAGTGATGAGCCGACATACCAAGCACATATCCAGATAGATGTTTCACAAACACCGACAGTTCCTTTCTACATTGAAAGCAGTTATGAGATCACCACAGGGGTCACACGCGGTGCTGTAGTTTTCCGCTGCTACCGCTGGTGTCCGTAAGCGCTCTCACACGAAATAAGAAAAAAAAGCTCAAATAAAAAATGCCAAGGACATAATGGGATTCTGACTCGGGTCCTGCGAGTCCAATGGGTCCAACCCGGGTCCAATGAAATTCTAATGGGTCCACTGCATGCCAGCCCAGTATTCTACCGCTGCGCCATGCCGGTGCTTTGGACTGATTCGCAAATTTGCCTTAGACAGGCTTGATGTCGGGAAAGAAATCCTGTTAATACGAGTACAGTCGAGCCCGCTTATAACGAACCTGAGCCTGACGCGGCATCCATTCGCTGTATCCCGAAGTTCGTAGTAAATAAAACACAGCTTTTAAAACGTTGCGAGTGAAAACACAAAACTTTTTGCCCAAAAAAGTCTGTGATGCACGTGTTTCGAAGAGCAGAAGCGATAAGGGAGGTCTAGATTTTATTTCAAACGGCAGCCTGCTCTTCACCGAGACCCACGGCATAAGCTGCATGAGGCACTGGCTCCTAAGTTTCGTCGTTCTCGCAATCCGATTCCTCCAAATCGCTCTTGCCGCGTACTTAATTCACAATGCCCTAATCTGTGCACGGTTCTGCGGTGTCAGCATCATCATCGACCATAATTAAACCATCGCAACTGATGTCCCACCCGCTCTGCCAGGTCGGAGTCAATGACGCGCTGCCACAAATCCCCGCCGGAGTTTTCCTGCTCGGAATCTTCAGGCTCGGCATCGGGCCCGACGTCGACGAAGTCGGCCTCGCGAAAACAGTTTCGCGCGCATGTAGCCATCACCGCCGCTCACGAAATATTCACCATCTCCACATCTCAATACCAAGACACCCGAAGTGGCAAGCTGGCTACCAGGTGGTCAACAGGCATGAGCAAGCGCTCCGAAACGCGGCACCTAACGCGCGTTTTACGCCCAAGCCAAGGGGTCACACTTTCGAAGTTTTGCTGAGCGACAGGAAAAAGCATGCAAGGCTTTTTCTGGATTAACACGCCAGTCCGCCATCCTGATGACACACGCGCACCTAGAGCCAGCAAGACGCGGAACACACATGCCAGAATGTGTGGTACAGCTCTGGGCCCGTTTGCTGGTCAGAAAACAAAACTTCTGAATTCCAGTCAGCGTAGTTGACGTCGCGGAGCGGTGGAGACGGGTGAAAGAGTTGTGTCAAGAGAGGAGAGCCGATTTGTGAGAGAAGGGCGAGGAGTTGCGATAGAGTGAAGAGAGGGGAGGATAGGGCGGGAAGGCAACCTTGAAAACCAAAACACGCGGGAAGGAGGCAGGTTGGGCAGCTTGCTTGAAAGGTCCGCGAAACGCGCTACTCGCGCGTAGATGCACCCAGAGGTCTGAACACAGCTGCCTGGATCGGCGCGCGTGTGGTGTTCAAAGAATTGGCGGCCATGGTTGAAGAATTGTGTTGTTGCGTTGCCGGGTTCACGTGGCCTCACCGACTTCGATATTTCGCGATTCGTTCCACACAAATTAACAGCCGCTTTTACCCTTTCGCGCGCGTGTGGAGGGCATGCTGAGCCAAGTGCGAAGTAAGTGAGAAGAGGTCCTAAACACGAAAATAATCGCGAATTATCAGAGTGGGTGGGGTAGCATATGCGTGTGCACTAGAACGATGCGATAAGACAAGACGCAGACGATCGGATACAGACGATGTTGGCAAATGGTCTAGTCACTCTAGGCCAGCGACGTAATTGACAGTACCATTGATCAAAAACAGCGCAGATGGCTGACCGGTCTTCGAAATATGGGTGGAAGTGTGAAAACACGGGCCACATCTGGTGATGTGGGATGCTCGAAGTAGCGAGGGAGAAAGGACGGAAGGGTGCGTAACAAAGCGGTCGGGGAGAGGGGCAACCAGAGGGGGCGCAGAGGCGGGGTCAGCGTTTAACAAAAAGAATCTATGAGCACGTAGTCCTCGCCTTATCCATGGATGAAAGTGGTTTCCCGGGAAGTCGGCAGAGTGCTGACTCCGTTTGCGCTCAGAGACGTTCGTTGTAAGTGCGATTTTGTGTCATTGAAACAATGTATATTTTTATGGTCCTATGGATATTGTTCAATTTAAGCGAAAGTTCAGCCTAAGCGGCCCGTTATATGTGAGCTCGACTGTATTAAAGTGCTTTAAAGCAGCAAAGCAACAACCAGGCATCACACAATGCAAATTGTGTAATGAGCACAATTTCCAATGTTTCGACCCATTACAAAAGCCTGTTCTTGTTCCCCTATTAACTGTGGTGCATACCTACTTCAGGCGTAATTCTTCATCATCGTCAGCCACTTCATGAAAAATTGGCACAAAATTCCTTACAAATGTTAAGCGGATATCACGCATCTCCGAAGAATGGTGAAGAATAGCATAGTGAATGCTAGCCTACTACACAGAAGTTATGATTACTTAAGGCGTAGTGGGTACCCAGCAAGTGTGCTTGTAGCAGTTACCCAAAAAGTGTTTAAAAAAAGCTTCGAGAGGCTGCTCTTCCAGCTTTCGCTGTGACAGTGCTGCATGTACCGCGCAGGCTTGGGCTTGGCATTTTTTACTTATTTATGTGGTACGCCTTCGAGAGTTCACGAGCTAATTTGTTTTGGCTTCACGAAACATAGGCTCACACATGCATTTTTGGCAATGGGACAAAAAGTGGGCACCGCCAACTTTCTTTAGATTTTGTGTGCGCCCCCTTAACCGGTCAGTAACTCACCAAATCGCCCAGCAATAAGGAGCATATTCATCTACACTGCCTTTTGAACTGTTCTCACAAGTAGAAGCATAGTTGAAGAAGGGTCAGACACGTGCTTCCTTTTCGCTCTGTGATCTCTTACAGATGGGGCCGAGCCCAATGTAGCTACCACTGGTCGCTAGGCTATGCGCTTTTGCGCTGCCGTCGCATTTCAAGAACTCCATTGCACAATGCTCACAGAACAATCTCCGGGCTGAGAGCTTCATCGCACGCTCCTACGAGAACTACTGTTCTTATAATGTCCTGACTGTCTTCAGAGAGTTTGTTTGTGATCCTACTAGTCCTCACTTACATGTTAGTCCAGCCCTGTTTTCCTGCGATCTCGACTGCTTTCAGGGGTTCACCGGCCAGCAGGTAAAAGTCCGCAGCTGCCTTGGGGTCGTTGATACTGCGTGCCCACTCGGCTTTCTTCAGCATAAGCTGGCGTGTGTCCAGGGTCTCGTCTGAGCCAAGGTATTCCTGCAGGTGAAGGCAGAAAGAAGTCTGTTCAGTTGTTGAAATAAAGGGTTCCTGCAATACTTTTTCAACCTGGTCAGAAACTGCTGTCGATTGGTAGTCGAGGTTCCGATAAACACGAAAGCCAAACATCACAGCCCAGCACGTGGCATGGAATTAGCAACAAAATTTCAATGTCAGCTAGAAATTGCTTGCTCTTTTCTCAACAAATGATTACGCTTGTCCAAATATTCATGCGCTATGAATATTCGAACGAGCAGTTCAGTATTTGAATTTGCTTCGATGCGAATTTAAATTACTAAAAATTTTGAAGTATTCCAAATGAATTAGTAGGTGTATATTAGTTTGTGTGTAACCCCCCCCAGTGAAAATAGTTTCACTGCAGTAAAGGGGGCTATATCATGAATACAAATATGTAGAAAGAATCTGCAGTGTCGTGAAGCCCCACTTCAAGGTTCAATGAACATACATACTACTCTCGCATTTATTCATCATATTTTTTTTTTAAGTTTGAAAGCTTGTTACTCCAGCTAATACACTCTAAGTACAGCCAAACTACTTTATACGAGACAGTGATATGGAAGACAAATGGGTATAAGAGATGCCGGTATGCCTACAATAAAACATGGGAGATAGGAAAATGGATACAATGTCCCCTGTTTATGAGAGACATCCCATATAAAAGACAAGAACTGCTGCCCAGAGCATGCATTTTATAACAAGAACTGCTGCCCAGAGCATGCATTTTATAAAAGAGTTTAACTGTAAAGTAAATTTTAAAACCTGGTAAATTTTACAGGTTATCACTTGCATTCTACAGAAAGTTGCATGCTGCTGCTATTTGAAGTTGCTTGCACTTCCCTTCGAACTACAAAGAACGACATTTGTACACACCCTGTTTCAATAAAAAATATATAAATTGTGCAGGTTAGTGGGGTCATCATAAATATGTTCATTCTACTCAACAATGTGTGATATGCAGTGTTCGAGTTAGATTTGAAATTGTCTGATTAAATCGCTGTTCGCTTCGAACCTAGAATTGACTTAGCGCGCAAGCGGTAAGCCAAATGATGTCGTACACTTGAAATGAACTGCGTCATACCCAAAAGCACAGGAACACGGCTACTAATTCATTTGAGCTCCATGACCTGCACAGGTGCCATCGTGTACCACGAGGTGCCTCTACCACAGAGTTTCCTAAAATTACCTCAAGAAGACTCAGGCGCTGCGTGCAATCATTCAGCCAGTGTGAGAATGATGGGTAAATGATCTGTGCATAGCATGTCCCCTTCCTTTTTTTAATCATCTGTGTGCCACAGCAGAGTTCACAAACACTGCGAGTGTAGAGACATTGCAGCTAACAAGCACACAGCAGGTGAAGGTGACGAAACTGCCCACACCAATTAACCAACGGTCGCTTCCTGCATATACAGTTGAAGGCCCAACAACATGCGCATGATTTTGGAGCGACGACGACAAGATTTGCAGTCATCATGGCTGTCCCGAAGGGCCATCTATTGCTATAACGTTGCACGCATGTCACAGGTTTTCGGAAAACCAGAAAAAAAAAAAAAGATCTCTTGTCACCCAGAAAAGAGGGTGATGATTTAAGTGACATGGTAGCACCCCTGATTCTTGCAATCTGCTCTACATGCTTGTTATCTGCGCATACTTCAAGAAATGAAAATCATACAGGCTACCTTTTCTACAGTCACTTCTCATGCGAAGAGCAAGGTGATGGCTGTCTTTTGTCGTTAATCTTGTTATCAACCTTATAAATGACTTGTTTTGATGCTTCGGTTGTAGCTTGCAGCAATGATGGTTACTTGCTGCAATGTCAACGTCGTCTGACGTCGTCACAGTCGTTGCGTGAGGTTGCCACGAAGTTGGCAAAGTGTGTCGTAGCGCACCCTTCTGGCAGATACCACAGTTGCAATTGAACGATTGACAGACAAGAAAGCCACAAAACGCTTTTATGGAGTGCAGGGGGTGATGCAGAGACAGCTTGCAAAAGATAGCGCCATCAACCATCGAAGATGACGGAAGCGTAACAAAGAAGCTGTTTCCAAACAGTGTACGTGTTGGTTAGTTGCGCAAGGTTAAGCTACCCAACTTTTCTTTTTGTATTGCTGCATTTTTTTCTGATCCTGAAAAAGCTTTCATAAAATTTGCCCTGCATAATAGATGTACCCCCAACCTTGCTTCGATTTTCTGGAAAAAAAGTGAGTTCATTACGTGAGTATATGCAGTACTTTTTGCTATGATTTCATTCGTTAACATTACACTCTTTCATGGAATTATTTGTACATTTTTCTACTGTTATATCTTTTGTTTGACTGATACCTTTTGCTACCGTTGCTATGAAGTAGTACTTAATAACATAACTGCTTTGTTTATAGGAGGTCCCGACACACTCTCTTGACTATGGCACCTCCTTATGTATACTAGATGCCTGTAAGTTTCTCCCCACCTTCAATAATAAAATTATGATTTTGATTGTCAACTAAGACTGGTTTATTAACCCAAGATGCAGAATAGTGTGACAATCCCAGAATTGTGGGCTGTGCAAGGTAGCTCCACGAAACCAATTTAGTACGCTGGCTTGTGGTGCTGCAGTTACCACACGAAGGGGGAACCACTAAATGCACAAACGAGAAGCCCCCTGTAAAAGCAGTGCATGGCTCCCTCGTTGCAGGCGTGCAAGCATATCTCCTGCAGGGAGCCAACACCAGACAGGAGAGAGCTCATGTGGAGAAAGGCTGTCACAGGACAGTGAAGCGTGCTAGTGAAGCGGGCGGCGCCCGAATGGCTGCACGGCCGAAACGTGCGGTGCATGGCATGCACTGGGCAAAAAAGGCTTTGCTTCATCACCGCAGCTGCCATATTGCCATTTAATGACGGTTCCTGGCACTCGAGACGCAGGATGGGGCTGACACACATGCTTGTTGGGGAATGAGGCACTAAAGGGGAGGAGGGTGCTCTCGATTCCTACAACTAGAAATATTTAAGTTGATCAAACCGGATATCATATCGTCGATAGCTATCAACACCAGCAAATTTATTCGCATGGTAGCAGTGGCATTAGAGGTGCACCAACCTGAGCGAGTTCGAACATCCGCAGATCCGTGTACATGTCGACAGCCTTGGAGTTGCGGCCGGCCTTCTTGTACAGCCGAGCAGCCTCGGAGAACCGGCCCTGCTGGGCCATCACGTCTCCGAGCAGGGACTCTCGCTTCTCACCGCGGGCCTCTTGTTCCTGTCAAACAACATGAGACGTCGAGAATGCAATGCTCAGAAAACAATGTGCGAATTGAATGCAAAAATATGGCATTATGTACGAGGCCAGGCATGTTGTTGCAATGCAGTGTCAAAATTATGCTGACCAGAACTACGAAAAAAAAGGGGGCAGCCATCGCTAAATTTAGAAGAATTATCTAAAAATAGGAAAACTGAGCATTATTACGAGTTATCTGAAGACAAAGCACCTGCAACGAATATCGGGCTGATCAGTTGTCATTGCTCCTTCCAACTGAAAAAACATGCTTAGAAAATTACAGCATGACAAGATTAATTAGTGTGTCCCAGCTTCCCAAAGATAGCACGCAGATATCTATCCTTCATGACAACTTTAAGGGGGCAGGCTGGTTTTCGAGACCAAAAAGCAACAAAAAAATTAACTTATTAAAATTAACATATTTGGTTTCTGCAAGTATTTTTCTATCTCTGTGCAAATTTTCACACACCAGGAAGTGATAACATTTTTGTAATGTTATTCTAACTGTCCAGATTCTCGGTGCTGCTAAGATGCAGAACCTGCGAAAAAATGAGAAACTGGCTTCAAGGCTTCTTTATAATTTGCCGGCACCTGTGTCCGAGGCTCTACTACCAATTTATAAGCACCTTTATGAGGATTGCAAAACATGCGCACCATGATTGTTGCTTTTTGAAGAAGCTGTGTGTTTTCAGTTTGTTTCATTTTTCTCAAAAAAGTAAATTTACGACTGTTCAATTTTGAGGCCTCAATATTTCTGCAGCTAGGGCAGATACAACAATAATTCTTTTGCAATGAAAACCTGTATGTATGTAGAATTCAAGTATGGGAGCAGAATTTAGAGCACAGGCCTTTTCAATCAATTCTTCAACAAAATCGTAACACAATTCCAACTGCTTTTGAAAATTGATAGTTCATTTTGCAGTAAAATAACCAAGAAAGGCCTAAAAAGAAAGAAACTCTTGCATACTTTCAATCTATAGTCATTAGTCTATGTCGGCATATCTTAAATATCACTTTTAGTTAAGCACTTTTTTTTTCTATGGTGGCCTTAAACAATAGGGGGTAAACTTAAGTTATCTCAGGAACAAGATGAGTTACAGGAAAAGTAATTAAATATTTGAAATCAGCAGGAAAAACTTCATAATCCTGTGCAGTTTGATCAAGATCACTGAAGAAATAAACAAAAGTATGTCTAAGACCAGTCTGCACCCTTAAATAACTGCATATGTAGTGCTGACAAGCAACAGTGACGCACGATGCAAAAATTTCCTGTATATTGTTTGATGTATGTAAAAAATTTTGGTCTCGTGGGAAAAACACACTTATTTGTTTTTGCCGACATTAGCCGTACTACCATTTTTATTATCAAATATTAGAAAAATATTTTATTTGATTTCCACCTGGTTTTAATTTCTCAAATTGGCTTCATAGTTACGAATTTGACATTCACACACCCAAAGAGATGGCTGCGTTTGTTGAAAAGCGACGCTTTAAGGTCAGCTTCTTTTACTCAACTTTCCAGTTGAATGACTGCAGTTGGAAAGTTAGCGAACCAATCAGATGTACAGCAACAGGATATCTGTGTGCTTTAGTGGTGCAAGCAGACACAAACGACACCAACTGAAGGGAATTTCAGGGTGGCGACAAGCAGGCTGAGCAAGCCCGCCTGAACACAGCTAGCCGTAAGAGGCTTCTCAACAGCCAGTTACGATGGGTTCAACACTCTGTCAATTGCCGAAGACTGCCATCAGTTGGCTCGTTCCCTGACTAGCGAAGCCCAACATAGACAAAAAGCGTGACATGACGATATTCATCACCCAGCTACCGTATTTCCTGTTCGCACCCTTGTTTGACTATGCATACCCTCCACCCCTGAATTCCCTGGCCTTTCTTCTAAACTTCTGGCACGGTACCACGGTGCATACCGTGTCCTCGATGCCGCCTCACCGGCGAACTACATGTCGAGCCCTTTCCACAATTGCCAGACTTGTGCCATCGAAGACGCGAGACCATACATGTCGACCGCCTAAAGTCGTACAATGACCCCGTCACTCTACCTGCTCCCCGAGTTGCCAGGATGGCTACACTTCAAACCGGGGTTATTATAGTGGAACAGATGCACCATGGGGTATGCGCCTGTGAAAGAGGACAACAGAAGAGCAGTGCTGTGATTGCTCGAGAGCCTGTGCCATTTTTACCAGCCTTGCAATGCTTTATCATACAGTCCATGTTCATTGCAACCTCAGCCTATACGAACCTCATAACACCAGTGTGAATGAGCTAAAAGCTTTTTCACACTGGTGTACTACTGCAAAGAGCTCGTAACAGCTAATGTACTGTACAGCGGCAAGCAACCAGACCTGAAGTGAGCGGACCAAGCGAAGCATGGCAGGCTCCCCCAGCCTCACGGCAGCCCTTTTGGCCACAACGAGGTCGAGGGCCTCCAACGCCTCCTTCGCCAGATATCGCCAGTCCTCCTCGGGCACGCCCAAGCAGGCTATGGTGAGGGCTTCCCTGGGCACAATATGAATGCATTCACAGTTATACGAGACATCGAAGAGAAAACAAGATCTGTCATTTTAGGCAGATGATTACTACCCTTCAAGAATTGTGTCATTGAAAAGATGGAAAACTGAGAGGTCTAGGTCTTATTTATCTGGCTGTAGAGTCTTTCAACACACTGAACCGAACCGAACTCTGAATCGATTACTCACATGCCTAAAAATTTTTTAAAGAAAATAAAAATAATAGAGCTTGCTACTTTAGCATAAGGTAGCAAACAAGGTGCCTTTTCCTCATTTGTATATATCTTTCTCTTTCTACATGCTTTAACTACAAATAACTCTCATATGCAAATAACATCATTCACACAGTTGAATGAACATGGGAATATCATGGCTCACTGGAATAAGACGGTCATACAAATTTAACAGTGATAATTGTTGGGGATTCGATGTTCCTTAACCATAATATGATTATGAGAGGCACAGTAGAGGAGTGCTCCGGATGATTTCAATCATCTGGGGTTCTTAAATGTGCATCTACATCTAACCACACGGGCCTCGAGCATTTCGGCCACTGTAAAAATGCAGCCACCGGACTAGAATTCAATATCTCTGGGTCAGCACTCGAGCACCATAACTACTGGAACAGCGTGGCGGGTTTCCAGGCACATTATGCATGCATTCACATTCACATGATAGATCTCCGTGATAAAAAAAAAGCATTAAATTAGACAGACAATCACAGATCTAGAATTCATCAACGCAAAGGAAGGGAACCAAGAGGTGTCATTTTTGTCAATAATGAAAGTACGAAGTTTTTTTAGCAATTCATCTTTACAATCCATCTTTACAGTAACTTTATCTGAACACTTTCATGCTTCCATCCAAAGCACAAATAATCTGCATATGCGTGAGAACTGTAAGCCATGCCACTCTGTGAAGGCGGATGAAAAGCAAACCTGTTCAGCACACGCAGAGTTGACACAGATTTTTCAACCATGGTTGATAAAATACCCTGCAAGTAAATCCGAAATGTGTCGTGAAAGTCCTGAAAGAGCACTAACTTAAAGTTTTCTATTTAAGCATCACAGTACTTTATTTACTCACATAACTTGTGCCCTCACATGATTTGCACAACCCTATTGTTTTGACAGGTTTAACAAAAAAGTACATATATTTACTCGTATATTTTGCACTTTTTGAACTGCCCGAGCCAGCTCCCCGGTGCACGCAAGAAGAGACTTGGGACCTTTGATGGGCGTGCCATGGAGTTTCCTAAAATTAACTGGAGGGGACTCTGGTGCTGTGATTGTTCAGTGACCATAAAAATGATGGGTAGTAAGTACACAGATTTGCCTAGTCTTCTTACTTGCGACCGGAAAATCGCACTTGTGGCTTCGTTTATTGCTGTGTTTTAGTTTTGTTTCAAAGGGAAGAACAAACCTTTTTGAACTTTGTGACCCTATTTAAAAAGGTAAGCCTAAGATATTAAGGTGGTGAAGGGCAACTGTTGAACATTTGCTGATTTTGGTTTCGTGACAAAACAGCTTTAAGCCACGAAAACCCAAATGGAGCCAGAAGTACAAATATTAGACAAATCCGTGCACTGCCCACCATTCCCATGCTCGCTGAAGCGCCGTGCATTGCAGCACCCATAGGCACTAGTGCCAGAGTTCCCTCTAGTGTATATTTAGAAAACTCTATGGGGCGCCCCTTATTGTAAAGCTGGGCGTCGTCGAAGAACCGGCCTTGCTGAGCCGAGCGCAGCCAGAGGGGCTGCGCGTGCCAAGTCGCTTCTTCTGAAGACTTCTCCCGAACAAGACTCCCTAGGACACTGTACCCGAACGGTCAAACCTCTCTGACAACGAAAAGCGAAATGTCGCAAAAAAAAAATGGCACACCTTTGCCGGAACTGCTCGAGCGTTTGCTTCTCTCTACTCCCCATCTCCACCACCGTGAGAATGCACGCTCGGATCACTGCGTCAGAGGCATACAAGGGCCTGTTGTGCCAACTGTTCACTTTGTTCTCTGCGTCCGTGCAGCAACGCATGCTGGGTTGACTTCGGAAGTTTAGGTTTTACCACCCGCTCGTCACGTTTTTACTACTCCCTCGCAATGAGCTACAATAATTACATACAAGGGGAAATTAAAGCTCGTTGTTATGAAGTTTGGCAAAGAAATTGGGAACCGTGCTGTCGCCAAGCACTTCAGCATGGAGTTTTTCGACATGTGACGTTTCACGCGATCGGTACCGGAGAAAGCAGAAGAGTGCACTCTTGCTAATACAAGTTCTCTACCGTTGAAGATGGCCTTTTTTATTATGTGCAAACACTTCGGTCCTCTAGTAACGTTGTGTTGTGGCACCTAGTTTCTCCCCACAAAGTAGAAAATAGTTTTAAAAAATAAAGCGTTCAAATGCGCTCAACAGAACCGAGGACGATGGCTTTTGGGTGGGCGGTGGGCGATGACAGTGGCCGTGACGATGATTCACAATCGGAGCTCTCTATCAGCGATTCCTACTATAACGTGCGTGACCACATCTTGCTGGTTAAAGCACACACAACTTCTGGTAAATCAACAAGTGAACTTATTTTGTGCTCCAATTCAATATTTATTTGTGTTTGTGTGTGTGTGTGTGTGTGTGTTTGTGTGAGTATACTACGGGCATTAGGATTATTGCACATTATATTGTATGCGTTCGCAAAATATCTGCGTAATTTGTGCACCACACCCCCTTCTCGAGAGCCCAATATCGCGAAAAAAAGTGTGAAATTTATGCAAGTAAATACAGTACTTAAGTCCTTTTTTCCCGTTATTCATTTTGCAACATGCATAATTTTGTCCGGCGTGCTGCATGTGCTTGGTGTTTTGTGTGCTACCTTAATTGGTGTTTGCAGTCTGCGTGTTCTCTTCGTAAGTTCTGGCGGGCCAGTGGTGAGTGGCTTAATTTGCGTGGGACATACATTCTCGCTGATGCACAGGAAAAATACACGGAGCCATTGCCATGGACAACTTCACTTATGGATCAAATCCCGGCCCCGGCAGCCACATTTTTGCGGGAGGCGAGAACGCTCGAGGCCTGTGTACTTAGATTTAGGTGCAGGTTAGAGAACCCCAAATGATTAAAATTTCCGAAGCCCTCCACTGCGACGTCCTTCATAATCATATCGCAGTTTCGGGATTTCAAATCCCATGAATTATTACTATTATTAACTTCACTTATAAAAACAACACAAATACAGTTGAATCTTGGCACCTACATCATGGGTCATGCGAGTGTTAGGGTCATACAAGTTTACCAAAACTCTTAGCTAAGATGCATTTTGCACACAGTCACATTCCTTTGTAAGACACATTGATGTAACAGACAGTTGGGTACTAGAGACGCCAGTGTGCCTATAGTAAAATATGGGTTGATAAGAAAGTGAATTTGTGGTACCCTGCTTAAAGGAGACACCTCATGTAAGAAACAAGAATTGCTTACCAGTGCCTGTCTCTTACAAAGGGGTTCAAGTAAATGTGTTCCGCGTTGGAATAACTTGAACACTCTGCTGGCAGCATTAGGTATCACACAACTGTTGACTTTCACTGAGACCTCTCAAAAAAAGAGGGCACACCTGTGGCACCCTGTTATGAAGTTATATTATGGAGCCTCAGTTTTTAACGGTATTCAAATCGGTGTTCTTTTTTTTTCCAGATGTGAGGAAGGAGGTGTTATGCCATTTTTAACGTACAATGACATACAGTACTGACCTGAAGCGGTTTTTCTCAATGTACTGGTACAGGCACGGCGACAGGGGAATCTCCACTGTGGTGACACTGTTGTGTTGGAGGCAAAAGAGCTTGCAGCCTCCAAAGCCAACCACAAAGCCCTGCATTTGGGTGAAGACAGGAACGAAATGGTTTGTCATTGGAGCTAAGTACTAACCATGGCAGTTACCGTATTTACAGAATTGTAGGCTGACCTACTTTGTCTTAATTTGATAATCCAAAGTTGGGGGTTGACCTAGAATCAAAAACTACTTTCGGTTGTGAAAGATTTCTGAAAAGATCTTCCCGTATTTTCGCGAGTTTTTGTGCACAGCTTTCAAGCACTGCCATGAAGCCACTTTGGGCACGCCAGAATTCAACTTGGTTTCCCTCGGAGACACCGTAAGAAATTTTTTTTTATGAGATGTGCTCCTGCGCCCTATTTTCGAGTTGATTTACAATCACACAAATACGGTATACGCGGACCAAATAAAAGCCACTAATAAACGACGCCAAGGGTGCAGACATGCCGAAAGGTACCACAGGACGCTGTGCTGACACTAGTGACAGAAACCTGGAATAAAAACATTTCACAAAATGCGATCTGGCAGTCAGGTACTAACGAATGAATGTGACAGGTAATTGGGCGACGAAAATCACAGGACACATTAGCTTTAGTGTCTGTCTATGGTGTAATACTTATGAAATAAATTGAATCAAATTAAAGCGACAGAAAAATCACCCTTTTTGGTCGGTGGGTACCCACTACATTCAAATCATCTAGTAAGTACTTTACCAATTTAGCTACGATGAATAAAGCTACGGTTCCCTTTCCACTTCATTGGGTATTGCCATGTGTCTAAACCGTGGGAGTGATAGCCAGCGCCACATGTTTGCCAAGGCAGCAAGTACAGAACACTCTCTTTGCAGTTTCATCCTGAAGCCTAGGCTTGTGTGAATATTCAAATACTTCAAATATTTGAACAACTGTATTCAAATTTAAATCACTGAAAACTTCGAAGTGTTCGAAGTAACTTCCTGTAAAAGTGGTTTTACTGCAGTGGAGGAATGTGAAGCCAAGAAAGCATCTATTTAAACTAGGCTTGTGCGAATAGTGAATATTTGGTTCGAAGCGAACTCGAAGTGTATAGTGATTTTGATCTAATAATTTCAAATTGAATTCGAATAGCATACATGAGATATAAAGAAAAATGGGCATATTGATCATGACGTAACTAACCTGCACAATATTCTTTTTTTAACTTCAAATAGGGTCTCTATTCGAATGCCATTTCTTTTTACCCTCGAAAGAAATCAAAACAAGTTTGTGAAGTAGCAGGATTTGACTTTCGGCAGGATGCGAGTTATAAGCGGTAAAATATGTAACATTTTAAACTGTATTATACTTAGAGCATAAGAGCTGTCATAACAAGCTTTTAAGCCTAACAAAATGAATGAATTTAAGGTGATATTTTATTTTAATGAGGCGCTGCTACACTTTTTTAAGAAGCCATGGAATGAATTCACTAATGAAGCTTATTGCCTCATGAATTCGCCACCACAAATAATTTTAGATTCCATCCAGGACAAGCGGAGTTGCAAAGATTTGTCGCACGCTGCAAGTGCATTCTTCTCATTTTGACAAAAACACTGGAAGCTAAGCAGGGAGAAATGGCACAGGGAAAGAAAACACGTCGTGCAATCTTTTTGAGCTTGTGGAGTCATTTGCCAAGAGAAGAGAGCCATTTCTAGCTAACTTTGAGAATTCATTGGCCATGCACTGCGCTAAAATATTTAGCTCGCGTGTCCTCAGTAGCCTAGACTACCGATCCCCAGCGCTTTCTGACAATGCTCAAAAGTGTTGCAGAGCCCCTTTAAATTTGAAAGGGGGGCTTTGTGGCAGAGCAGCTTTTTTTTTTTTTTTTTCAACAGATGCTTTCACGGTTCAAAGCTTCTACACTGCACTGAAGGCACCTTTACGAGCATTACATTAAAAATTATACGGATTTATTCATTGCTCGCAGATACTTCAAAATTCTCAATAATTTAACCTCGAATCAAAGCAAATTCAAGTACCCTATTATTCATTCAAATATTCGAAGCATTCAAATATTCGCACAAGCCTAATTTAAACGTATAATAATCCAAATGTAAATCTTTCTAAAGATGGTTTCACTGCAGTACAAAGCGCTATGCCGTGAGAACATTTTCTAAAAATATTTTCTAACTGTCATGAAGCCCTATTTGAAGGTTAAATAAACATACTACCCCCAAATCGATTCATTTTTCTTTAATATTAAAAGCTTGTTAAATGTTGTTTCCATACTGGCTTATACGTCCTAAGTACAGTCGTATCCTGCTATAACAAAGTCCGCTACAACAAAATTTCCGCCACAACGAATAATTTTTTATTCCCCGTCAGCCGCCCATAGAAAAAAATGTAAAGAAAGTCTCATCGCAACGAATACCTTTTATAGATGTTTCCGCTACAACGAAGTTTTGGCGAGCACTACCACTTAAGAAAAAGGAACTTGCCAAGGATTGTCACGAAATTCCACTAGCAACTCGGCCATTTGTCGTTGGCTCGTGACATCCAGAGCTTGTGGCCGCATCACAACACCTGTGTCTTTATCGAAGATGCATCTTTTGGCACCAGATGCACATCCCGGTAAATGTTTCGCCATTGACATGCTCGGCGACAGGTCGCTCAACCATCATTACCCTGATGGTGGGTTTGATGCACGTGCAGGTCACGGCAGAATTGTTCAAGAACTACTGCCATGTTTTTGACTGTGGCGCTCAAAACAAAACTACAGCTCGTCATCACTAGCCCAGTGATAGTGAATGACATCCACGGCATTATGATAGCGCACACGAGGTCAGCACGCACCTAGTCCAAGTGCAACTACATTCTACCCCAACCACTGCGAACACGAATCCAGTCATGGTGATCACGGGTGACCACGAAAGTACGCGCACCGATTCGACCCAATACTGCTAACTGCATGGTTGCATACAAAACCGGGTCAATGCGGCGATGCAGTTCTGAAGGCACATGCTCGCCCAGCGCAGCGGCCACACATTAGAGAGCTTTAGTGCTGGGTACCGAAGCGGCTTGCATACTCAGGACGTTGGGATGGAGGCATTGCGCATGCACGAAACCCCAAGCACATGCGTCGTTAGAGCGCTGGGGCTAGATCGATAGGGAATACGCTGCGAAAGTGTGCAGCTAACACTGCCGCAGACTGAGAGCAATAAAAACGTAAAACGACCCAAAGCGTTACGGCTTTCCATTACGCTGCACACTCAGCATGCACCAAGGGTCGTCTGAATGTAGTATTTTCTTCGTGTAAAGCCACCCGTGATTACAACCAGCACCCTCGACTGCAAATCGCGGGAGAAAGAAAAAAAGTGCCCGCATATTGATGCAAAACCGCCTTCTTTGTATTACAGTAAAGATGCGCCATGAAGCCAACTTATGCACCAAAATTCTCGTATAACTCGCACACCTAACTTTAGCTCCTTTTAATTTCTGTATATTTTGATCATGTTACACACGACAAAAAATACTTCACTCGGTGTGCGGCCAGGTACGCCCAAGTTGGCAAGAGTTCAATGCATGTGCTTGCTGGGACCAAAGGATGAGTCATAATCACTAAATTTTGTGGCCTATATTTGAAATTTCGCTACAACGACATTCCACGACAACAAATTTTTTTACATGCCCTGTCAATTTCGTTGTACTAGGATTTGACTGTCGTAAATTTTACAATGTAACATATTTTACAGGTTATCACTTGTGTTCTACCGAAAGTCAAATCTTGCTGCTATCGAAAGTTTTTTCCACTTTCATTGAACCAAAAAAAAAAAAAGGCATTAGCACAGTCCTTGTTTCAAAGCTTTTAAAAAATACTATGCAGGTTTGATGGATCATGACAAATAGGCCCATTTTTCTTTATAAGTGATATACACCATTCACATTTGATTAAAAATTATTCAACCTAAATCACTATTTCCTTTAAGTTCACTTCGAACTTAAAATTCACTATTTACACAAGCCTACGGTGAAGTAGAACCTGTCCTTTAACATCCCACACATCTTACGAATCTGCGCATCTTCAACATTTTGCAGTCTTTTCATGCCAGGATATTGTGCAAGAAGCCTAAACTTCTACACTGATTGTCGAGATTACACCCACCTCCAGTTTTTGCCTCAGTACGGGGAACTCTCCAGCCTTGACAGCCAGCGCTCCGCCGCCTGTAAAGCAGAGAAGCTCGGCGTTCTCGGTGTTCCATGCCACGCTGTTGGCGTTGGGCTCCTAAACGAGGTAAAACATACACAAGTTGTGGGACTAAGTGCATTTCAGACTCTTCAAGATTAACTTGCATAATACCCGTAAGAGACAAAAATAAATAAATAAATAAATAAATATAGCCCGTTTCACGCTATAAAAACGGTCAGAAAACATATATACACACTCAAACCTCATTACAACGAAGTTGAAGGGGAAACACAAGTATTTCGTTATGTCCATTATTTTGTTATATCTATTATAACAGTTTTTGGCAATGTATGCTCAGATGGGCGCACACCTATAAGCATGCAAAGAAGGAAACCGCCTCATGGCCTGATGCACTGCTACGTGACCACACGTGAGACGGCAAATAAACACAGTCGGATATCATTAATTTGAGCACGCTTAGTTCGAACTTCCGGTCAATTTGAACTCACACTGCGGTACCGTCAAAGCTATGTGTATTCAATGGGCGAAAACGCCCTGTAATTCAAACAAGCAAGCACTTGTGACGGTTAATTCGAACATACCGCGCTCCGAAAATGCTCTCAGAACCATGCCCAATCTCGCAACAGCACCTCTCAACGGCACCTCTCAACGCTGCATGCAAAGAAGGAAAAGAAGAAAAGAAAAGACTGTGGTGGATTGTTTGCTCTCTCTCAAATGCCGATCTGCGACGCGCCTATGCCACGCTTCTTCCTTTTCCGTCTCTGCAAACAAAGACCCTTCTCCTTTCAAGGCCGCGCGGGGAGAGAGAGGAAAAAAAAAAGCTGTCGTGGTGAGTTGACTCTCTCTCGAATGCCAATCTGCTTCTCTCCGCGTGCAGATGCTCCTCCTTTCTCAGTGCAGAGGGTAGCAGCGTAGACGCAGTTGTTGCCGTCGTCTTTAGAGAGTGTTGGCAATGGACTTAGTCGCGCGCTACTACGCTTTGCAAACTACGTGCGAAATTGATTCACTCGTTGCAAGGCAAACATGTACAGACGTGCATCACCGATTACTTCAATTAATAACGGATGTCCTCCGATTTGTGAATAAATGTAAGTCTTCTGAAGCTTCTCCATTTTGTGTCCTTAAGGGGGCAGACTGCTCTTAGACATTTTTTGTTTATTTCTTCAGTGATCTTGATCAAACTGCACAGAATTATGCAGTTTTTTCTACTGATTTCAAATGTCGAATTAGTTTTTCTGTAACTCATCTTATTCCTGAGATAACTTAAACTCACTTCCTATTGTTTAAGGCCGCCATAGAAAAAAGGTGCTTAATTAAAGTGATATTTAAAATATCCTAACATAGACTAATAACTATAGATTGAAGTAATGCAAAAGTTTTTTGTTTTTAAGCCTTTCTTATTATTTTACTGCAAAATGAACTATTTATATTCAAAAGCAGTTGGAATCGTATTGAAATTTTGATCAGTAATTAATTAAAAAGGCTTGTTCTCTAAATTCTGCTCCCATACTTGCACCCTACACACATACAGGTTTCCATTGCAAAAAGAATTATTGTTGGGCAGCGAACAGTTGTAAATTTACTTTTTTGAGAAAAATGGAAAAAACTGAAAACACACAGCTTCTTAAAAAGCAACAATCATGGTGTGCATGTTTTGCAATTCTCATAAAAGTGCTCATAAATTCGTAGCAGAGCTTCTAACACAGGTGCTGGCAAATTATAAAGAGGCCTCGAAGTTGGTTCCCCATTTTTTTGCAGGTTCTGCATGTTAACAGCACCAAGAATCTGGACAGTTATAATGACATTACAACAAAATTACCCCTTCCTGGTGTGTAAAAATTTGCAGAGAGATAGTAAAATACTTGCAGATACCAAATATGTCAATTTTAAAAAATGATTTTTTTTTGTCACTTTTTGGTCCCAAAGAGCAGTCTGCCACCTTAAGTGAGAGGAAAATCGCTTTGCATTGCAGCGCCGCTTCTTGGTCATGTGACCCGCTGAGCGCTTTCACAATCCTCTCCGCTGGCTGTGTGAGGACGGCTCTCTTGGCCCCGTGTGACGTGGCTGCAATGTCGGCGCGAGAGTTTTGAAAGAGCCGCGCCAAACGAGCGTCAAACTCAGCAGAAACCGATATACTTAACACACAACAGTCGTTTCCTTTTTGATAGGACTATTTGATAGACTAACTTAGTTCATTATATCCATTTATCGGTCAATTTTACTTCATTGCAACGAGGTTTAAAATGCATGGTTCTCAATGGAGCTTTCAAGGGAAATTTCACTTACTTCAATACATCCATTATTTTGTTATATCCCGTTATGTTATAAGGAGGTTTGAGTGTATATTGATATTTGAATATATATTATTAAAAATAAATATATTCCATCACATATTATTTTAATTATTTCCTTATACACCCCGAATAATCATGTCATTGCCTCTTCTTTCTCATAATAGAATACTGCCAAGTGGTTGAGCCGGTAAGCAAGGCGGCGATCAAACTGTTAAAGATGAATGTTCTTGCAGAGCAAACTTGTGCTCAGATAATTAAGTAACACCTAATGTGTAAGCGAGTAAATATTGCCAGAAAATGACAAGTGTTGAGCATAGTTGTAAGCTGATAGTAATTTGACCGTTGGCAGAGTGGGTCATCTTTTTTACAATAACGGCAGAAGATTCCGCTGTTATTGTTAGTGCTTGTATTGGCTGGAGAATAAACTCGACTGCTCGTGTAATTCATGCATGCAGTCTTGTAAGAATGGTCTAAAACAATCAAGAAGTTTGTTTCCCAAGCATTGCGGCATGCTTTAGCATTGAAAGCAGTTTTTCGTCGGTGAAGCTCGATCTCAAATACATATAATCGTGGCAATATCAAGCACTTTGAAATAAAATTCTGCAAATATGACACATTTACAAACAGTCCATAATCATTTGTGTGCTAAGGGGTTATTCAGTCGACCTACGCATGAAACAAGCATGAGCAGCACAAGAGAGGCGTGCTACCTGAAAGAGTAGCTGCCTGGAGTCCAGCTGGTAGACAAGGCAGGTGCCTTTTTCATCCACGACAGCTAGACGTGTGCGGTCAGCGCTGAGGTCCAGACAACGTACTGGACTGGTCACCTGCGTCGAGGATAAGAGTCGTTAAACAAATTACGACGCTGAGAAAGAAATTTAGATGTAACGACACCAAGATTTCACCACAGACATGATCAATTTGGCCGACACACAGTGCCCACAGAAAGAAATTCATCAACTGAGGGCAAAGTAACAAACGCTTTCGCTTCCACTGTTCTTCACTATCTGTGACATGTCTGTGACATGTCATTTTCAGAAACAAGATTCATTGTAAAGTTGCACGAATATCTTGAGCAAGTGCATGTACCAGTTTCATGATAATTTTCTTTCCATGAGCAGTGTTCAACCACTTCAGCTGCAGATCCCTAAATAGCAGCTTAGCTGAGAAGTTAAAACAGACCAATGGTAACCACTGTGAGACACACATCATCATCATGTTGCTGTGAGCACACTTTATTGCTTGCACCCATTTCATGACTCAAAAAACAAAAAGGGAAGAAAGAAAGGTCAAATTGGAAGTCCCACAGTGCTAGTTTTCCAAGCGACTGGTGTCCTCCCAAACGACTTGAAAGCACCTAGCCAGAGGTGTGCTCAAATCTATTTGGCCAGCACATACCTGATGGCAGCAGCTCTCTGCCTCCCACAACACCAGCAGATGCTCAACCTTTTCCCCAGGATTCTGGTGAGCTGAGGTGCACCTAGAGGCATTCCCAAGTAATGGGGCCACTTTTCTGGATGAAGTGACTCTATTTTAAGACAAAAACTTATGGGTTTCCATTTGGCTATGAGAGTTTAACCCAATACCTCAGTCGAAAGGCAGACACTCTAACATTCAGACAGAGGAACGGCAGAATGAAGTTTCGAGTTACTTGCGTGGACGCCCACCTTCCTTTGCAAAACTCGCTACACCGGACAGCCAAACCTAAAAATTAGGTTGCCTCTTAAAGAGCCACTCACCAGGTTTGACAATTTAGAGCTAACAAGTGCAATGTGTAGACGAGGCGTTCATGATCACGTCTGCCAAAGTTTGCTACGCTACACGCCGCGGAAATCGGTCAAATTGCAAGATGAACGCTGCTCCCCCCTCCCTTCTACCAGCGCGCGTCCTGAGAATGAGGGCATGACGTGCGAGTATGCTTGGCCCTAGGTACGCGGCAATGCAGTGACATTAGTCCTCTACGTAGACAACTCTGCTCTGACGTTGCAAACAGTAACATGTGATATGCAGAAATTATTTAACACGGCATGAGTAGTTTATGTAATTTGTTGCTTGAAAAGATCAATAAAACTCTAGATAAATAATGAGACGCAATAAGGGAATGTTTGCGTCTTTTTTTTATTTTTTTCCCACAAACTGCAACGAGATGCGAAGCTAATGTGTCGGTGTTTCGCATGCATTCATGTCCCCGCGGTCAGCGCATGGTGCAGACGACCACCGTAGAATGCTCCTACGCGTTCGTGCACTCATTGTGCTCACCTATTCTACCGCGTCTAAGCCAGCGTTTGCAAACCATCCCACAGAAACAGGCAGAAGACCACAAAATAACGCTGGTCAACAAAGCAACGCCGCTCGCGTGCTCGAGGGTTGGACTTGTTCTGGCACGTTATGCGAACCTCACCTCTTGGTCACATGCCGGAGAGGGTGGGGAAGAGATTTGGCTTGCGAAGGCTACAAGGAGGAGCAGGAAGGGTTTCGAGCTCGCCTTCTTTCATTCTCGTTTCCCGCCGCTTCAAAAAACCTGTTTTTTCTGCTCGTGATGAACCGATTAAAAAAATTTTTGTAACAAAATGTTCCTCATCAGACACCCAAACACATCCACTGTCTAAATAAAATTTGGTATGGCGCCTGGTGAGTGGCCCTCTAATGTTTTTCAACAGCCAATTGTTGGACCACATGAACGTGCAACTTAATTACGGCAGTGTAATTTCATGACCTTTACTTAATTTGCCCTCAGCAGTTTACTATGGTGACGAGTTCCTTCTGCAACAAAAATAACATCAGGTGCTTGTTTTGTGTCCTTCCCATACTGCTTGCACTGCCGCTCAGGCACTGCACAGTTGCATATTCACTAGCAGCTGAGGTGCACACCTTGATAAGAAACAATGGAAAAGGGTTGTCCAGTAGCAGCTGCAGCACCTGCCCGTCTCGCAGGCCAACCAGGAGGCCCTCGCGTCCCACAGGACCGCCGAGCGCCTGGATGTAGCGGATCGCCGACGACAGGACCCACTCCCGCTCACAGGCACCACCACGAAGACGCAAGCACTGCAGCCGCCGTTCCTGCAGTCAATGCAAAACTCACACTTAGCAGCTCTGAACTTCCAGAGAAGTTGCCAAATGCAATGTGCTATAAGTCAGCCGTGGTACAACAGCATGCTCTGTAATTCTAGGCAATAGATAAGAAAGCCCTGTGACAGTTTTTTGTAATCCGCACTGTATTTTTGACCAAGCAAATGAGAAAGAAAATGACTAACTGTGAGAAACAAAGGCAATTAAGTATAAACTAATACGGGGACATAACATTTGAAAAAAAAAATTACACCATCTCGCACTAGAGGGAACCATGTGGAGATGCAAAGCAGTGCTGGTGTTCACTTTTGTTCATTTGTTGTTTCCATTTGTATGTTGCATTTGTGTGTGGAGTTGTGTTTAAGTTTTGTACCGCCATGTTACCCCCCTCCCATTTCTCTGTATTACCGTGTGTGTGTTGCAAACACTCAATGCTGCTAGGAGAGTGCAACGAAGCAAGCACGTGCAGCCTTATATATAAGCACACAGCTGTGGCGGAGAAATCAAAGGGAGAGGAGAAACAAAGTGGAGTCAGCGCTCTGTCAGATTTTTTACTCTACCTCCTCCTATCTCCTCGCACTCACGTGAGGAGATGGGGAGAGTTTGCACACGCTCAGTAATCGTGGCCACAACCCACACCTAACTGCTCCACCATAAACTGCTTTGCATCTAAAAAAATTTAGCTTCGCGATAAATTGCTAGCCTATTGAGAGAAAACTCTATCGTTTCTAACTACTTGCACTGCAATAACCGTACTCAATTCACCAGAACACATAACCATGTAACCCCAGGTTGGTACAAGCCACACTAGAGGTGTTTGCCATGGAATGCTAGAGCATGAATATAACCTAGACACTGTCCTGTTAAAAAAAAAGAAGCATCAAAACGGAACACAAATTGGTAACGATACCTTGATTTGTATGAGTTGGTTTGTCTTGGCAGTGTTCACATAATGCACAAACAACGAAGGCGAAAAAAGCACATACGACAGGACTGGTGCTGATTAGCACCAATCTTCGACATTTGCACATTTTACGAACGCTACCAGGAATCGGCAAAGTGCATGGGCATGCCACTTACAGTCGACGCAAACAAAAGCCGGATGCACATATAATGTAACACAGCCTTCATCACCAGTTGCAGCATAACACCACATTGCCTGAATTAGCTTACTTTAAACGGGCCCTGAAACACTTTTTTGAGTAACTATGGAATTAATTTACTGGAAAAGCATATCACCTCACAGATTGAATGCCGCAAAAATTTTAAGAATCTGTTCAGTACGAGTGAAGTTACAAAGATTTGTCACACACTAAAATCACATTCTCTCTTCTCTCGTCCCGACGAAAGCGCTGAAAGCTAAGCAGGAAAAGATGAAAGGGGCAAACAAAAACGTCACGTGTGCGTCGTGACCTTGCGCACTTTTTTTCTTTTTCTTTGAATATGCGGCTTTTTCAGTGCGCTCGCGCGTGGACAAGTGATGGCCTCTTGCGGCAGTCTCTGTAACAACCGAGTGCACCATGTTCAAATCAGCCAATGGCTGATTTGTTACTTATTGGGCTTATTTTCCGTGATTTGTCGAGAGAAAAGAAACATATTTTTAGCTAACTTCTATAATTTATTGTGAATTATAGGCCACGTGCTGCACTATAATATTTGGCTCACATGTTGTCGGGAGCCTCTACTATCGATCGGCAGCGTTATCTGACCATGCTCAAAAAGTGTTGCAGGGCCCCTTTAAAGAGCCATAGTACATACTCGAACATCATTTAGAATGTTAGGAGATCACATGCTGTGTTCACTGAACCAAGTTGCTTGCCAACCAACTTACTCCACTAAAAGTGCAACATTCGAACACATTGCCAACAACAAAAACAAAAGAACATCAGCAAAGAACCACGTGAAGATGAGGTGATAACCTCAATCACGGCTTCTTTATTCGTAGCGGCTGCACTTTCTGTTCCTCGACATTGCATGCACATTATGTACAAAGAATTGAGTAAGGAACATAACGAAATCATGAATTTTCATCACTTCTGAGCATTAGTACAGCTTTGAAGCCCTGTAAGTTGGTATCAAAGCATAAGCTCTTACGAGCCCACAACAAATGCAGATTTTGATGGTGCCATTTCCACCACCACTGGTGTTCGTCAAAACTGTCATGCACAAGGGGAAACAAAGAAAGAAATCAGGTTTCGAGCTGAAATAGATAAAAGGCAATCTCCAGTAGTACACTGCAGAGCCGTGCCAGTGCTTTAAACCCAATAAGTGTCATGTAGGGCGAGCAGCCACTTGAGTAGTCATGCCAGAAAGGTGTGGCAGAAATTTACAATCAGTCGGACCTCTTTATAAGAGACACTGATATAAGAGACAAATGGGTATAAGAGACACCAGTGTGCCTACAGTAAAGTACAGGTTGATAAAAAAATGCATACAAGGTACCCTGCTTATAAGAGACGTCACATATAATAGACAAAAATTGCTGCCCAGAGCACGTCTGTTATAAAGGGGCTTAACTGTAGCACCATGCGTCGATACACATGGTGTAATGAATGTGAGCTTTGCGGCCAATTGTATCAGTGCGCACTACAGTATGATCCCTGGCCATTCCCTTCTCACATAATGTATATTGCTATCCGTGACATGCATGCAACCTAATTAGAATTTCCATACATGAACATATGTGTTACGCCAAGTGATAGCCTTACTACATTTGTATCCCATAACATACTGCCACAAGCAAAATGTAAAGAAGGATGCGGGTCAACATCAGTCCGTCATGAGCAATAGCGTGACAGAATCAGCATAAACTGAAGACTACGAAGGAGATGATGCACGACTGTGGCACGTGTGAGCATGAGCATTCAAAACCACTAAGAAGCCTCCATGGTTATTCAGAAGAAAAAAGAAGAGTGGTGTTGAACAGGACAGTAGAGAGATGTAAAAGAGAAGTGCACAAGGGGAGGGAGTGAAATGTGAGAGGGGCGGCTCGCAGACTTCCTGCATGAAGGCTGCTGCAGGCTTTCACCTGGACACCGACCCAAACTTCTTCAATATTCTGGCATTTGTTAGGCGAACCTACGCCTCTGGCTCCGGGGCCAAGTGTCAGCAGGTGAACACCTACAGGGAATCCGGCTGTTGACCTCAACTCATCATATACTTCCTTCCCTCCGAGTTAGCATCACCACCGCATCTCCAGCCACCGCTGTCTGTGCTATAGTGCATCTCCACCATGCCTCTGTAGTCTCTTTTGTACAGCCCACGTCTACTGAATGAACTTTCTCATGAATGCATCTTTCTTGACTCTTCTTAACATCTGTTTTCATTTGTGCACTTGTTCCTGTTTTTGTAACTTGCTAGCTTCATGACTGTTTAAGTACTATATTGAGTGTCTGGCTGTTTGTATGCACAAATGGTTTCGTCTTTCACTTTTTGATGTTGGTTATGTGACCGTTTTTTTTTTATGAACCTACACGAGAGGGAATCGATTAAATACCCTCGTGATACAGCGATCATGCCAACAGGTGGCATGTGGTGCTATCAGAGGCGCACTAACCTGGCAAAGAACAAGGTGTTCGGAGCAGACAACCAGCAGCGTGCACTCCACCTTGCGGACAATCTTGTCTCGCAGCCTGTAGTGCATGTCGTTGGGCTCGGACGACTCGCTGCTCAGCTCGTACACCATGATTCGTTCGGGCAGCTGGACCTGCACTCGGCGCACGATGGGGGATTACACAAGTTACACAAGTTTCAAGCCTACGCAGTCACTGAAAAGCCTCAGGCAGCCAATAACCAAGATGGGTAAAGACTGCTGCCTACAATTTTTCCATGCAACAACAGTAAACAGTGCGCTGGTAAACTCACGGCAAGGCGGTGCTTGTAGATAGCCAGCTTCTTGACCAGGTCACGGCACTTGATTCGGACTGCAAGGTTATTAAGTCAACAATGGCACACATTAGAACTAATATGCAAATTCTGCACTCAGTGAAGCCTGCATTCATGCCGGCAAATGGAAAAGAATAAAAAAACTGAGCCGTAACCATCACTGCCAATGCAAGCACACAGCTGAATGCTAAAGTTAATGCCGTTATATAGGCTTGTGCAAATATTTGAATGCTTCGAATATTCTAACCAATAATGTAGCATTCATTATTTGCTGCTAATAGAATTCAAATGATTGAAAATTTTGATTTCAGACAAACGAATAAATGCACAATAACCGGCATATAACACCCAGTAAAGATAATTTCACTGCAGTGGAGGGGCACTAAGCTGAAAAAGCACTTGTTTAAATATATTAGTTGGGTGATTCCACGTAAGATTGAACAAAGCATGGCTAGTCGACCTCTTAAATTTATTTCAAAATTTTATATCTTTTTGCCTAATGAGTGGAAAGAAGAGGTCCGCAAATGGTGTTGCCGGAAAAAATTTTTTCGAAGCAGAGTAAATCAATAATGACGAAGAAATAGAGTGCCACACTTACCTGCTCTGCCGTTATTTCCGACTTCGTCGATGAATTACACAATATATGTTAAAACTACATACTTCGAACTTGTTTAGCTAAATATATGCGTATTTTTGCTTATGTTCACTACTCTGAGTAGTGCAGGTATTTTTATAAAAAATCTTAAAAATCGTCCCGGAAAACATTTTTTCGCCTACTTTGCAGGCCTTAATTTCAAAAAGAGCCTACGACAGAGCGGTGAAAATTCAGCATTATTTTCTAAGCATGTTTAATTACAAAACTTCCAAAGCTTATATCAATTACACTTTTTAATAAAAAGGTTCAATCGTGCTAACTTAAAGAAAACAGCATGCAAGAGAAGCTTCTGACAACAATTAAAAAAAAAACATTCTTGATATTTTTTAAACTTTTCCCACTTATTTTCTTGCACATCAGCTGTCACAATCAATAAAAGCATGTTGCATAATGTGGTTTCACTTGCAGTTACTGCTCATCAAATAATGCCCTTGTGCAAGAATAGGCGATTATACATCGGACTTCCTGCGTGCTAAATATAAAATGTAGGCTTTTACTGCAGTTCTTTAAAAGACAAACAGCACTGAAATACCTGTAGACTGCACTGAGCACGCCGATTTCGAAACTATTTGGTCACGGGAGTGGCCATGAGTGCTGTATCAACGAGTAAGCAAGCGCGCACAGTCAGGCGTGTTCCGGGGAAAAGAGGGCTCGTTTTCGTGTCCTCAGATGAATAGACTGCCATGCAACCGGGCGTAACTTCCACTCATATGCATCGGTGTGCCAGTATTTTATCTGCCCATTGCTCGCCATGAGCCATGAGCTGTTAACACAAAGTGCAGACGTAGAAGACATTGTCTTACCCTTTTGTGTGTTCAAAGTAAACACATACAAAAGCGTGTCTAGAATAGGCTGGTATAATTAAACAAAAGGGTCCCGAGGCGACTGATGTGACTTGGGCACAGCAGGATTCCAGTGCACGTGCTTGGTGGGTAAACAAAGGTGATCAGCCAAGGCAACGTTTCCTTTTTCTACGACGAGATTTTACAGAACAGAGCCTTTTCGCTAGCACATCTGTAGCTGTGGTACCTATGCCACAATGCGTAAGCTAACCTGACGCAAGTGTGTTGAGCAGGTGAGCACCAGCATAAACGGCAACTGTTATCCCCTTCACTACGTCTACAAGCTGCCACAGGCGTGAAAGGCAGAGAATGCTGTACCACAGCCTCAAAAGTTGTGTTTTCATGACACGTGATCGCGAAAGAATCAGTCACGTAACAGGTGCCGTGAATTAGATTGCTACGTTGCCAGCATTCACAGGACAGAAAACGATTTCATTGTTTTTTCCTGAAGATCCCAAATATGACTTCGGCCTCTGCTTTTTTTGCTCCATGTAAGCTGAAATAATACGGCAGGGACAAGTTACGTATAGTGGCGTAATACACAATACATGGGCTCAGATTAAGATTTGGTCGCTTGTGTGAATACAACTGTACTGACCCCACAAACCTTTTGCACGAAAAAAAAAACGCACATGTATAAAGGTAGTGCGTATTCAGCAAGGGACACGCTGCATGACAACTTAGTGCCACTACAAGTCTTCTGTATCATCACCTTTTACGTCTAAAGTGACTCCAATCATCGATTCGCCATGGCGGGCAAGTGGTCACGATGGTGGCAGCGGTTATCCCGGTGGTGGTAGCCATGCTTCGATGGAAGCAAAACGCCAGAGACCCGAGTGCTTACATTAAGATACACATCAAGTTAAACCCCATCAATTATTATCAAGGCGTATATTACAGGTGGTTTAAACTTCTGGAGCCCTTCACTACAGCATCATCTCAATTATACTGTGGTTTCGAGGCATGGAGTGCTTACAAATATTAGATTATACAGTCAGTAATTACTAATTGTGAAAGCCAAGCACAGAAGCAAAGAAAGCTGTCTGTCTTGAAAACAAGGGGATGCACACCTTTCTCGTCAGTCACGAGGTGCTGAATGATGACATCTGTCATGTTGTCTCTGTATGCATACCGTTCGCGGTACAAGCTGTGCACTGTTGAGAAGCCCAGCTCAAAGTAGGCTATGGTGCCATCCTGACAACCCAGGGCCTGAAAAAGTAAAGCCAAATTCAGCGGGACACTTTAAACTCTCAACATCAAGACCACCAAGGAGCTGCAGAATGACGGTTTTAACACCGTTAAGCTTTACAAATAGCAGATGCAGGCACACCGGTTCACAGCATGTTTAGACTGAACTGTTTTCCAAGGTATCTCCTATGTATTGACCCAGTGAATGTCATTTGATAAAACATTTGTACTATTGTGCAAGTGCCAGTCTGCCATGTGCTAAGTAGCTAAGATTTCCATCAAAGTGCTCCTCTGCGATGGATGCTCACCCAAAATTACAATGGCGACATTGTCCAATCTTCAAGTGAAGACGCAATACTGGTTACACATGGTGGGTCTTGTATTATGCACGTAATTTTGTCACATCCACATTTTTTAATGTTGTAATACAGGCTAGTTGCCTCTCTGCAATGTTTGATAAGGTAACTACTAAGCTTGTGCAAGTATTTGAGCCCTTTAAATATTCAAACGAATATTAACATACTCTAATTTGAATTGTTAAAAATTTATAAGTATCTGAAATAAACAAATACGTGATGTCACTGACAGCTTCTCTGCACTGGAGGCCCTAACATGGCGGCAACTGTGACTTTCTATTTCATTAGAGGGAGTCAGTGTGAGTCGGTGCAGAGGAGCACACAGAGTAGTTTGGTCTTTGCAATCTTTTGCGCTCTCTCCGCTTTCTTATGTTCGCAAACCGCGCCAAGCAGGAACACCGAAGAACTTGAGAGGCACCGGCCCTAATCTGATGTCACCATTTCTCGGCACATTTGAGTAAGAGTTCATGCAGCATCTCAACCAGCTGGGACCCTAAGATGGCGGCCACGGTACCGTCAATGCGGAGTATGTAAAGTATAAATGTAAATTAGCTCGTCATTCACCCCCTGTAAAGGTGGTTTCACTGCCGTAGGAGGTTACTATACCATGATAGCATTTATCCCCCCCAAAAAAAGCCACACTGCCGCGAAGCCCCACTTCAAGGTTTAAAGGGGCGCTGCAACACTTTTTGAGCATGGTCAGAAAACGCTGTTGATCGGTAGTAAAGGCTCCCGAGAACACGCGAGCCAAATGTTATATCAGAGCATGCGGCCTAGAGTTCACAATAAATTACCAAAGTCAGCTGAAAATTGCCTTCTCTTCCCTCGACAAGTGACGGAAGACGCGAGAAAATCACACGTAGATTTCCCATCTATCAGGCATTGGCTGATTTGAACATGGTGCTACAGAGACTGCCGCAAGAGCCCGTCACTTGTCTACACATGAGCGCGTGATCGCACTGAAAAAGCCGCATATCCAAAAAAAGAAAAAGAAGAAAAGTGATCAAGGTCACGACCCGCACGTGACGTTTTTTATTTGCTCCTTCCATCCCTCTTTTCTTAGCTTCCAATGCTTTCGTCGGGACGAGAGAAGAGAGAATGTGATTGCAGTGTGCGACAAGTCTTTGTAACTCCGCTCGTACTGAACAAATTCTTAAAATTTTTGCAGCGTTGAATTTGTGAGGCAATACGCTTTTCCAGTGAAACAATTCCATAGTTACTCAAAAAAGTGTTTCAGGGCCTTTTTAAAGGGCCACTCACCAGGTTTGACAGTTTTGAACTGACAAGTGCAATGCGTAGATGAGGCATTCATGATCACGTCTGCCAAAATTTGCAACGCTATGCACCGCGGAAATGGGTCAAATTTCAAGATGAACGCTGCTCCCCCTTCCTTTTGCGGGCATGCGCCCAGAGAATGAGGGCATGACGTGCGCGTATGAATGGCCCTACGTACACGGCAATGCAGTGACGTTGGTCCTCTACGTAGACGACTCTGCTCTGACATTGCCAACAGTCGCATGTGACATGGCGAGAATTATTTAACATGACATGCATAGTTTATGTATTTGTCGGTTGAAGAGAATAATAAACCTCTAGATAAATAATGAGGCGCAATAAGAAAATGTGAGCGTTTTTTTTTTCATTCCCCCCCCCCCCCCCCGTGAATTGCAATGAGATGCGGGGCTAATGTGCCAGCGTTTCGCATGTGCTTGTGTCCTCGTGGTCAGCGCATCGAGCAGACGATAGCCGTGGGACGCTCCTACGCGTTCACGCACTCATTGTGCTTATCTATTATACCGCGTCTAAACCAGCGTTTCCAAACCATCCCGCAGAAACAGACAGTAAACCTCAAAACAAAGCTGGTCAAAAAAAAAAACTATGCTCACGTGCCCGGGGGTTGGGCTTGTTCGGGCACTTCATGCGCACGTGACCTCTTGGTCGGATGATAAAGAGGGTAGGGAAGAGATTTGACTTGCGAAGGCTACGTGGAGGAGTGGCAAGGGTTTCAAGCTCACTTCCTCTCATCCTCGTTTCACGCCGCTTCAAAAGAACTGTTTTCTCAGCTTGTAATTAACGGATTCAAGAAATTTTTGTGGCAAAATGTTCGTCATCAGACACCCAACAACTTCCATGGTCTAACTAAAATTTGGTATGGGGCCTGGTGAGTGGCCCTTTAAGGACCACATTATGCTCACATATATTCTTTTTTTAATTTAAAAGCCTGCTATGCCAGCTTATATGCTCTAAGTATAGTGAATTTTAATATGCTACATATTTTACAGGTGATCACCTGCATTCTACCAAATGTAAAATTCTGCTACTATTCGAATTTTATTCCACTATCTTTAAACCAAAAAGAATGACACTTGCACCAGCCTTGTTTCAATAAAAAAAAATTATACAGGTTAATTGGGTCATGGCAAATGTGCTAACTTTTTTCATACGGGATAATGCTACCCAAACTCGATTTAAATTATTTAAACCAAATCACTATTAATTTCAAATTTGCTTCGAAGGTAAAATGTACTGTTCACATAAGTCTAGTAGCTGCATTTGAATTAGGCGAGCAAGCTAACTTCTACAAGGGCTAGCTTTTGCAATAATGAATGAAATACTTATTATATCACTGTTTCAGAAAACTAGAGAGTGGGTACACAAAACAAAAAAACTGCCTGATGCAGCTTGAGGACCGTTCGGTGAGTAATGATCACATGATTACAGTATGTGAGAATGGCTGTGACTGGCGGAACTTTGAATGTGATGCAGCTGCAGACACCTGGCAGTAGGACAGGAAGAAAGGCATGGACAAATGCACTGCCAGCCTAATGAGCTGCAGGGTAAACAACATGTGCAAGCACATATCTAATGGTTAAAATGAGAACATAGAGCCCGGAATCAGTTTCATATAGAATGCTCCAACAGTACCACAAGCATGTTAGTTGCTTCACATGAAACTGAATGTGTATCCAACTGCACACTACATAGACGCTTCAACAAGCACTTGGCTTTAGCTTTTGTGTAAGGCATTACAACTGCACTTAAATGTGGAATTTGAATTTTTTTCTTGGGTAATAAATTATGCAGGCTGTGCAAGTGAACCTCTCTTCTTTTTGACAGATGCCAGAATGCAGCGAGGTCTATATAAAATGAAGAAAAGAACTAAAGCAAGGACACTTCATATATGCTGACTAGTACAGCGCCAGTTCAAATGCGGATGTGGTGGTAGTGTTTTAACAGAGGCGAAATGGTATAACACCTTTCCAGACCCCTTCACAACGACATGCCTTGTAATCGTATCAAGGTTTCGGCATGTAAAATTCAACATACCACTATGTGCGTTTTAGATGCGAAGTAGCTCTTTAACTATCCTGTGTAACACCGTCCCTCCATACGAACACTCCCTGCGCCACAGGTGTTGGTGCGGTGGCAAGTAGGTCACGCTGCCACAGCATGTTGACGTCACGCTCCCCTCACGTCACTCTCTCCCTGTCCTGCCACACGCTCGCCGCGGCACCCCCAGCCGCCGCCTCGTCCATTTGCTCACCACACCTACAGCGACCACCGTTCGCTACACCGCGGACTCGTCGGTTCAGGCGCAATAAACCTGACGCACCTAATGTACACATTAAAACACGTCTGTACATGTCGCCAACCATCGCTCCAAGCGAATCTTCCCGTGCTCACATCAGCACCCGCATCAGCCCGTTCAACCCGTGACACCACCCGTGCGCAACGCTGCTGCTTCGCATCCTATCAGGGTTCCTTTTGGAAAGATGGTCCAAGTTTTTATCAGTTTGCAAGAGTATTTTTAATTTTAATATACTTAGGTTTCACCCACAAAAACTGTAACCAATGTTTGATGTAAATCACACAACAATGTTTGGAAAGATTAGTGAACGTTTGAGATGGTTTTTAACAGAACGATCTCCCAAAAAGAATAGACAATTTTACTTAACAGAACTATTACACACAGGACACAAATAATCAAGATTATTGATGAGCTTACATGAGCACCAGTGATAATGCTGCAATTTTTCCATGACTAATTAATAGAAGACAAGACATTCCACTGATGATGAACCGATTTATGTGCATGCCGCTTTTACTGCTATTTGAGAGGTGCTCTTGTGCCGAGCCCAAGTTCACTCAATGAAGTGTTTTATCGTTACTGACTGCATTAAAATTTTTTTGCCATCCCAACCCCCCCCCCCTCCCCGACAATATTACTGCTGTTTTACTTTTTCAGTTACAAAAAAGAGCTGGAAATGCTCCTGCTCACCAGGTGGCTGGCGTCTGGGCGTGCCTGACAGCACCACACCCATGAGGCTTGTTGGGAGACGGGCCCGACGCATATGCCGTCTCGCGTGTAGACACGTGCCTCCCGGCACGAGCCGCCCACCACGAGGTACTCGCCACCGGGAAAATAGCTGACGAAGGTAGGGTCGAAGCCCAATGCCCGCTCGCGGCCAGTCTGCTGGCCCGCCATGTTGTAGAAGGTCAGAGTCTGTGCCCAGTCGGCCACGGCGAGAATGTCTCCGACGCCTTCTTCCCTGAGTCATTCAATCATCAATGGCAGCACATAAATCAAAGACGTCTTCAACCGCCTGCACTGCTCTTTGTCACACTTATTGTACTGTCACTTAGTTCTAGCAGTGAAGAACGAAGCAGTCACGCCATTAACGATTCAGTTACACTTAAACTTCCTCATAACAAAGTTGTATCTCACCCAAAAATAAGTTTAGTATATCCGAAAATTTTTTATAAAGACAGTATTCCTAACACTACAGCTATTGCATGACTATTCTTTATTTACTTCGCTCCAACCAATATTTCATTATATCTGGGTTCATTATAATAATGTTTGAGTGTATACTTACTTAGACAATAGCTTTATACACTCTCAATCACCAGAACCAACCATTGGCATTGTTGGCTTCTAACATAAGCAATATAAACATCAGTGATGCCAACGATGTCACAACATGACGTCATCCGGACACCACGAATTGCGAAAATTTGTGCTATGATCATGAAGTCACTCTGACGCCATCATGATGTCACACTACGTCATGTCACATGACAACGTCACGACATGACATTGTCAAGTTACACTGACTGTGTGATCGTTTGGCGAATCGCGGAGGCAGTGCTACCCAACTTAAATGATTCGTGGTAGTGCCTTCAGATGGAGACGGGTAGTACCAACACATGAACTGTAAAAAAAAGGCGGTTTTCTTCTCTTTTGTGAATTCTGATGACACCACAATGAAGACAATAATAGGCACGTAACATGAAATGAACTGGTGAACATAGCAAAACCAAGCATGAAGCTTTAGAATGATATGGGGGGAGGAATATGTCCCTCGAATAATTACATTACATTACTATTTACATTACAGTTTTAAAAAAATGTTAGCCACAGCAGTGATGGAATGTTACAGTAGCTTCCATCAAACGGCTGAAAACCATCGGACAGCAAACCTGTTTAAGGTTTCCGCGGCATAGATAGAATTTTATTAAGTTGATGCAAGTCATTTTGGTTCTTGCACCGCACGCACCGTTTTCTGTGGTCCTCAATCGATGGGGCACTAAAGTATTACGCCTTATAAGTGCCCCATAACATTTTTACAAGATGATATAGAAAAGCTCCACAAAAGAGCTTATCGCCTCCTTTGAAACGAACCTATGCCGCAGTGAAACGAATCTATTGCTGCATAAGTTTTTAAAATCCATCCAGTATGAGCAGTTTCAAACATCTGCTGCACGCTGTAATTGCTTCCTCCTTTTTTTTGGGCCCCGCTGCGGTGGTCTAGTGGCTAAGGTACTTGGCTGCTGACCCGCAGGTCGCGGGATCGAATCCCGGCTGAGGCGGCTGCATTTCCGATGGAGGCGGAAATGTTGCAGGTCAGTGTGCTCACATTTGGGTGCACGTTAAAAAACCCCAGGTGGTCCAAATTTCCGGAGCCCTCCACTATGACGTCTCTCATAATCATATGGTGGCTTTGGGACATTAAACACCACATATCAATCATCATCTCTTCTTTCGTCCTGATGAAAACACTGGAAGCTATGCAAGAATGCATTGAATGAGGGAAGATGGCATGTCACACGTGCTTAGTGGCCTTGCGAACTTTTTCTCTCTTTCTTTCTTTTCTTTGAAAACGTAGGTTTCAATCGCGTGCACACCTACAAACACACTGCGGCCTCCTGCAACAGACCCAGTAACTCCCGAGCACACCGTGCTCAAATCGGCTAGTGTGATACTTGGGCCTGTGCCACAGTGACTTTTGAGCATGTAGTATCATTTCTCAATGGCAGAGAGAAAGTGATCTTTAGCTGACTTAGAAAATTTATGTAAAATCCAGGCCGCATGCTGCGTTTTAATGTTGGGCTCGCATGTTCTCGAAAGCCTCGACTATTGATAAGCAGCGTTTTTTTTACCAAGCTGAACAAAAAGTGATGTACAGTCCTTTTGCTATCAAAGGGACTGTGCTATCTATCCTTTGCTATCAAAGAAACAAATATGCAGTGTTCAAAGATAATTATGGCCAACATAAAGATTCCGAGCAGAAATAAAACATAAAATTTCTTTCTATCTTAAAACAGGAGTGGTGTGGAAGATGGCCTCCTGCAGGTCCCACCAGAGAGCACTGTGGAGAAGCGAATGCTAACACAACGATCTCTCCAGCAGAGCAACGACCCTGTTTGTGTCCAACCTGAGGCGAAACATACGTCGATCGTTTCCGTAGTCCAAAGAACTGTCGAACACTTTTCCAACTCGAGCGGACTGGCATTCGAGTGAGCAGCCCTCGGGCGAACACGGGATCGCTCCTCTGGCCCCGGGCCATTAACCACCACTTTGTGACATAGCGTGGGTGCTCACATCAACTCCATCGGTGGTGGGTCTTGTTCTATTGACAGCACGATGCAGCTGTATTCCATGATTTGAACCCACAACGCCTTTCATACTCAGTGACAACTACCAATCATCGTAACTAGTCTGGTGATGAAACAGGGATGAATATGCTATATATATCAGTGCATACAGTGGGAAATTACAGTTGGCAGATTATAATTAAAGTCGGAACAGTGATTCGTCTAGACTATGCCGTTTTGTGACAGCAGGATATGGCTGATGACAATGTTCCACTGGCAAAGAGCACTTGACAACAAATAGTTTAATGGTCCTGGTGGGCCTCTCATTGATCAGACAACACGAGCAATATGTAGCTTTGTGACAGCAAAGTAGTCATGATTCCACGTATGGGAACTGCCAAGAGACGTAATTTTTGCTGTGTAATATATTTGTCTTCGTGATGTTGTCTAGTGGGTTATAATGTATTCATTGTCTATGAGGCCTGATGTTCATCGCACATACACTACTATATAAAAATTGTAGCGAGCTGGAATTGGGCACGTTGCATTCACATATGATGCACCATATGACATGTGAGCTTAGGTAATTATGTGGGCAATTAGTGATCTAAATTACTGGTCTAGGTTGAGTTAATAAGAGAGTTCAATGCTAACAGAAACAGTGAGGAATTCGCTCAAGGAAACCTCAAGGAGGGGAATAAGTGAAGTGAGGAAAGGCAACTGCAGGCGAATATTCAAAACACATGTTCAATGAAGTAAAAATTGTCTTTGTCTGCAGTCACAACAGACACTAAATAAACGCCAACAAAGGGAAAATTTTTTAATGCCTAGTTTGAAATGACTTTTTTGGCATCAGCTACTGACTTCTCCATCACTTACAGTAATTAGCAAATTACGCTTCTTGTTAAGCGCTCGAGATCTCTTAGAAGCACCTGACAGACCTCTGATCAACTTACTTCACAGGGTTCCAGCAGACTCCCCATACGGCCGCCTTCGGTCCACCAGGTCTGTCAATGCGCACGACTTCTTCACCAGACTGCAAGAAACGGCCACATTTAAGGCATACGCTTTCATTCACTCAACAGCTCAGCACAAAATTTAAATAACTTACCTTCCTTTTTGGTCTAAATAATAAACCTGTCACCCTAAAGATGACACAAATAAAAATTTTGACGAATGCTTTATGAGACTAAACTGATTTCATTTTTCCTTTTCAAGCAGTCAATCATCCTCTATCTCTGACTAATGACTGCTTTAAAAAAGAAAAACTGAAATCAATTTAGTCTGATGAAGCATTCTTCGAAAAGTGGTGGGACTTCTGAATATGCCTTAACCCTTTGTGGGTTCACCTACATTTTCCACATGATAACGGAAAGTAGGCCAGTGGAATATTAAAATGACGTGCTCAGATAAGCCACGATTCAATTTTCATTAAGATAAGGCCGTTAGTTTGCAAAAAAAAAAAAAGGTGGCAATATGTGTCCCACTGACCCATGACGTGCCTTTGAAAAAGTGGGAAAACACCTGTCGCACTTAAAGTTTCTAAAAAAAACTAAACTTCACCTCTGCCTCCTCTCTCAGCAGCTGCTGCTGCGCCCCTAGAGCGTCCAGCAGGAAACTACAGACATAGGCATACCCTCTCCCAGCGCACAGGGAAGGGTAAGCCGGTGTCATCGTAGAAGCAAAAAAAAAAAAAAAACACTGGACCGAGGACGTACAAGATGGCTTTCGCACTACCAAGGCTACCAAGCACGGGGAAGAGGAGGGGCCACACACTGACGCGAGTGGTACTAGTTTAGCTATTTCCAAGAACTTTGGTCCCACTGCCTCATGAGCACCCCAAGCTGTGATCCGTCGCACGAAGAGGCTCGAAGCAAGTGGTCAAGCAGGGCACTTCAGAAATTGTTTTAAAAAAATTGGCCCCCGTATCCATATACTTCACTGCAAAAAACATCGAGGAGGAGTTGCATGAGATATGGACACCATGTGGCAGTAATGAAAAGAAACGAAAGCTTTTTAGAACGCAGAGCAGCGGGTAGAAGGCAGCACCGGGTCATTTTAGTGAAACGTCAGTAACACCTGTTTTCGTTCCTAACATCACGTTGTCAGCGCTGTGTAATAAACACTGCCGTCTTTAGATTTACGTATCCATGTATTTTTAAATAAAGACACACACTACCTCATACTCACATATTGATGTTGCGCTCAAATATGCACAATATTTGCTTTTTGATTGACAATATTCACTAGCACGGACTCAGCCAAGAGATCAAGAGGGGTGGGCTTTCAGCAAGGGGTTAAATGTTAGCTCGAGTGGCTGAATCGATTGACAGACAGACAAATAGAAAGACAGACAAACGAACCCAAATTTTTGTGCTGAGGTATCCCAAGAAAGACTATCTGTCTTTAAAAAAATTCTGGTGCAGCTTCTTTCTAACTGTGCTACACTGGGTACCTATTGTGCTGTGCCTGCAGCTTTGTCTAATTTCTTCATATAAACCAACCAGTCCAGCTCCTTTCTGTCTTCTGCCACAGTAGATAAGGATGAGCACCTGAATTATGCTTGCTTTTTTACCCATATGTAAAATTATGGTTATTAATCAGGCAAGCCTCATCAATGTGGTTTCACTAAATGTACTTACCGAATCCTGTAAATGTACACATGAGCTTTATCCATCTCTGAGTTTTTGTCTTTTATCTTGTACATTTGTTCTCTTTTTCACTTTCTGACTGTCTAGAGCATTGATTACATCATCGTTCCTTTCTTTTTTCACACTCAACTTGAGAAATGTTTTAGTCACAGCTTTTGCTTTCATCGCCACTTACTATAGTGCCAAAAACTAAAAAAAGTTACAAAATAAATTCAAGGGTTTTCTCACTTATGAAGCATTGTCCTGCGAAGTAGATACCAATTGAACTAGAAAAGGACATTTATGCATGCCTGCTATACAGTTAGTCCCAACAAGGAACTGCTTCATTTTCCATTCAAGTATTATTAGTGGGCATGGTTATTAGCTAATATGCGGTGCCATTTCTGAAACGAAAACCATAGATAAATACCAGAACTACTTCTCTCGAAAATTCATCAAACGAAAAACATGCCATAAGTTTTAAAGAACAAATAAACGATAATGACAAGGAAAGCATAGGAGATATTAGAAGTAATTTTAATGTATTGATACCACATATTAATACATTAATACCATGTATTGATACCATGTATTGTAAACATGCAAAATATTTTTTATAAGTTTCTTAAATGTTTCTGATCAACGGCAGCAAAAAATTATAGCACTGATGGTTGCATGGAGGGCGGAGGAAGCTTTGCCTGGAAAATAAAAAATGGGCAGGTTCGTTCCACTATCCCACTGTAATGCGAAGCAGTGAGAAAGGTATCTCTAACCTTGATTATTTTTAAGTAGGTGCGTTCATTGAGATGCCGGTGATTTGTACAGGCATTGGTTACTCCTTTTTGATCAATGGGCAACAAAAGGAAAAACACACCGGGAAGAACAAAGTACTATTGTAAGTATTGGAGCTAGTACTAGAGTGTTCTAGCAAGTGTTTCACACGTTGCAATGCACACTACAAGTGCACAGTCCAACAAGCCGCAACGGCCAAGCCAAATGCAGGGGGTAAAAAAAGGAAAACCTATGAAGAGATTGTCACGGTACACATGCAATACAGTTTAACATAGGAAGATGCAACAAAGATAGAAGAACACATCCAACACTTTCGAATGACAGCAAAGAGCACATCAATATCAACCACTGTTCAGTGCTGTTAGGGTGTCATGCAATTTAAATACATTAAGTGAAGACTTGAAATCACGCCCCATACCCAATATGCCCAAATTTTGCCACCCAATTGAGGGACAAGTTTAGTTAAGGCTGCAAAGTGTAACACAGGCTAGAAAACTTGCAGTGGCCTTTCTATCGAACCCCTTTTTCTTCTCTGTATTCCTTCGTGCAAGTTGAACAAAAAATAGACAAACGAGCTTACTCTGCCACGGATGCTGACAACGCCAGTCGCGAGTCCGAGTGCCAAGAACTGACCGTCGGGGTTCCATCCCGCGCTGGTGACTCTCCCGCTGGTGCGATGCTTGGAGACCGACTTTTGTTCTGAAGACCACAGCCCTGCACACCCATCATCTCAATAACATTGTCTGTAACGTTCAGGTGCCCTAGTTGTCTACAAAGCTGCACGTTGAAGGTGCCCCAAAACACTTTTCTAAGTAATAATTTGATATCCTAACTAAAGAAGCTTATTGCCTCACAAATGGACTGCCACACGAATTTTTCAAGATCTTTCGAGTATGAGCCGAGTTTTACAACTTTGCTGCATGCTTCCAACACTTTCTCTCGCCATTCGTACCAGCGAGCACATTCAAAGCTATGCAGGAGACAGGGATAATAAGGGGCTTTAAGCCGCGTCCACTGTTCAGCACACGTCACGAGCTTGAGCAGTTTTCTTTCTTTTTTTTCTTTCTTAAAATACACATCTAACTCTCAGTGTTGTCACGAAGGAGCGTGTGGGAACTTCATGGCATCCCACAGCAGCTGTGGTAATTACGCAGCTGTCAATGCTTAAGTCACTAGTGGCTAAGGCACTCGGCTACTGACCTGCAGATCGTGGGATCAAATCCCGGCCGCGACAGCTGCATTTTCGACGAAGGCGAAAATGCTTGAGGCCCATGTGCTTAAATTTACATGCACGTTAAAGAACCCCAGGTGGTCGAAACTTTTAGAGCCCTCCACTACGACATCTCTCATAATCATATGGTGGTTTTGGCACGTTAAAGCCCAACAATTACATTATCACAGATGCTCCAGTCAGCCAATAGCCATGGATGTTAGGTTGATGGCACACTCACCGGGGTTTAATGCATCGTTTGTAGAGAGAACAGTGAGGGATTTCTAGCTCACTTTGAGAATTAATTTTCAATTCAAGGTGAGGTGCTCCGCAATGAAACCTTGCCCGCTTGTTCTCGGGAGCCTCGACAACCGATTGACGGTGTTCTCTAACCATTCTAAAAAACTGTTGCAAGGCCCCTTTAAACAGAATATTTAAGCCGTAAGCTGGTGCTGGGATCCACACACAGTTGCAGAAAAGTTCTTTATCAAGAATATACAGGGTGCTCTAAGAAATGTGTCTGAAAATACTCAAGACTAAAGAAAATACAATAATTGCTTGCTGAATTCACGACTACTTCTTCTAGAGCGACACATATCTAGAGACATCAGCTGACTAGATATGTCAGCTGATGTCTAATATGTCAGTGATGATATAAAATGACTAGAGACATCAGCTGCGGCTGTTGTTAAAGAAACTAACTTTTTAATTAGTGGAAGCAGGTCAACAGGTCAAATGAAAAAAAATTGAAGTCTTTTTTTTTTTTTGCTAAAAGCCTATCGCCGCTTCGAGATTTTCAAAACGAGACCTGTGGCAGTTACGATGGAGTAATGAAATTCCACCAAAGTCACCCGTAAAACTGAAATCAAAGTGCCAGTAAGTACAACTAGCACATCACCAAGATTACATTAATGTTCATTACAATGATTGCAGTGGTGTTAGTTCTTTTACAACCCTTCTTGGACATGCACCATGTGTGGCACAATCGAAAGTGTGGCCTGCACACCCACGAGAAAAAATTGATAGATGGTTGATGCAACAACATTCGCTTATTCTATACCTCCCGGACGAGTGCAGTTATTGCACCCTCCTGCATTTCGGTTCAGGTTTCGCCTGCAATATTAGCCAAATTTCATCTCTCTAGTAGAATTACCAGTAACCGCTTTTGGAAATCACGAAGTGTCAGTGAGCTATTCTCAAGACGACCTTCATTTCTCCCGTGTGACTCAATTGCCTGACTCCCCTAATTAAAAAGTTAGTTTAGTTCCTTTAATTACCACCACAACTATGTCTTCAATCTTCTCAACATGTCTGCCACCACACACAAGGTAATTATGAAGGCAGCGAGCAAATGACATCATGTGAAACATAATGACCTCATGCTGGAAAATTTTCTGGCACATTTTATGAAACACTTTGTATAGTAATTAAGTAATATGTGTTAAAGTTATTAGGAAAAGTCTAGATACCAAAAAGGCATTGAAAAATTAGAAGGCCCTAAAGCATCGCCTTTAGGAGTTGAACGTGATAGCGACATCCTGTTCATAGTGCATACTTCAAACACCTAGTGCATGAAACCTGTTCGAATTCACTATGCACCCATTACGTGGCCTTATGGAAAAAGGCACATTAGTGTGTCTGCCTCCTGTAGAGGGGTACCAGCTTTCAACCATAGAGCCATTATAATAATCGCATATTCTGACGCCCCAATGAACATTGGGGCATCAGAATATGCGATACAACATGAAATAGTGCATTATTACTGCACTATTTCATGTTGTATTGTGAAGTAAATTTACAGGACACGTGTGTTTATGAAGTATGAAAGCTACTCTCACTGCATTTCTAAACAGAGGAAGTTCTTTTCACTGTTTTCACAAGTAGAGGTGCAGCCGTGCGGTAGAACATCCTCTTGTGCCAGAAACAACCTGGGTTCAATCCCCACTCAGACCCCAACAACCCTGGTTTGGTCCGCGCTCTGCTGCAGGGTTCTTTAGCATTTATGGTTCTCGACTTTTCGGTCACACATAAGATGATCATTTTTCACTCACAGCCAACGATGCCGAGCACTGGAATTTCTGCGAAACGAGCTCTTAAATTAAACGCTATCGCATTACAAACTAATACTGTGCTTGAATGTATGCGTGCAAGCTAAAATAAAGTGCTACAGCTGCAATGAGCAAAACTAGCACCAGTTCCAGGCACCAGAGCGAGAATATTGCCAATGATGAGCCTTGTACTCTAGCTCGGCTAAACGAGAGCAGCAACCATAATTCAAGTGTTAAGGTTGGTTTGATCAGTATTTCTCAGTCTGCATTTTGAAACCCACTTGTAATTTTGCTGCTCCCACAGATTGGAGACTTGCACAGCTATTTTTCCATCGAGGCAGTACAGCCTAGTGTGAACGTGCTCTGACAATGTAATGCATAGAGATAAATACATACATGCATAGAGATAAATACATAATTGCGCTGAACTAGTGCGCTGAAACTTGAGATTTTTACATACATGAAACAAGTGAGGCAGACAGTAAAATGCAGCGTCAAGAAAAAATAAATGCAGTGTTGGGTGCAAGGTTAGATTTAGTTCAAGCTTGATTATAGAGAATGACAAAAGATTAAAAGTGGTACACTGGTACATTTAAATCAAAACTGAAACCAGTGCAAAAGATGGACAACTGAGTGGATCCCATCTTTCATGTTTTCTGTTGACGTCAGTCTGGTTTGATGGACTGTAATTATCACTGTATTGTACACAGCTTTTAATGCGAGATATGAGGCAACAAGAATAGTTCGGAAAATGCACACAAAAGTCACAATATGATACCGAATAAAAACTACTAATTGTTTCATAGCCACACATTTCTCCAACAAAAAAAAACTTACGATCTCATGCAATAACATGCAATAAACTTTATCCGACTTTATCAGGTATTTAGTGCCAGGAAAACACATATACACGAGCACCACTTAATAAAAAGCCGAGTGAAAATTTCAATTCTTAAGGGTTAGTCCTGTACAACCTAGGGTCTTGTGGAGAACTACATGTTACTCCATGCAGTCTAATGGCATTATATTACACTACAAAATACATTGCCAGTGTGCTTACCAAAATCTGAGCAAGAACAGCTGACGAGAGTATGGGTTAGTGGGTTATAAGTCAGGCACTGAATGGAATCATGGTGTCTGAAAAAAAGGGGGAGAGAGAGAAATAGAAAGAGAGATGACAGCACTTAGAAAAGGCAGTAACATTCCGTCTCCATTGCATGCACGGATGTTTCAGTGGTTAAATGGACACATATGAACATTGATGGCAAGATTCAATTATCACAACAGAAATAGCAGGCACAACAGTTGTTCATATGGAAAGACAGGCAGTGGTTAGTAAGAACAGCTGCAGCACAAGCCACGAAGCACGGCATCTTGAATAAGGTTTAGCAGCCTACATCGTGAGCTGTACATTCAGTAGCTAGAGCAGGCATCACATGCAAGCACTCACATATTCAGAAACATGCTAAAAGGAAACACAACTCTACAAACGAAATAGTAGACAGAACTTAGAGTAGCCTCTTAATTTTGTAATAGCTGATGCCAGGTTCCAATTTGTTGATGCTATGCAATTTTGCTCATGGTGTGCAGCGAAAAATCAATGAATGTGTAAAATGCAGTTTCACACTTCCATGGTGCCATCTAGGTCTGCATATGAGTGCCACTTTCGAGCACTAAGACGTGGGTCATAAACTTTTTTTTTTATAGTTGGGTGAACAGCACCGAAATTTAATACACTCGCTTGGTTTTTTCTGAAAAGTAGAGGACTAAAAGCAGGTTTTTCTACAGCTGCATTAGAACTAGAGCATATTTCTTACGGGGAATTTTGGTGACGTTGCTTTGTCAAACAAACACAAATGCCTATGGAAAAATTGCCAGAAAGCTGGTCTTGCCTGCGATACCACATTTATTTTCTTATAATGTAGATCACCAAATAATCATTCTCGATATTCATACATAGCATTAGGCAAAAAATGTTCGCTGATATTTGCATTCATATTTTTTATTTTGCATGTGAGGTTGGTTGCAAACAATCCTATCAGCATTCCCGGCTAGATGAGTTCCCTGGCACTTTAGCCACACATCATTTAGGAGGAGTGAACTTGTTAAAAAGCCCTCTAAGAAACATGCTTCTTTAATCTGTCTATTTTTTATTCTAATGTGGTAATTAAGGGGACAATAAAGGTAAAAAAAAAGTTATATTAGAGCAAAAGCTCAATGGATGAAAACGTCTCAAATGGCAATATTATCAAGAGCAGTACCCTGCTTATCGAGAAATTAGGCTAAATGTACCACATGATGTGCGTCATGAGTGAGAAATTTTAGAAATTATCCTGATGATGTGAAAGCGTACGACTACAAATAATCGCTAGTAATCAAACTAGCTGCAATAAACAACCTTAAATGTATTAAGAGCACTAATATTATGCTGCTTACCCATTTCAGTTTGATTTATAGAAAAAATACCCTGCCTGGCAATACTATGGGGACAGAGTGAGTGGTTCAAAAGTTCCGTGCTTGCCTGGTCAGGCTGGACAGGTGGTGGGGCCCAGTTGAACAAAACAAGCAGAAAATTGTTTATTGGCCGTTATTGCTGCTGTGGCTTCCCGCTACTTTCGCTCTCTTGCTACTAGTGTCAGTGGCCACGCAGTAAAGGTGGGCAACATTGGGCATGCCAACAGTGACGTGCAAAAGATCGCTGTCAGGCGGGTGATTTTAAGTGCGTTAATGCAATGTGGATGGTAAAATGTGATTTTATATCAAAATAAGCACCTTCTCGGCACAGAAGTAGCACTACGAGGTTTCTGCGCCACTACTTCAACAATCCAACGTCAACTTGAATGTTTGTCTTAACGATTTCGAATTCGCAGGAAAAAAATGAGTAAGTTTATTAAGTTTAGTTCAATTTACATAACTAATAAAAGAAAAATTTGAGACCCACATCTTTCATTAAGGTTTCTAAGAAAACATGAGAACGAACACCCTTGAAACTGCTCGCTAGTAACAGCAAACTATCTAGCGTCGTGCAGCCGCATTGACAAGACTGCACGATTTACGTACGAATACTTGAGGATTCCCTCGAGGCTTGCCGTCCAGATAATGACCTGCTTGTCCTGCACCTCCAGATGCGAATCGTTTACCATCTCTAGCATAGGCGACGCAGTACACGGCGTCCTTGTGGCCTTTCAGCGGCTGAACGAGCGCACCGTCCGACGTGTCGTAAACGAGGACGCGCGTGCCAGCTGCGACTATGAGCTGACTGCCATCCTGGCTTGAAGACCAGGTCGTAAATACTGCACAGAAATGCATACCAGCCGGTCTATTAATGAGCATTAAATTATTGTCAATTACTAGAAGGAACCACCAAATCTTTTGAAAAGTGGTGAGGTACAGTAGTTACTGCCTTAAAGGATCGAAGGCGAGCTAACTCTGCCTTACAAGTCACTTGTATACCGAGACTGCTATGAGAAAGTGTGACGCTCAGTAAATGCTGATATTTTATTTTGATATTAGTCAATTTTGTCACAGCGCGCCTACCGACATCCACACTAACTTGACGTCAGGCTACAGTACTAATCTTGGAGACTTCACGCAGCAGTCTGCATGAAGTCACCAAGATCACAATAAAATCACACACCAGTCACATAAAAATAAATGGCAGCTTCCGCGTTGCCTCCTCGATCATCTGCTTGTGCCGTGTGGGCACCATCATCCAGCGTACCTATGAAGTGAGGTGTCTCGCATAGTGTACATGCACGCGAATACAAGATATACCCTTATCAGAGAGCACAGCAATCGTTCAAAAAAGCGAAATGTGAACGAGGATACATCACAAAAACTTGCGTGTGCACATACTATCACCTGGTGCCGCTGCTCATACCATATTGTGACGTCACGGTACAGTCGGAACCAAAACTAGCTTTTAAAAGCTTACTATAATCCATTTTTCAGGGCGCACTCATTTTTACTGGTACATTTACCGGGGCTCTAGGCCGCGTGGCCTATCATTTGATGCAAAAAAACAATAATTGAAAAATTTCATGACACTATTCTTTTAAATGTGAGAATCTATGGTCAACTAGTGTGTGACATCGCTTACCCCTTCTAGATGCCATCTGTTGAAAGGTGTCTGTAAATGCGCCATTCACACATTATTTCAAGGCACTCGATGTTCTGTTGCAGCAAAGATGACATCAAAACACAAGGTTTTACTTGGATTAGAGTAATTAAAGTGAATGAATAGATACCCGAATATTAATTTAAGCTGAAGTCGTTCATGTTGCCTTTCTTCATAAAAAGAATATAATTGCGGGCTAGAAACACTGCGCAAGTTCACTTGTTAATTCATTTATTCTTAAGCCGTAACCGACTATGAACATAGAAGTATATTGCTCTTTCTAGGCAACTAGTCAACACAATTAGCAAAAACAAGCGATGCACTCAAAAGGGTTATGGTGCAGTGGTGACACCAGTGGAGTGCACGGGGAAGCAGCAGCCGCCCGAAATTTATGATTTTAAAACATTAAAAGCCCGTTATCGCATCTAGGCTGTTCTAGCACGGGGAAGTGCTGGGGATCTCCACAAAACACCCGCAAAGGTTCTGCAAGACACATGAATATTCACAAAGAAACGTGCAATAATCGAGCACAATCGATATCATTACATCTTCCGCCCGTTTATTTCCTGGATGCTAATACTGCAAATGCACTTGAAAAATGTCAACTCATCAGCAGTGTAGAAGAACCTATTACATCATGAAACTGTCTACATATACATAAATAAAAAATTTAAATTATAAGGCCTGGCTACGAACTCGCAGCTTCAACCGATTGATCTAAGCCGCTTGAGTGATAAGCATGTATTCAGTTAGAGATTAAAAACCATGGACCATCTCCCCGAAGGGAACCCTGATGGGATGCGAAGCAGCAGTGGTGCACACGGCGTTGACCGAGTTGAAACGGGCATCGACGTGGGTGCTGGAAGAACAGTTTGAAGCGAAACTTGGTGTAGCGTTAACTCGAGTGAACGTTCGTTTGAAACGCAAAGACATGGGAGGCGGGACGCATTGAAGACGCTTGCGCTCGGTATCCTTGGCTCGCGTCTCGTCGGTGTTATTCGCGCGCCGTCTGTATTCTCCAACGCAATCGGTGTTCTTGACTGGCATCTTGTCGGTGTTACTGGTCTTTCACTTCCGACGCTTGCATTCGGCTTCCCTGGCTCGCGCCTTATCGGTGTTGCCGTCGCCATTCCCGAACGCGATCGGCTTCGCTAACCCTTGTAACGCCGGCGACAGCCAGGAAAGGTACACGCACATTAGCGGGATGCATGCTGCGACGGCGTACCGCCCATTGGCGCGATCGCGCGGCAAGCAGCGGCACGCTGTCCACACTGTCGGCGCCGCGAGATTCCCGAGGCGTGCTCAGCACGCGCACCCGCCGACTCGCGGCTTCCTTTCGATGACAAGGAGAGGTGGCGCGGGTGAAATGATTGCGACTAAGGTGCCTCGATTCACGCGCCACCGCTAGAGTAGGCTCGAACGTTGCGAGCGGTGGAGAGGGTGAAGCGAAAGAGAGCTGACACACGGTGAGCGCGCGGCAGGCGAGGGACGTCACCGTGCACTGCTAGGAGGGCGTGAGCTAGTTGGCCCCGCTCCAACACCTGTGGCGTGGGGAGCGGTGCGGACGGAGGGACAGCATTACACAGGCTAGTAAAAGAGCTGCTTCGCGTCTAAAATACCATTACCACTTGACAACATAAGCGAAGGAAAAACACGCACGATTTCTTGCAGGATTTAGTGTCGCGCAACAATGCAACAAGCGCTTAGATGTGACAAGCTTTACCGAGTCCAACATCGATTAGCATTCGATTTTATTGTGAAACACTGCGGCAACAGTCGCATTACAGTAGCTCGCATCACTGTAGTAAGATCCCGTTCACCTTCGAGAGTTTCGTAAGCACTTCCAGCTTTCTAGAGACGGCACTCACACAACGCCTATATACTACCATTTGCGGTGCCCTCAAGCATAGTTCTCGATTGCCAACGTAGGCGTTAGTGCGCCAATAAAGGTTGTCGGCGTTTGACAGCTGGCTAATTTCGCTTACCATTGCTCGTTATTTTCACGGTCGTGGACTTTGTCTACCCAGAGTGCGACGGCTCGCATCGCTGCTCGCGACGTGAACTCTTCGACCAGGATGTCCGTCGAAGATAGTTACAAGCCGAGAACGCAACTTCATAACACACGCGATGCTGACTGTCGCCATGACAACGCTTATTGCTGATGACAATGACCGTTGAGTTGTTGTGAAAGCTTTAACGGTATTTTTTTTAGTAAACTCCAGCCGTAATAACTGTATATATAAAGTAAAAAAAAAACTTTTGTTGTTACAATTATTTTACAGTAACAAAAATATTGTATTTATTAGTGAATATTTTTTTGTCTATTGCCACGCTAAAACACTATTACTCTCTGAGTCTGACTTACTAATTTCAAAGGTCATGCTTTTTGCATGTTGAAAAGATTGCAGTTGTGAAATTGTAGCTGTTATATTATTTTAAGTCACAACTTTAAACATAATAACTTTATTTGTCAAGACAGTTATAATGGTTAATTTTACAACAACAAATTATAAGCACTTTGTGCATTGCGAAAACTTAGTCAACCAAAAATTGTCCTAGCAACAATGAGCCAAGCAGCACAGAATAGTTGATAAGCAAAACAAATCGCGGCTCCTGTCTTCGGTCATGAACTCCCGGTTCAGAGAAATTGTCACAGACCTCCTGCACATTTTATATGGCGTACACAATAGCGCTGCATTACATTGAAAGTATCAGTGTTCTAATTGATTCTTGTTTGCGGATACATGTAGAATGAACGACAGGCAATCGAGCGAGCCGTTAACCGTAACCAACCGCAACTACACACTGGGTGTCCTTTCGGGCGAAATAACCGAATCGCTTTTAGGTTTTCAGAAATGTGACATGACAAGCGAAGTGTTACTCCGGCAATGAGACAGTGTCGAGCGCATGTTGCGACTAATAAAGCACGTCTGAAGCGTTGTTTTTGAAGCGAATCAGCCTCGTCGGCGAACCGAGTCGACGAGCAGCCGACAGGTGCTGAGCTGATCGGTTGTTCCCGCCAGGTGATCTCCGTTCTCTCAAAAAAGCCAAGTGAAAGAGAAAGAGAAACGCAACAGTGAGAGAGAAGGCCTTAAAGGAGGGAGGAGTCGTGCACGTAGTCGCTGGCTGCTACGGCGGATGGGCGACGAGGCGGCAGCTGAGGCGAGATCACTGGGCTAAGTTCGTAACATGAGATCGGGCCGCTAAAATTAGCACCACTTTTCGGCGATGACGTCGTCTCCCCCTTCCGCAGCAGCCCAGCGCCGGAGAGCCTGCGGCGGCACTACACTGGGTGCCTCTTCTGACAGCGTGCTTGCCGCTGTCCACTACCACCGCGCAGTAATCGGGCGGCGGCGGTGGTAGCCGTCCCACACACACGTGCGCACGCTACAAACCAAAGTGATCGACGGAGTGACCACCACATGCCAGCGTCCCAGTGTACGACGAAGAAACTCCGCATCTTCTCCGGACGAGTACTGGTCGACGACGGTGCGTCTGCGGCTGTTTCGACGTATGTGCTCTACGGTGTTGCGCTGGGGTAGGGTTCCGATGTAGCGCGCTGTTCGTGGCTGATTCAACCGCGGATATATCGTAACGAGATACAAGTGGTGTGCCCTACGGTCGCGAAGACCGCCTAAATAAACCATGGTGGTGCAGCAAGACGCCGAACCGCCGCCCTCGGCTGCCGAGGAGAAAGGCGAGAAAAAACACAAGCTCAGACAGCGGTTCCAGGTGATTCGAAAGCTGGGACAGGGAACGTACGGCAAGGTGCAACTGGCCATCAACAGGGCGACAAACCAAGAGGTGAGTCATCACCGGCTGCACTTCGCTGGACGTTGTTGCTTACTGTTCTCGTTCTATCTTTTCAAAAGTCGTCATCCGGGGTCGTTTTAAAACCCGTTAAGGCCGATGAATCCCCAAATCTGCGCGCGTGACGTCTGCTTCTCGAAAACGCGTAGCAGACGACACCTACACGGACAGCTGTTTTGGTGCTCGAGGCGGTACCACATCAATCCGGATATAACCGAACCTTGCGGGTTTTGACTTCAGCGGGTGTAGCTTGTCTGAGACAGCGGTCGGGTGACTTCTTTAATCGCTGCACCGTTTATCGCGTGAGTGGACTTCGATCGAAAGAAGAGCTGTGCACGGTGCCGCAGTGCCCACTGGGTTCCCAGTGCGGAGAACACGCGTTCCAGTTTTCATTTTCGATTGCGTGATGGTGTCAGACGGTGCGCGACTCGTTAAGCTTGATCCCCGGCAGATCCGTGCTCTCGCTAGAAAAAAAAAAAAAAAAGAAGGTAATTCGCGTTTAGGTCTGGCGGACGCCGCGCAGCAATTTGAAACAATAAAGTGGTCAGGCGTCAATCAACCCCGCTCGGAAACGACCAATTGTGTCCGTCTATGCTTCGGATCGTTAGCCGCTGCAAATGACACCCGACCTGACTGATTCTTGCGAAAGAATCTGTTGGCAATTTGCAGTGCTGTTTTACCGTTCGGTAATACGATACCTGTCGTAGGTTGGCACGCCGCATTTTTTTTATAGTCTGCAAGACCTCTGTAATAGCCATTTTGATAACCTCATCGCGTTGTGCGCTGTACAATGAGTTGCTCGCGTAGATGGTGACCACGACAGTACGGTGTTATCATACGTACTTGGAATACCAGCGCGGAAACTACGTAAACACACAGAAAAGATGGGACACAAGACGAGCGTTTTCTAACTATTGAAATTTATTGAACCAAGTGGAACTCACGAATAAACAACTCCACACGTGCGCAGCACTCAGTGTCACGCTGAAAAAAAAAATTGCTGAGCTCGCGTACCTCGAAAATCTATGAAGCAAACGAAATGTTTCCGAATCGTGAACCATCACGCACAATGTTGACGAAGTTTCCCCGAATTCCCGAGACACATCATACAAACTGCACGCACTAACCTTCATAAAATATTGTTACCTGCCACCCCCACGTCCTCCTGAATCCGGCTACGCCGTTATTTCTGAGCCATGGACCCACGACGGTAGTCAAAGTCGTCATGGGTCTCGACTGCTGGCCCGATGGTCGCGGGATCGAATTCCGGTCGCATTTTTGTTGCAGGTGAAGTACTGGAGGCCCGCGTACATTGATTTAGCTGAACGTTAAAGATCCCCAGGTCATCGAATGCTGCTCAGCCCTCCAGTACGGCGTCCCTCATAATCATATCGTGGTTTTGGGACGCAAAACCCCGTCTATAGCCGCCCTCGACTTTGTTTTCTCCTGGCCGTTTCGTTAATGGGATCTATACCGAAATCTTTGTGGCTTACACAACGTGACTGTATTAAGGTCGTAAATGACAGGTCATAACATGAAAGTCATGACGTGCACGGCATGCAGCGGTCTTGATGGTTTTGCGGCCGTATCGTTCGCATAGTGTCTGACATGCCTGTATGACAAACGTAAGGGGCGGGCGCTAACGTGAAAATCATGACGTGCATGTCATGTGCGGCACTACTTACATTCCACGCTCATGGTGCGCTCTCTTCCGTTTCGCTAGCTTGAACATGTACGGTTATAAACCGGTACTGCTGAAAAAAAAATGTATTAAATAATTAATATGTGAAATTTCACGTCCCAAAAAGCACGAAATAATTATGAGACACGCCGCAGTGGAGAACTGCGCGAATTTTGACCATCTGGTGTTCTTTGACGTGCACTGGCATCGCGCAGTGTACGGGCATCTACCATTTCACATCCATCAAAATGCGACCTGTAGCCATTGATCGTTATTTCACTCTTCTACGACGCTAATGTTATACACGTTAACACGGTTTCTAGCCTGACATGGCACCTGTATTGTGGGGTTTTTGCGAATGAGTTTCAAGAAGCACGGGGACTCCGTGGTAGAATGCTCGAGCTGCCGCGCAATGCCGCAGATTCAAATCCCCATATACACTCCTAGACTCTCAATACTTCACTGAGGGAGGAACTCGAATCCCGAAGAGTGGCCATGCATCGCGCTTTGGTAACGACGCGTAAACGGGTCTCTTCGATTGGCGCCTCGGAAGGCGTGAGTGTTGCGCCGTCTTGGCCGTATACTCGGGGGTGTTGTTTCTTTGTTGCCCGCTGGAACGCCAGGGCGCGTTGAAGGTCTCGTGTAAGCGACCCCTCGCAGTGGCATCCGTGGGTAGCCCTCCATCGCCGCGGCGACCCGTTTTATTCCGCGTTGCGTCGTTCGTCCGTGCCATACCGCGTTTGTTATCCCTGAATGCGTGCGCGCACCCACGACCTTTATTTCGCGTCGGTCGCGCACTGTGGAGATCGACTTCGCAATGTATTGTTCTCCGATTGATTGTGTGAGTATTTATTGCGAGTCCGTCAATGCTACGGTGTGGGGACAGGGCCCGGATCGACCGTATTTATGTTAGCTCTATAACTTTAGATGACCATTAGTCGTGAGCTAATGAAGCCGACCGACAATTAAGCCGAGGAACACTCACGGGTCATTCTTCGTTGGTTTCTTAACTCTACCGATGAGTCTCATTGAAAGTTGAAAGAAATTAAGTGTTCTAAAAATCACCCTCTCCGTAGGTGGGATCCGAACCCACCTGAATGCCAGTACGACGTCACGGACTTCACGCCTTTGTTTCTTCTTTATCCCCTCCATATTCTGGCCACACTTGCTGGCTAAAAATTTTCGAAACTTGCGCTGTTAGGCTATCACTCCCTCAAAACACGAAATAATTCATTTTTTTTTTTTTACCGACAAATGAATTCAAGTTGGCCCACGAGTTCGGGGGAAGCTGAAAACGGTGTCGCCACTTCCGCATTCTTGCTTGCCAAATGTGTTGTCGCTTCCATATTAGTTGAATTTAATTGCAACATGTGGGGCTCCCCGAACGGCTGTATAATCATAAGGGACGCCGTAGTGGAGGGCTCCAGCCATTTGCACCGTGGCATTTTTTTTTAACGTCAACTGACCCCGCACGGTACACGGTGCTTCGCCTCCATCGAAATGCGATCGCCGCGGTGGGCATTTGTCACGCACTTCGGGTGAGGCCCCGCCGATCCAACATCGACGTGTGGCAGACTCGCAGGCTTCCACTTTACGCTTCGGCCTGCGACGCCTGAAAGGTCTCGAAGTGGCACATTTCGAATTTATTTGCGGGTTGGCCGACCCGTGCGGGGTTGCACGTGTGGTGATGTGTGAGCCTGACCGACGCACTCATAGAGCAGACACAGAGTTTGATTACACATAAACAAGCATTTAATTAAAACAGGGGCAAAGGCAGGATATTACAAAAATAGCAGAGAGGATTAACACTGAGGCGCGATGGAAAGAACAGCTATATAACAAAATGGGCAAAAACACTACAAAAGATACAGGCTAAAGACAAATACGCGGAACGTTAATAAAATAACAACAAGATGGAAATCAAAGGGGAGAGACACTAGAAATTAATTACAGAATGATCATGGTGGCGCTTTAGAATTTAAACGTGCGACGCAGCGCACACTACAAATATTTAAAAAAAAGGCTGGTTAAAACAAGTACGGTTTAACAAAAAAGTCACAATAAAAAGTTCCATACGGACCAAACCAGCCCTTGGTGCACGTAGGGGAGTTGACGGGTGCCGCTGAAGGTCTCGCCGGCTTGGTAGACGACGAGGGTGCCCGGAATTGCAGCCGTCTCAATACGTTGCACGGGTCACTCCATGCTCGCCGCCTACGCGAGACTCGCGACACCGACGACCGCACTTGTTGCTGGCTGTACGTCAACTGCTCCTGCGATGCAGTTCAAACCGCCTCAGGGGCGTACACGTGCTCCCGTCTCATCTGGGAGTAATATCCCTTGTTTAGATCGCCGGTGCCCCTTCCGGTACCGGTGCAGGGAAGACAAGCCGGCGCCACGTTGGGTCGTTATAGTCGCCGGATGTCGTCCCCCAACACAAAAGCGCCCCTCCTTGAAGATGGGGCCCGCGGATGCTCCGAAATTGGAGTCGTTTGTGACAGCATTGAACCCGCGATTTCCGGATTAGCAGCCGAACACCGTAACCGGTACACCACCGCAGCAGACGAGTAGGTTATTTCGGTGTTATGAAATAGTAATTTCACTCGTATGTAAAATCTACTTTCTCCTGTGTTTGTCGGCGCAGCGTTTGAAAGTGGTGAAAGCGCCAGTTCCCTATGTGATCCCGCTATGGAGCATTAAACGAAGCCTTGTAGGAAGATACGTATTTGGATTTTGTGTTCAAGGAATCATGAAAAAAAAATGGCAGCATATCCACGGAGTGAATGATGGATAGTGGGGCGAAGCATGCGTCCGTCCATTCGTTCTGGCTTCCGTCCGTCCATGCATCGTGCGTCTGTGTAGCCGTCCGTGCGTCCATCCGCCCGTCCGTGCGTGCGTCTGTTCGTGCGTCCGCACGTTCATCTGTGCGTCCGTGCCTGCTTTCGTCCATGCATCCGCTCCTGCATGCGTCCGTCCGTGCAGTCATCCGTGCGTCCGTCCATGCATCTGTCTGTGTGTCCGTTCGCCCACCTATTCTACACTCCACTATCTCGCATCTTTTCATCATATATTCCCTTTATAGAGGCACCGCCATCCAGCGGACATTCCAAAGACTGAACGAGAGGAGGCACACGCACACTTTCTTACGGCTTGCGCTTCGTGTCTACTTCCCACCTTTAACCACCCCGAGTTCATGGTATATACTAGTTCACTGTATTCATTGCACTGCGGCCCAACGATCGCTAAACCTTTCTAAAATCTAGGAGGTTACGCCTAGCGAGTATAACGTAGCAACCCTTTCTTGTCTTCTGTGCGT